CATCCAATGTGTAAGCCTATCTGTAACATGGAGCCCTCCCATCACCTCAATTGCAATTTGACAAATGTGACAAGGACTCTTGCTGAACTTGGTTCCTTCTACCTTTCATCTCTCACTCACCTGACTGACCTGGTCAATAAAAGCCCACCCCAACAGGATAATGGAGGAAATGCAGACACAGCCAAACCAGCTCTGGACGGTGAGAAGTGTTCTGGTTGTTTAGGACGGGGTGTTTGTTCTGTGGGTCGAGTGGGCACAGACAAATGGAAAACATTCTCTCCTGCTCTGTATCAAGTTGTTGCTGAAATGGGAACTGTACTATACTTGTGGGTCGAGTATGATCTTTAAAAATCATCAGCAACATCTTGGGCTTTGACATATAAGTTACTAGTATTAACCACTTACACTTCAGAGCACCTTTGTGAGATCGGATCATCCAATATCTTGGAAGGCCCCTGGTACTTCTGCTTCAACTGTTTTTTGAAAGTTGATGTCTCAAAGCTTAGAAAGCATTTAATCATATCAAAGAAAAACAGTGAAAAGCATTTTTAGGCAAGCACATTCATCCTTTTTTACTCATAAACTGGGACAAGTTCTTAAGATAGTATCCACTATTTAAAATATGATTTCTATGAGAAAGAGTTCGGAATTCCAATTAGAGACACCAGAAACACCCTTTGCAGCCTGCTTGTCCCAGCAGGCTCTCTGCACAATCCCCTCCACCCTGACCTCAAATTAACACAAAGCAAAACACAAAGTCTAGGAACAAGCTAGCTCAGAGTCCAGAGAAGTACACTCCTTTGGTATGGACACCTAGGGACCTGGTTTCTGGGGAAGAGATGGCATCTATAGGAGCTCTAGCGGGAGCAGAACCAAGACACAAAGTGTTTCTCCCAGAGATGGCCAGTCCCACAGCTCCAGACCTAGAGCAAGGGCGGCAAGCTGGGGGACCTAGGGAGGAGTGTCTTCCCGAGTCAGAATTCACCAAGGGGCCAGACTAAGAACCATTAGGTAGTGTGGCAGGTTTAACTGATGTTTCTTGGGACAAGCAAAGTGGGGAGATGCCGAAAACACTCCCCCCACACCCTTGGGGCTTTAGTGGCTAAAAACAAAAAAACTACACAGTTAAATGGACAATGTTGGAAAGCTACTCTAGTATTGAATGTATTTCCTGAGTTACTGTAACTAGAAGTTACCTGTGGACAAGCTTGGTTATTTCAGTGGATCTTAAACTTTCAACAGAACTTTTGTACTGGGTTAGGTGGTAGAGATTCTTCTCTTGAATATAATAGCCTATCTGTTTTTATGGAGTGCAATTAGGGGCAGGTAGTCTGTCAAAAAGCCTGGCTGTTGGAAAAAGGCTGGAAATGCCTCAGAAATAAAATATTTCTTAAATATCTGCTTCCCTTCACCTTGAGATTTTTTTTTAAAATAAGAATCAAGTCTCTTAAATGTAAGTTAGGGAGCAACAGCGGCGGAAGGCGGCAGCTACCATAGGCTTGGGAGTAAAAACGTCCCTTGCAGTTTCCGGTTGCTAGAAGAACCTGCAGGCGGCCAGAAAAGAGCAGATGGCACAGTTAACTGGGGTCTAGAAGATGACAAAGACATGTCACTCACAGGACGGACAGGAATGATGACTGGGCCGCCAAGAATAATTTATGAAAACCAAACATCCAGCCTTAAAATAGAATGTGGACCTAAATACCCAGAAGCACCCCCTTTGCAAGATTTGTAATGAAAATTAATATGGAGTTAATAGTTCCAATGAAGTGGTGGGCCCAAGATCCGTATCAGTGCTAGCAAAATGGCAGAATTCTTAAAGCATCGAAGTTGTCCTGCAAGAGCTTTAGCACCCAACAATATCTAAAGAAAATATGAAACTCCCTCGGCCTCCTGAAGGACAATGTTACAGCAATTAATTAAAAAGAAAAACCATGGGCCCTTCCCTTCCCCGGAATTCACTTTAAGGAGTCTTCATTTTCCACAGTAGTAAATTTTCTAGATATGTCTTGTAAACTTCAAAGGACTGGAAAGGAAACTTCCATTCAAAGGAAATTTATCTTAAGATACTAAATGATACTAATTTTTTGTCCGTTTGAAATAAGTTGTGCTATAAGAAGTTATCCTGTCAAGTGTAACCACTGTCCACGGGGTTGAAACTCTGGGATCAAGGTAAGTATATTTAAATTGACTCCCATTGTAACTGGTGGGGCACATCTAACTGTGAAAAGACACACCACACAATCACCTTTTTCTGTTGATTACATGGCCTGGGCTCTCTGCCTTCTCTCCTTACCCCTCCCCCTAGGTCCTACCCTCCTTGCAACAGCCCTCTACCCTGGGGGGCTTGCTACCTTCTTGTCCTAAATCTTCCTTTCTCTTGCAAACACATCCACAGTCTACTTAAAGCAGACTATTATGTTGGAAAGGTTTCTTTACTAATTTTACACTTACTCTACAGATCTTGGTTTCAGGGTATTCTTTCCAACAGTTAACTCATTAAGTTTCATGGCATAATTTAAGTGTACCACAACTGTTAGAGCAATGGGAACCAATGCCTCCGTCTGAGACTGGCCTTCAATGAGGAATTTAGGGTTTTCTCCATATCTTCTCTTCCCCAGCTTTGAGGGGTGCTTTTTCTCCCCTCCTCCTCAAGTTCCTTTTGCACCATCACCACCCAACACTTTCCATGACACTTCCTTGCTTTGTCCAGAAGCCATTAGGTAAGGTTGGAAAGTTTCCCTGACCTCCCTCACTATTCACTCTCCACCAGGCTACAAAATGAATATTGGGTCTTCAGTCCTGCCACTCTCTGCGGTCATCATCAGCTGATGCGTTGTTTTTAGCTCAGGTTTTGATAAAGTGAATTGTCTCCAGGGTTACTCAGACCTGTCAGCTCTCAAAGTCCTTGGTGGTTAAACTTGGAGAAAGGGCACATGAAGACACTCATAAGCACACATAATCCCTCTGTATTTTTTTTTTCCCTGTAATTGATTTTGCTTTTAGAAATTGAAGTTGTTTTGAACAGGGCTGTCATTTGGTCATCCTTCCAATTCATTGGGATCTAGTTTGAAATATGACAATTGGAACAAAACTTTGAATCCAGTGCATATTTTGGTTTTGGCGTTGCGGTTGCGTCTGAAGATCCTCGGAAGGGATTGAGACCTTGGTGTGCATGGTAGACCCCTGAAACTGGCGGGCTTGACCTCCTAGCAAATTGCTTCGTTTTTCCACTTCTGTTCAGGACCACTAAACACTGAAATGTGGATGCATACAGAAATAAATGCAGTTCATTATGTACTAAAGTTTTGTTTTTTAACTTGGTATTTGTGTAAATCCACCTTTTGAAGCAACAACTATCAAGTCTGAAAAGCAACTGATGTTTCCATTAACGTTTTTCTGGGGAAAAGTTAGTTCTAAGGATTTAACATCCTGTAACTGAAGTTTAACATAACAGTATCCCATAAGCAGTCTTTTTTATTGTCAGATTATTGCCAAATTTTAATTTTTAAAAGTGTGCATTTTCTTCAAAAGTGTAAGTTAGAAATTAATAATAAATAATCTACTGGGCAGAAACATCAAGTCTGGTCACACTATTCTCAGACAGTCATTAAAACTTATTAAAACTCAGCATTCGCATCGGTTAATCACAGAGGAATGCTTCTGAGTTGCTGCTCCTGAAGAGCAGGTACTCATTCTGCATTCATTAACTTAAGCTATTTTTATTAAGAAAAAACAGATTTGGATATAAGTTCATCAGAATGGCCTTCCCATCTCATCACTGCAGGTCATACTGACCACGTGAATGGTACTTTGATATAGTTAACCGAATATAAAGGAGCCACTAAAAGCCTCTGCTCATAATTATCACCTCCAGTTCAAGTCACTACTCTCCTGCTACGTGGACCTAAATCAAGAACCACAAGCTAATATCTTTCCTTGATTTACCCTCTTTCCCTGTATCTTCCTTTCTCTTGCAAACAAATCCACAGGCTACTGAAAGCAGACTGTTAAGTATGTTAGAAAACTTACTTTATTAATTTTACACTTACTCTACAGATCTTGATTTCAGGAGATTCTTTCCAATAGAGAACTCAATAAGTTATACGGCATAATTTAAGCACACCAGAACTGTTAGAGCAACGGAAACCAATGCCTTGTTATGTGAAATATTTCATCCCACACATATTCACTTGATTGAATTAATGCCTTTTTCGTGTCTTCTTATTGAACATACTTAGTTCTTTATTATTGAAGCTAGACTTCATGGCAAGTGAGTTCTATTTCACAGAAAATCTGAACATATCACTGGCTTACCAAATAAGAAATTTTCACATTACCTATGGGCCCAGAGCCTTCTGTAAAAGGCTCACGTGGTCTGGCTCTGTGTCCCCACTCAAATCTCATATTGAATTGTAATCCCCATAATTCCCAAGTGTTGAGGGAGAGACATGGTGGGAGGTGACTGAATCATGGGGACGGTTTCCCCCATGCTGTTCTCGTGGTAGTTAAGTTCTCACAAGATCTGATGGTTTTATAAGTGTTCGCAAGTTCTTCCTCCCTTTTCTCTCTCTTGCCTGCCACCATGTAAGACATGCCTGTTTCCTCTTCCACCATGATTGCAAGTTTCCTGAGGCCTCCCCAGCAATGCAGAACTGTGAATCAATTAAACCTCTTTCCTTTATAATTACCCAGTCTGGGGCACTTCTTTACAGCAGTGTGAAAATCAATGAATATAAAGGCTAAGTTTTGCTATCAATAATTTAAACAAAAATTTAAAATACAACTTAGCATTCAACTTAAATCTGCTTACTATTGCTCACTGAATTCCAATCATATTGATAGAATAACGACAACTATAAAAAGCAAAAATTCCCAGTCTAGTTAAAAAAAAGAAAATTGAAGCTATTTGAATAAGCCTTGCCAACAGTCTGAAGAATCAGTCTGTTTAGCAAATGGTGTATATAAACAAATAATTAAAGATGCCATTAAACTACAAGTTGGTAAACAGGCATTACCTATTTAATAAGTACAATATATACATAGAATCCTCTTGAAAAGCTTCATTTTATACAGAAACATATTTACAACAAACAGTGTAATCAAATTAAAGATTATCTGTACAATACACACACACACACACATATATATGTCTTCCGGAAGACAAGTTTCATCACTGCAGTCAAAATGGATAGCCATTTGCATTTTACAAAAGAATTCCATTCCAGAAGAAAAATACATCTGTAATATACAATTATATTTTTCATTTATTTTCCTAAAAATTCTCCAAGTTTAGATTACCTTTTCAATTTTTCTTTGTTCATCCTTGAAAAATTTCAGGTTTCTAGTGCCACCAACTGGTGTTAATTAAAAATCAACAATCTTGGTGTCCAAAAAAAATTGCTTTTAAAAAAAAGTCATCAAAAAATAGGCTACTGGAGTTAACATTCATAAAGCATAAATGACAACATGATTTATAAAAATATTTTCACCAGGGTAGCATATCTAATAACATTTACATTATCAAGGATTCTATTTTTTTCTTTTACTGATAAACCTTGGTTTAAATTTGCATATAACAATTTTTAGAAAATAATATATTGCAAAAGAAAGTTTGGAAACATGCGTGACATGATTAATCTTTATGAGCACCAAATAGGCATTAATAATTTAATGGTAAAAAATCTAATGCCATTTTCTGGTCTTTGGGTTTTTTAAAATTTTTCTTAAATAATAAACATTAAACTGTGACAAAAGTTAGGAAACATGCAGAACCACCAGGAAAACAGTAATTTATTCTCAGCGTACCTTTCCAAGGATTTTCCAAAGCCTCATGTAAGACTGATTTCTGGGCCACTTGCACAAGTAGATAAACCCTCTTCTCAGGCTAGTTATAAAGGGCTGAGATGAGCCACAGAAGTCCAAGACCTGCTCTGATTGTCTCCCAGTTCTCCCAGCTATTTTCTTTCCTTTTTTTTTTTTTTTGAGACAGGGTCTCACTCTGTCACCCAGGCTGGAGTACAGTGGCAATCATAGCTCACTGCAAGCTTCAACCTCCCAGGCTCAGATGATCCTCCCAACTCAGCCTCCTGGGTAGCTAGGACCACAGGCATGTGCCACTGCATCCGGCTAATTTTTTCTTTCTTCTGTACACATGGGGTTTTGCCATGTTGCCCAGGCTGGTCTCAAACTCCTGGGCTCAAGCAATCCTCCCACCTCGGCCTCCCAGAGTGCTGGGATTACAGGGGTGAGCCACCACACCTGGCCCCAGCTATTTTGATTAGACCATAAACTCCATGAGGATGGAAATGCCCTGGTCTGCTCACTAGTATAAATACAATACCCTGTATGGTGCCAGTACAATAATATAGGTTTTCAATAAATGCATTTATTAAATAAATAAATAACATGTTGGTAGCCTGATAAAATTTAATTTCAAGCTAAATCGCTTTAAATGGGTATGAAGATAGAAAGTAAAAACAAAAAAAACACCATCAAAGTTCAAATTTATTCTTCTGCCCAAATCTACCATTTTCAGTCCTTAAAACTAAACAGGCTAAAGTCTGAAGTGGTATGGGAAAATGGAGTCACGGAAAATATTCACTTCAAAATTAAAACCTATTTAAGTGTACACATATACATACACGGAAAAAATCACTTCCAGCTCAAATAAACCAAAATATTGCTAAATAACCAAAACAGCCTTGATATGTACAACCAATAATGAACATATAAAACAAACCTCCCTCCAGGTTTCAGATTTATCCAGATCATTTTCCTTTTCCAGATACCCCATTCTTCTCGCCATGTATTTAGAGGGCAGAAGGCCCTCTAAATCCTTACATCAGGAGCTGTCTGTGAATTAGTATAGAGATAGGTATCTCTGACACATGCAGATTACTTTGCTCAGTCCTGATCCATATACAGCACACAGTAGACACTGAAGAACAAAAGAAAACTAAAGCATTTTCTTTAAAAAATTTCCATAGTTTCTAAAATTTGTAAGGCAAAAAAGGTAATTGAGTCAAAATATTGTTTATAATAGTTTTCTTCTAAAATTTTCTCACTAAACTTCTCCAAGTAGATGGTAGCACAAATATTAATACTGGAGTGTGCATTTTTGTCTAAAATGTATATACATTTTAAAGTGTATAGGCATAGGATACTAGGGATCTGATCACTATTTGGTCTCCATTATACATTTTGTGCCTTGGAGGAAAAAATCCAAATACTGTAGTTTATGAACCTGTATCATAAGAAACTAGAAAAATTTAGTTATGCTGCCTACTCAAAGTAGTCTTTAGGAGTGTTTAGTGTGTCTAGAAACAAATGGTAAAATAATTCAGATTTGATTGCACTTTCCCTCTCATTTTGATAAATTATTAATGGTAAAAAGAACAAGACACATTATGTTAAGACTAATACTTTTTATAACTATTCTAAAAATAAAACATCTTTGAACATATATTTTCATTTTGAAGTGAAAAGATATTTGTTTTGGGATAACATCTAACTCAATATATAGAAAAAAAAAGACATCCATTAAATAATCTAATCCTTAGTAAACTATCTTTTTAAACAATGTTGATTAAAAAATGTTAAAACACATTAAAAGGATATTGCCACCATGAGCCCAACTTTTAGAACCCATACAATTCTTTACAGGCTTTTAATGCATCATCCCAAAACTTAATTCCCTTAATGGGAGAAAAAGGGATGCAAAAATCCAAACCAAACAAGGCTTGCTGCAGTATCTGCACAAGAGCCAAGGTATCTTATTATAGTAATGATCTGAAGATAATGAAATATGAAAAATCACTCAGAAATTGTAAGTGAGAAATAATAAGGGGTGAGAAAAAATTCAATGACATAGAAATATTGATACTATGGCAACACTTAAGTGTATATCTTAAATAAATATTGTAAAAAATCCAACAAGATAGAAAAAATTGGCTTAAAAATTAAGTTCCTTTGGTTACAGATATATACTTATTTTAGGTATGTGTGAGGTTTTTTGTTTTGTTTTAAGAGACAGGGTCTTGCTCTGTTGCCCACGCTGGAATGCAGTGGCACCATCATGGCTCACCTGCAGCCTTGACCTCCTGTGCTCAAGTGATTCTACCACTTCAGCCTCCCGAGTAGCTGGAACTAAAGGCATGCACCACCATGCCTGGATAATCTTTTAAAATTTCTTTGTAGAGATGGGGGTCTCGCTATGTTGCCAAGGCGGGTCTTAAACTCCTGGCCTCAGGTGATCCTCCTGCCTTGGCCTCCCAAAGTGCTGGGATTACAGCTGTGAGTTACTGCACCTGGACTATTTTATGTTTTAAATAAATACACTGAAACATCACATGTGGGGGAACTGTATGATCACTCCACTACAATACATAATTAATGTATCAATGTTGAATGGTGCTCAAATGAAATAGTTTATAGTGCCATATGCTGGTTTCTTTTGGAAGGTGGTTCTTCATAAATATTTATCTTTACACAATGTCTGTAAAACTAAAGTATTTCAGTTTCAAAGAACCATTCATCTCTCTGTTCTCATGATAGGATCCATTTCACAATTTAAAATATAAGTACACTCCACAGAAATTTTATAAATTAATATGTAATTTAAAATCATATTTTAAGTAACTAAAAACTTTAAAAATTCAACCATTAACTCAAACAATCAGAATCTGAAAAAATGTACCTAAAACAGATAAGAAAACCTGACAGAGATAAATAATGACTGATCATTGCTAGTTACCAACAGCTAGCTTTCCTATTAAGTTCAGCTTTCATTAAAACTGAAATTAGAAGATTTAAGTATTCATACGCATCCCTAAAACTCACCCAATATGCTGGAGTATAAAAATAAAAAATTTTATCATTTTTTTTTAGCTGTCTTGATGTTGGAGTAATAGTGTATTTACTGAATGTTTACCACCTGTCTTTTCATACATAATTTTTAAAAGGTGAGTCACTTTTGACATTATGTATTTTAAAGGGAAGAAATATGAACAAAGGGCTTTATAAAAGCCCTTGGAATGTTCAACATTTCTTATGAATATAAGCAAATTAAGTTGTTTAGATTCAATGACAGGCTGTTATATTACACCATACAAAAACAAACTTCATCAAAGCTTTCAGTCTTACAGTATATATAGCAATGCATTCATATTGTAAAAGGATATTTTTTGTGTAAAGATGAAGCAAAACAATATTTTTACTGGCTGAAACAAAAAGTGGAAGAAAGTTTCCAACAATAGTGGTCAGTGGCACCTACTCCTGTGTGGCTTTTGCCTGTTTACTGAGCAGGAGGCTTGTATTAGGTTTTCTTTGTCTTCTGTTCTAGTTCATGCTGGTGTTTAATAAGACGTTCTATTTCTGTTCCAAGTGTTTGTAGATTTTCCTTTAATAATTGGGGTGAGGGGAAAGGGAAGAGAAAAACAAAAGTATAATAAATAAAACAATTCAGTTTGAACTATTTTTTGCCTAAATTTTGAAAATGAAAGAGTGGTTAGCCCTAAATGCTATGTCAGATAAACTAGCGACCCAGCTGTTTTCAGTAAAGTACTCCTGTCCATTTCAAAGTAATACTCAAACTTTCTACTGAAGCTACAGCAATTTTTTAATGCATAAAATAATTTCTTACTATTACTGATTTTAAAATTATTTTTAAACTCAGTACTAATTTTCAAGGCCCACCCACAGCAAAAATAAAATAGTTGGGTCAAATATTAACTGCAAAAAATAAAGCTGAAAAATAAATCAGAAATGCCATAATCTTAAAAAATTGTTTCAGTAATTAAAACTAATTATATGTCAAAGCCATCCAATATAAATTTAATGACATCTTAGTGTCTATCAAATAGCAAAATTAATTTTTGCTATTTTTCATCTTTCCTAATATAAAGAACTATACTTTTTAAAAAGAGAAAATCACAAAACTTCATCTTCGGGTAAAATGACTGTCTTGCATTACAAAAACAGCCCAGTTAATTGCTAGATCAGACTGTGAAACAGGCATCATTTTGCCATGTTTACTGGTTGGCATATGAATGAGAAATACAAATACCTTCAAAGTAATATTTTTTAGTAACGTATCCTCCAAAACAGCCTGTAATTTTCGGTTGATCTCCAAAGAGAGCTCCAATGTTAATCCATTGTCAGCTGGATGGGATGTGTATAAAGATGCCATGATGCCACCCCGTCTACTTAAATGAACTTTGTTAAAATCAGATGCCTCTGAAGAAAGTGTGCCTGACTCTTCCCGTAAAATATAACTTTGAATTATTCTGCAAAACAAAGTGATAGTATCAGTTGTGTACTCGTAGAATTAAAAAAAAATGGAATTTGCAAAAGTCAACTAATAATAAAGATAAGCATAAAATAAATATTAGGTTAATAACCTAACTATATTAGGAAAGAATTCTCCTTATTTGGATGGTTTCTTAAACTACCTCATTTTTGTTCTATTGTAGCATTCAGAGTAAAGACATATAAACATTGTTTTTCTATGTCTTTCCTTATTAATCAAAATTTGAGCTTTTCTGTTTGTTTTTAAAGAGACAAGGTCTCATTCTGTCACCCAGGCTGGAGTGCAGTGGCACAAACAGCTCACTGCAGCCCCCACTGCATGGGCTCAAGTGATCCTCTTGCCTCAGCCTTCCGAGCAGCTAGGACCACAGACGTGTACCACCATGCCTGAATAATTTTTTTTTTGAGATGGGGTCTTGCTATGTTGCTCAGGCTGGTTGACCTCCCCGCTTCAAGCAATCCTCTAGCCTCGGCCTCTGGCCTCCCAAAGTGCTGGGATTACAGGTGTGAGACACCATACCTAGCTGAGCAATTTCTTTATTGCTCCAATTTGTTAATATTTTCTGTTTTCCTATTATTAGACTTACAATTTGCTGTATTTTATGCTCTTTCTTTTAAAAGTCACAGGCACACTTTCCTATAAGTCTAAAATTATTTCAAAATAAAAATTAAGTCATTGGAAAAGGCCTACAATATAAAAACAACTTTTATTTACATAAAACAGTATTTGTGAGAGGAATTTGGCACAGCGTCAGAGCTGGGTTTGGATCTTCAGCTCTAGGTCTGTCACACAGGTGATGAATGGTGGCCCTGAAACATTTAGTGATTTGACCTGAGCCCCAGTTATCTGCAAAATTAGAGAACTCATGCACTGAGTGGTTGTAAGCAATCAATGAGATATTGCTAAGCCATAGGCACAGTGCCTTGTACTACTAGGTACTCAATAAATTATCCCACTATGTCCTACCCAACAGGAAAAAAAAATCCATAACCCCATATATATCTCTTAGAGCCACAGTCATGAAAATAAAAAGCTAAGCAAACCATTATCTTTTTAAAATCTAAAGTTGTTTAAGTATCTTAAAAATATTAACATTGACTGAACTCTCTATCACCTTAAAGGAAAGACCTGTGTTTTATTTCATCTTAGTATTCACAAAACCTAGAACATAATAGGTGATCATAAAAGACTGGGAACCCAATAACTATAATTATTTTTTGAAAGTTAGGCTCTTGATAGGACTAATTTTAAAAACAGTAACTTTGCCATATGAGTAATAGTATTTTGAAGACCGATCATGCTACCATAATAATACATACTTTGTTTTTTTCCTAATTTCTTCCACCAGTTGTTTGATGTGGTCCTCCATAAATTCTATCTTTTCATTTTTCCGGGCATGTGCTTTTTGCAGCCTAACTATCCTCTCAATCAACATGGCCTTATCTACTTGTGGAAAGTTATCCACAGCTACTGAGGACCCAGTATTTTCTGGAGATCGATCTTCTGCACTGCTTCGAGCATTCAGGGACCCTGAAGACACACAAAAAAATTGGTTTAGATACTGTGCTTAATCTAACATCATCTCTCATCTCATATATTATTTATTCCAGTATCATTTCAAATATTCACTCTAACAGAGTTGGACACAGAAGACAACACAGGTCAACGTGGCCTAGGTTCTTGTTTCTGAATATACTGGTGACAGAGGTATCAACAGGGTCTACACTGTGTCTCTCAGGAAGTGGTAATAAGAGAAACAAGGATCTCAAAAAGAATAACAAGTCTAAAGTGAGACCAAAATTAAACTATAATAGAGCAAAGCAGAGAGGAGGAGGGAGGGAGGACAGGAACAGAGGTATGAGAGGAGACAGAAACAGAGGTTAGAATATAGTGGGTTAAGCTCTGAGGCCAGCCTGCCTAGGTTCAAATACTACTCCTCTACTTACTAGCTGTGTGACTTTGGATAAGGTATTTAATTTTCTGTGCCTTGGTTATGTCATCTTAAAGTGGCATAAATTACATTATTTACCTCACAGGATTGTTATTCTCATTTAAATGAATTAATATATGTGAAATGCTTCAAAAAAGCCATATAGTAAGCATTACGCAATGTTAGGTATTACTTTTACCAACGTCAGTAAGAAGAATCTGATCCTCTTTACCCTTCCAATCCCATTTTATAGCTTTAAGTAATATATCTTATCCAAAGTAATATATCTTATCCAAAGTTATATAATGAATAAATGGCAGAGCTGGGATCTAAATACATGTCTATAATTTCAAATCCATGTTCTTACTACACATTTTTTTCCCACTACTATAACAGCTGATGATGGTTTTCTACTAATAACAGCTGATGATGGTTTTCTACTAATAACAGCTGATGGTGGTTTTTCTGGGAGGCAATATAGTATAGTGCCAAGCAAGGACTCTGGAGCCAAAGATTTCTCACTGTGAACTTTTGGTGAATCATGTAGCCTCTGAATCTTGGTTTCCTCATCTATGAAATGGGAATTATAATACTTACCTCACATGACTTTTTTGCAGAGTAAATGGTATGTTTCAAGTGCTTAGCATGCTTCTTGGCATTCCAAAAAAGACACAAACACTGATATTTTGCTAATTATCATTTTCATAATGGTATCAATCATAATTTTATAGACTACCCATTTTTACTTTAGAACATAGGCATATCTATCATGAGAAAAACTAAAAGATTTAAAAACATATACATGTGCATATATATGTAAAACTCTGATACACAATTATGACATCTTCATTGGTTCTTGGGTGTTAAAAGAAAAAGAGAGAGACCACTGTACACCAAATCTCTTTATAAATCTGATTTTAAAAAACAGAAGAGGAAGCTGTTGCACAGAATAAAGCAGCAGCAGGCTAGAAAAAAGAAGGGGTTGGGCACAGTGGCTCACGCCTGTCATCCCAGAACTCTGGGAGGCCAAAGTGGAAGGATCACTTGAAGCCAGGAGTTCAAGATCAGCCTGGGCAACATAGTGAGATCTTGTCTATACAAAACACAAAACAAAACAAACACAAAAACAAAAAACCAAAAAATAAACATTAGCTAGGCGTTTGGCATGTGCCTATAGTTGTAGCTACTTGAGAGGCTGAGGTGGGAAGACTGTGGTTGAGGTTGCAGGGAGCCAAAGTCACACCACTGCACTCCAGCCTGGGTGACCGAGTTAAGACCCTGTCTCCAAAAAAAAAAAAAAAAAAAAAAGAAAAGAAAACACAACGAACAAAAAAGAAAGTAGGGACATAGATTGCATAGAACCTCATGACATATCTGAAATCCTGGGTAATGAATAGAACTTAAATATTTAACCAGAAACATTTTTTACAATATAATTATATGTAACCACTATGTTTCATACTTCAAACTGAAACAAAGCATATCAATACTTTTTAAAATAAAAAAATGCTATTTATTTATTTTTTGAGACAGAGTTTCGCTCTGTTGCCCAGGCTGGAGCGCAGTGATGCAATCTCAGCTCACTGAAACTTCCACCTCCAAGTGATTCTCGTGCCTCAGCCTCCCGATGGGATTACAGGCAGGCATAAGCTACCACACCCAGCTAATTTTTGTATTTTTAGTAGAGATGGGGTTTCTCCATGTTGACCAGGCTGGTCTTGAACTTCTGACCTCAGGTGATCTACTCATCTTGGCCTCCCGAAGTGCTGGGATTACAGGTGTGAGCCATTGTACCTGGCCAAAAATGCTATTTATTTTTACATCAATCATGAAATAACAACTAGAGCCACTAGCTTTACCTGATGAACTAGAACGACTTCCCATGCTGCTGACTTCTTTGTCATAGCTTCCATTCTCAACCTGATCTAATTTTCTTCGTGCTATAGGAAAAAGAAGATTATTTGTCACAGTTATCAGGACCATTTGCTCCTACCATCTCTGACTTTAATTGCTAAAATCACTGAGGCAAAAATGGCATAGACAAGAGGAAGTTCTTGAATACATACTTTAGGCAGAGGGCTATGTCATTCATATAAAATGTCATTTGGGAATGTACAAGTACAAAATATACAGAAACAACATTATAACTGACACTGGCATCACTTAATCACAGTGGAGTTAACTTTTTAAAGTACTGAAAGATTTAGAAGTTCCTTACAGTACCAGAAATTTCCTCCAAATTTCCCTTCAATTACATCTACAAAAACAAACTAAATTCTATGGCAAATATCTGAATATATTCATATTAAGTAAATGCTAAGTCCCTTTTAGCTTATTACTATGTTTCAACCTATTTTAACACAAATAAAGCCATGGGAAATAGTGGAGAATAGGAGGTTAAAATACGTGTCTTATTTATTTTTGTATCCCAAGCATATAACACAGACACCCAATGATTGTATGACTTTTTAAAAGAAAGAAATCTGGAATCTAGTTCAGCAGTCAATTGTTATGCTTGGGTAATTTATAACTTTTTGGGGTCTGTTTCTTGAGACCCAGGTGAAGAGTTAAGTTGCAACGATTTCCAAGTTAGAGGACGCATCTGGGGTATCTGCACCCTAGATGCCGGTAGCCTAGATGCAGCACAAAAGAAATCACAGGAATGTGAAAGGAGAAGATATCAGAGCTGCTATTTATACTGATATTTAAAGATAGATGTTTAAAAATTTCTGTTTTTCATGTTTTCTAATATATATAAAAGAGTAACATATGTTTAAAATGTATAAACACATATAAATTGGAGAACAAATGCCTAAGCACTTTTTACTGACAGGAGTATGTGATCACAAGTTTAGATACTAATGCCCTAACATTACTTTCCCAATTCTCATGTTTTGTGATTCTGTGAATAAATGTCCTTTAGCATACAAGATATCTTTTAGGATAAAAGACTATTCATGAAAATTGCAAGAAGTTTAAGAATTTGGTTTACTAATATTAATAAAGAGAACATACAGCTTCAATGTGGTAGAACCACAAAAAATATTTTTTTTCTAGAAAATCCTTAATGATTAAAAGAAACAAACACATTCATGGTCTAAGTGTGGAAGAATTTTATACCTTGCTGAAGTTGTTTGGTGAGATCCTTGATACTAGAGGCATGTTTACGTCTTTGAGTTACTAACTCATCTTTTAATTCTTCTACTTGGGTACTCAGTGCTTTAACTTCTGTTTGTCTACAAGTAAGTTCAGCTTGCAGAGTTTGGACTTCCTCTTTTCGCAGTTCTTCCTCTTTCAACAGCCTACTTTCCTGAATAGTAAGTAAAACAAAACCCACCAATTTTAGTATGTTTGTTTCCATTAATGCTCAGTTTATTACCGTAACAATCTAAGATTCTTGACAGTGGAGATTGTTCTATTATTATTCCTTACCAGCTTTTGTTTACTTGAGCTTCTCACAGTTCTCATATAGCAAACCAGGGGGATATATTAATGAGCATATCGTTCTATACATACCAAGCAACATGTGATACAGGTTGTTGAATTTTTGGATTAAAGTCTCAAATCATTTTTATGTGTAACTTGAAGACATTCTCATAAATTAAAAAAATAGAAATTTAAAGTACATTTTAAAAATATATAATGATTCTAGTTAGGAAGGACACAAACCAGTTTTCTCATTTTCAAAAGTAAAATATTGTTCATAATTATTTTAGGAAGAACTTTTATTATAAATTATAACAGTTGAGGAAAAAAACCGACATTTCTTACAGCAGCTGAAATTGTCAGAAAGTCAGTGCCCGGGAAAGAGCTTAATTCAACTACCACAACGTTTATACTGTTAGGGAAATTTAATTTGTGCTTGTTATGTTGTTTTAAATAAATGTAAATTTATACTTACCAAATTAATATTTGTCTGTTTCATTTGTTCACACTGGCTTTGTAACTGACTTTCACTACAAGAAAGTTTATCAAATTGTGACTGCAAAGAATTGGATTCAGACTGGAGCTGTGCATTCTTACTAGTGAGCCTCTCTGTGAACAGCAGCAGCTCCGATTCTCTCTTCCTACTGCCTTCGATGTCTTTTTGTAGGTCATTAATCAAAGAATTGAGACTTTCCACTTCTTCCTTCAAATTTTCAATTTCTTGCTTTCCTCTAAAAAACAAAATTTATATTTAAGAAAAAAATAAACCATTAAAAGACATCAAATTAATGGTTTGGGAATTTGCATCTAGTCAAATGGATTCGTTATCCAAATATTTATAAATGTCTAATATATGCCAGGAAATAAAAGCTGGAAAGAAAAGTGAGCAAGACCAACACGGTCTCCGCTTTCAAAGAGTTTTTAGTCAAGTGCAGAAATTATGAGTGTAAAAAAACATTTTTGATGATAAAAGCACAGAGTGGGTTTGCCTAAACTAGTCTAAGTGATGCTCAAACTAATACTTAAAGCAGGAATCAGCAACCTTTTCCAGTAAAAGATCAGATAGTAAATAAGTTAGGTTTCTGGGTCACATGGTTTTGCTGCAATTGTTCCACTCTGCCACTGTACTATGAAAACTGCCACAGATATTACATGAATGAGTGTGGATGTATTCCAAAAAAACTTCATTTACTAAAAGAGGAAGTGGGCTGGATTTGTTTTGTAAGCCATGGTTGATCCCTGACCTAAAGCAGAAGTTACTGGAAAAAAAAAATATGCTCCAGGTAAAGGGAACAGTATATGCTAAAAGCTGGGAACGGAGTAAGAGGACTTTTTGTTGGTCCTGACAGATGTTCAGTATTGATGAACAGAAGGACTGTACTATATCCCAAGCACTTAACACAGGGTTTGGCACATAGGAAACAATCCATTAACATCTGTTAACCAACTACAGCTGAAATACAAGGGTGAAAAAAGGGAAGGCATGGAAGCAGCAAGGGACAAGTCACTAATCTTATAAGCCATGCTAAGGCAATGGAACTCACTAAACAATCTCTGAGGCAGTGGGAAATCACTGAAGAGTTTTTAGATTTCCTTTTTAAAAAGGATTATACTAACCACAGTGTGGAAAATAGATTAGAGAGGATACAAGCAGAAAAAATACAAATGGTGGCAGTTTTCCAGGTGAGAGCTGATAATAGCTTGGACTATGGTAGTAGCAGTGGGGAGGTAAAAAGTGAATGGACTTGACAGATGTTATAGACTCAGTATCATGAATACTTTGTAACTGGCTAGATGTGTGAGGGGAAGGAAAGAAGAAATGTGGATGGCCCTCAACCTGTTGAGCTGGACAGTCACATGGATGCTGCACTCATCATTCATCCTAGGAACAAGTGAGGAGAAGCATGGGACAGAGAAACCGATTTTGGACATGCTAAGGTTTGAGGTATCTTTGATACTTGTGCCTGGAGCTTAGTGAAAAGGGCTAAAGAAAATGATTCAAAAGTCCTGCAGCATACTATAAAACCAGCTGGGATCACCCAAAGTTACAATAAAATTAGAACAAGAGGGCTTTATGAGAGAAAGAGAAGCCTGCCAAGGAGATTGAGAGACGGTGGCCAAAAAGGTGAGAGGAAAATCAGCATGTGATGGAAACGAAGCCAAAGGAACAAGCCTATCAAGAAAGACAACTGAATTCAACAGTGTTTAAAGATGATAAAAATTCAAGCAAGGGTGGGTCTGAGATATGTCTACCATATGCAGGGAGGCATTAGTAATTTTTAATGAAATGGTGGGGTAGAAGCTACAATTAAGTGGAGAGGTACACAACATAGGAAGTGAGGAAATGGAGAATGAATACAGAAGATTCTATCAAGTTTGGCTGCAAAGGAAAGGAGAAAAATAAGGCAGCAGGGCAAAGCTATAAGAATTTTGATTTTTTTTTTTTTTTTGAGACAGAGTCTCGCTCTGTCACCCAGGCTGGAGTGCAGTGGCACGATCTCGGCTCACTGCAAGCTCCCCGTCCCAGGTTCACACCATTCTCCTGCGTCAGCGTCCCGAGTAGCTGGGACTAAAGGCGCCCGCCATCATGCCCGGCTAATTTTTTCTATTTTGTTTTTTAGTAGAGACGGGGTTTTACCATGTTAGCCAGAATGGTCTCGATCTCCTGACCTCCTGATCTGCCCGCCTCGGCCTCCCAAAGTGCTAGGATTACAGGTATGAGCCACCGCACCCGGCCAGGAGTTTTGATATTTTTAAAAGACACTTATGTTTAAATGTAGAAAGAAAAAGAAAGTGGAGAAAGGTAAGCCACAAAGGATAAAGAATAATAATCAAGACAGAACCCAAGAAGGCAGAAGAGATGAAATCCACAGCAGAAGTAGAAAGACTAATTTGATTCACAGAGGAGATTCTTCCATGGTAACAGCAGAAAATATGGCTGCAGATACAGGCAGTTCACGGGACTGAGGGCAAAAAGTTGAGAGAGCTGTCATCTGAAAGTTCCCATTTTTTCTGTGAAGAAGTAAACACTTGCCAAGAGTAAATAGAAAAGTAAGAGGAAAAACTGAAGTGTGAAGAAAACGGTAGGGTTTAGAAACGATGTTATGAAGAGGGTGGAGAATCTCTGACCAAGGACACATGGCAAGATTAGGTGCATTAATATTTGCAATTGAGGTTAGTGATCATGAATTTATTAGCAGAATCAATCTGAATGATGGTAGAGATTTTTTTTAGCAACACTCAGCAGCTTAGTTATCAGCAAGGTGTGGAAAAGAAGTTACCTGGCTTCAAAATGAATTCACGTTCTGTCAAGTAACGTCACAAGTCGAGTTTACTTAAATGGTTTTATAAGGAGCCAAGGAATAATATCAGCTCCGGATCTTAAGCTACACACATGCAAAGATCTAGAGCTAGACCTACCTTTTACAAGAAAAAGTAAACACTGTGCATAAGTAACAGAATTCGAAAGCTAAGGAATGGATAAGACTCAACCTATTCTGTCATAAATTGCCACTACCAATGTTTAAGGAATATAAACTTTGATTTTTAGAAACCATGATAGGAAGGAACTCAAAGATAATCCAAAGAAGTTCAAATAAAGAGAAAAAATTTAAAAATTTCAGCTAGTAAAATTCTAAAAATTGTTCTTGTTTAATGCAATAATTGCATTTAGAAAATCTCGAGATAAAATTTAAAAGCTTGTTTATTAATTCAAATAGAAGTTGCTCATTTTGTACCTTTGAAGCTGCTCCTGTAGCTGATCAAAAATTTTCACCTTGTCCAATAAATTCTGAATTTCAGCTTTTTGGCGATTAATAATTTCCTTATATTTTGATAATTCATCTTCTGTTCTTAATCGTTCATCTTCTAGACATTTCACCTATCGAATGATCATAACCAAGTTACAAACCATGTTTTCTTGTTCTTTATAAACTATTTTATATAGTGGTTACATATGAATAATCTAGAAATTCTAAAGCACCATTAACGTGAAGAAAATATAATGCAAATTTTACAATCCTACGTTTTAGTCTCAGGTTTCTTATGATTCAGTCATGGGAGTTTTAGCATGTGATTTTACTTTTTACTGAATCACCATCTCCTCATCTGAAAAAGAATAATATATCTTCTCTACCTCAGAAAACTGGCAGGAAGAACAAGTAAGAAGGTTTACGAAAAAACAATTTAAAATTGTCAAGTGATCTCAAATTCAGGGTGGTTAAAGGACTATTTCTAAATAAATGAATGATACACATTCATATTCATATTGGAAGAGATACTAATCTTACAATAAAGACTGTAAACACTGAAGAGGACTTAATAGATTATTGGCCATTAAAACTATCCGTCTATTAAATATAGTCGGGAAAAATATAGCCTTCCTATTATTTTCTGACACAGTTCTAAGGTCCAACTATCTTTCCAGTTGATTCATTGATGAGACTGTCTTTAGAGAGAGGCCCAAGGATAAGTTATAAACACAGCAAATGTGCTGTGAAATAGGAATGTTTGGCAAACACGTCAAAGGGACTAACACGGAAGACATTTTCCTTTAAACAAAAGAAGTTGCTAGGAAATTGCTCCTCTTCTCTACTCTGAGTTCATTTATTATGGAATATTTCTATGTTAATGTCCTTTCCCCACCACTTTAAAAATCAGAATGAATCCAAAATTTAAGATATTTACCCTTCCTCTGGATTCATGACTAAAGATTGAATTACCTTTGTTCTCAGTGTTCGTAACTCATCCATACCCTCCTTAAATGTTCTCTTCAGATCTTCTAGTTCCTTTATTTTGGCATGATGCATCTTTAAAAAAGTTTAAAAGAAATAACAAATCATAATGTGCTAAACTGTATCTAGGATTTATTGCCTGCTCTTTCCAGAAGGCCTTAAAAGTAGATGGCAATAAGTTCTATTTCTCTTTCTGTATTTATTACGCAACTTAGGATATATAAAGAGCAAAACTACTCACACTCACCTCTAGCTGGTCGGATTTTTCTTGCATTTGTTTTTCAAGTTCTCCTTTTGTGACTCTAAGTTTTGCATCAAGCTCATTTGATTTAATTTCTTCTGACTCCTAGTGGAAAGAAAATGAAAAAAGTGTGACAATTTTTAACCCATTTCCCGTTTGCCCTGAGAAAACTCCTCTCTAATCCTAGTGTAGCATCATATACATTTCTGTTACATTAGGATAAGAGACAAGTTCTGTTTAAAAATAACTCCAAGAACAGTTTTTATATTTTATCTTCACACTGAAAATCAGTCAGATTTGTTTCAGCCTCGAGTGTGTTTACGTAAAATTAAATGAGTGCTGGCAGCAAGCTGCACTTTTTTTCTAAATAGCAAATGGGTTAAAGTTTTATACTTTGAAAAGAAAGATTGCAATTAAGTTCACTAATTGTAAAATACGTAGTATACATAAAATCGAAGACTGCATTGAAAGATTTTAAATATGTCAATTTTGCATAAACAAGAATAGTACATTCAAACATGTAACATAGTAGAGTATTTTTGTAAGCTATACATTTCCTTGCACTCTTCATTCTTCTGACATTTTCTAGGGTTTTTATTTGTTGGAAAACTTCTCTTATAAAATCCATTGAAGCTGCAGGTACTTTAACATTGGAAATAACCTGTATTTTATTTAACTGCCTGCCCAACAAAGTACATTCTATATGCAGAAGTAGAATACTGCACATACGGAAATTTAACGAAACAAGAGAACTGGCTGGGCGCAGTGGTTCATGCCTGTAATCCCAGCACTCTGGGAGACCGAGGCAGGTGACTCACGAAGTCAGGAGTTCAAGACCAGCCTGGCCAACACAGTGAAACCCCCTCTCTACTAAAAATAAAAAATTTAGCCAGGTGTGGTGGCGGGCGCTTGTAATTCCAGCTACTCGGGAGGCTGGCGCAGGAGAATCACTTGAACTTGGGAGGCAGAGGCTGCAGTGAGCCGAGACCATGCCATTGAACTCCAGCCCAGGTGACAGAGTGAGACTCCAACTTTAAAAAAAAAAAAAAAAAAAAAAAAAAAGATAACTGATATTTGCTAAAATTTGATACTAATCTATTTTAAAAGTTATGCATACCTGATATGTTTTTATCATATCCTGACAGTTTTTTCGTATCTGATCTGCTTCTTCCTTTGCTTGTGTTAATTTTGTTGTTGTTTCTTTGAGTTTATCTTTGGTTTCCTGCATTGACAAAAGACACAAAGTTGAGTACAGCAATGTGATGAATGGTAAGAAGTGTTCGGCAAGAAAGAAGGTTCTTGTCCTAGCACTGTCACTGAGCGGCCGTTTATTATTCTAGCAATAGTTATTTTACATTTCTGACAAAAAATTAAAATGTTTTGTATAGTTAACTAATAGCCATTAAATACAGTTAAATTTGACAGTTTTTGGCGCAAATTACTAGAAGTTACTAACCTGATAAGATGAGTAAAGTGTTAACAAGTTCTTTGTACACACACATCAAAGACAATTCTTTGGTTTACGGCTGTGGTATCTATTTATAACCGTATTGGCTGGGCAAGGTGGCTCATGCCTATAATTCCAGAACTTTGGGAGGTTGAGGCAGGTGGATCACCTGAGGTCAGGAGCTTGAGACCAGCCTGGCCAACATGGTGAAACCCTGTCTTTACTAAAAATAAAAAACTTGGCCAGGTGCGGTGGCTCACGCCTGTAATCCCAGCACATTGGGAGGCTGAGGCAGGCAGATCATCTGAGGTTGGGAGTTCGAGACCAGCCTGACCGAAATGGAGAAACCCCGTCTCTACTAAAAATACAAAATTAGCAGGGTGTGGTGGCACATGCCTGTAATCCCAGATACTCAGGAAGGCTGAAGCAAGAGAACTGCTTGAACCTGGGAGGCAGAGGCTGTGGTGAGCCGAAATTGTACCACTGCATTCCAGCCTGGGCAACAAGAGTGAAACTTGGTCTCAAAAACAAACAAACAAACAAACAAAAACACAATTAGCCAGGCATGGTGGTAGGCACCTGTAATCCCAGATACTCAGCTTGGGAGGCTGAGGCAGGAGAATCGTTTGAACCCGGGAGGCAAAGGTTGCAGGGAGGCAGAGGTTGCAGTGAGCCAAGATCACACCACTGCACTCCAGCCTGGGAAACAGAGTCAGACTTTGTCCCAAAAAACAAAACAAAACAAAACATAAAAACTGTCTTTTTTTTTTTTGAGACAGAGTCTCATTCTGTCACTCAGGTTGGACTACAGTGGTACGATGTCAGCTCACTGCAACCTCCGCCTCCTGGGTTCAAGTGATTCTCCTGCCTCAGCCTCCCGAGTAGCTGGGATTACAGGTGTGTGCCACCACACCCAGCTAATTTTTGTATTTTTAGTAGAGATGGGTTTTTGCCGTGTTGGCCAGGATGGTCTCAAACTCCTGACCTCAGGTGATCCACCCGTCTCAGCCTCCTAAAGTAAAACTGTCATTTTATAGACTGATACTGCAATCTGGTTTCTGTTCCTAATCATTCTCCTAAGATGGCAACTCTGAAAGTTTTCAGGGGCTACCCTTATTAAATCCAATTACTACTTCTTGTTGTTACTCTTTACTTAACTTGCTCCAGTTCTGACCACCCCTGACTCTTTCAATATCCTTCCTCTGTTTCCATTACAAGACAATATTCTCCTTCTCTTTCTGCCCTCTTCATTGTTCCTTGACTGGCTTTTACTTCCTGTGGTGATTTTCCAAGATACAACCTGGCCATACACCTCTTTCTTCATAATTCTCCCTCAGCAGACCGATCCATGATTTTGGTTACCATGTGGATTTCAAATGGGACTTAGGTATCATCTCCTCTCAGTAGCTTCCCTCAGAAAAAGGCAGATGCCGCTCACTCTGCCTTTCCACAGATATAATTTAGGCATTCCCTGGATTCTAATGATCAATACATTATACTATAGCTTGTATGTTCCCCTAATACAGCATATAGCTTCTCAATAGCAACTAACTCGGTACTTGTCACATATTAATTGTTCGACAAGTATCTGTTGAATTAATAAAGGAATATCTAATATAAGCCTCTAGTTAGGCTGGGCACCCCAAATACCCAATACTCATCTCCCTTTGTTCCTTTTTTTCCTGCTGTTCCTCTACATGGAATGCCTTTCCCCTGCATCTCTTGAACCATCTGAATTGCACTAATAGGCCGGGTGCAGTGGCTCATGTCTCTAATCCCAGCACTTTGGGAGGCCGAGGCAGACGGATCACCTGAGGTCAGGAGTTCAAGACCAGCCTTGCCAATATAGCAAAACCCAGTCTCTATTAAAAATACAAAAATTAGCCAGGTATGGTAAATACAAAAATTAGCCAGGTATGGTGGTGTACGCCTATAATCCCAGCTACTCAGGAGGCAGAGGCAGGAGAATCACTTGACCCCAGGAGGCAGAGGTTGCAGTGAGCCAAGATCGTGCCACTGCACTCCAGCCTGGGTGACAGAGCAAGGTTCCATCTCAAAAAAAGAAAGAAAAAAAAAAAAAAAAAAGGAAAAGAAAAAAGAAAAACAAAAATAAATTGCTCCTTACATGTCATTAAAAAAAATAAATTTACCATATAAGTACTGAAAGTTATATATTTTCAGTTGCTAGTTTTTAATAATTTGACTTGTATTAAAAGGTAGTACCACTTTTAAAATATAAGCAATTATTTACTTTTTCAAATGCTGACTTTTTAAAATACTAGACTCAATGGACAGAAAGGGAGAAAAAGAGAGAGAGAAAGAACTTCATATGTGTTTTTCTACTACTATACCATTAATAACTAAAAAGAGCCTGGCACATAGTAAGCACTTCATCCACTCAAAAAATAGCAATTGAGAAATTCCTGTATGCCAAATAAATACTAAGTAAATGAGTAAGGGAAAAGTGAGAATCACATTAAATGTTTTGGTTAAGGTATTGATTGTGTTTCACTTATTCATTCATTCGGTATTCACTGGGGCATCTATGCACCAGGCATTGTTCTATGCTCAAGGGACATAGCTGTATAAGAAAACAAACATAATCTCACCTTCATGAAGCTCATATTCTAGTAATGGAGACACTAAATACAATACGTAAGTAAAATACATTAGTGGCAAGTGCTAAGGAATAAAGCAAGGACATGAGAAAGTTTGGATAGAATGAAAGTTTGGATAGATGAAAGTTTAGATAGAATTCCTAGGCAAAGTATCATTGAGAAGGTGCTAGGTGAGTACAGACTCTAAAGACATGAGCAGGAAGATCTGCTGAAGGACTGGATTTGCTAACTGAGAAATTAAGGATAAATCCACGGCTTTTAGCCTGAGCAACGAGATGAATGGATTGTCATTTATTGACACAGGAAAGCAATGGAGGAAAGGGTACATTATTAGTTCAATTTTAGACATGTTAAGTTGAAGATGCCTTAAGTCATCCAAGATGTCAGATGTCAAATAAGCAACTAAATATATGAATCTGGAGTTCTGGGTAGAAGTTGTAAATCTGGGAGTCACTAGCATATAGTTTTCTACTATGTTTTCAAGTACACTAATCTTGCTCTCTGCAGTTTCTAATTTGCTGTTAATTCCATCCAATGTATTTTTCATCTCAGACATTATGTCAATCTGTTTTTTTTCTCTTCCGTGTCTCTCCGTATCATACTCATGCTTTTGTCTATCTCCTTGAACATACGGAAAGTATTTATAATAGCTGCTTTAACATCACTGTCTCATTGTCTACTAATTCTGTCATTTCTGAATCTTTTTTTTTTTTTTTTTTTTTTTTGACACAGGACAGGATCTTGCTCTGTTGCCCAGGCTGGACTGCAGTGCCATGATCATAGCTTTAACTCCTGGGCTCAAGTGATCCTTCCATCTCAGCCTCCCAAGTGGCTAGTACTACAGGTACATACCACACCTGACTAATTTTTAAAGTTCTTTTTGTAGAGATGGGGACCTCGCTATGTTGCCCAGACTGGTCTCAAACTCCTGGCCTCAAGCAATCCTCCCACCTCAGCCTCCCAAAGTGCTAGAATTACAAGTATGAGACACCGCACCGGATCTGTTCCTATTGATCTAGTTTTCCTTTCTTCTCATGATGGGCTCCATTTTCCTGCCTCTCTGCATGCCTGGTAATTTTTGATTGGATGCCAAACAGTCAATTTTATGCTTTTAGGTGCCAGAATTCTCTGTAGTCATTTAAATATTTTGGGCCTTTGTGTTGGCACATAGTACATTTACTTGAAACAATTTATTTGAAGCTTGCTTTTAAAGTTTTGTTAAGGCAGATCTATAACAGACTTAATCTAAGGCAAATTCATCCTCACAACTAAAGCAATTACCTTCTGGGGGCTGCCCGATGCAGCCCTGCCTGATGTGTGTTGAGAGGTCATTTCTCTTTGGCTGATGGAAACATAAACAATTTCCTAGCCTTGTGGGAGCTCTAGGGATTGTTGACCCTATTTCTTTCCCCTCCTCTGTAGTTTCCTTTCTACACACACACATACACTCGCACACATGTACTGATCAGTAGTCAGTTGAAGACTTGAAGGGAACTCACTGCAGATTGTATTTTTCTCTTTTCTAGGACTCTGCCTTCGTTCCCCATATTTTGAACTCTGTCTCCTCAATTCAGGTAGACTGCTATGCTGTTTAGGTTCTTCTCTTTGTTCTGCAGACTGGAACTCTCCAGGAATACCCCATTTGTTTCCCTTCGCTCAGAGATCACTGTCCTGTGCTGCCTGTTGTCTCAAGTCTGAAAGCCTTCATTTCATATATTTTGTCTTTTGTTTTTTAAGGTAGAAGGGTAAACCTGGATCTTGTTATTCCATAATGCAATATAGTCAATAGAATACAATTATAGAACAGTAGAGTTATAGAACAGACATAGAAGAGTTTTATTGAGATAAAATGGCAAAGCAAATAGGAAGACCGCTCCAGTTTCTAATGAGTAGGCCTTCCGAGTAAACAAACCATTTAAGAATGACACTATCAGTGACAACACGACAGACAGCCTCAACAGCCTCAGGAGAAGAGTTTATTAAGCAACAGTCTTACTTCAGGTGACCCAGTGTACAGAACATATTATAAAATATACCAAGCCCGTGTCACACAGTAGGCCTGTAAAATATTACCATCTACAGCCTCCTGCTGGTCTAGCTGCTGGGTCCAAGACTATTCTTCTAGCCTTCTCTGAAGCAGTAACATCTGGCAAGCACCCAGCATAGCCAAACCACGGTAGCCAAAGAACCACAGCCACATCTATTGCTAGCAGGCTTATCCTGATATCAGGATAAGATAATCTCACTTGAACTATTGTTCAATCTCCACTGAACTACTAAACAATAGTTCAAGTGAGATTATTTTATCCTGATATCAGGTAGGTGAATAAGTAGCAACCAGGTAGGTAAACAAGTAGATGACGTACACTGGGGGAAACTCATCTTTATTCACTGTTCTCAAAATAAAAGGCTTCTGTTTTTAGGGGCTAGGTGTTAAAAACACATTTTCAGTTAAATCCTAAAGGAGTTTAGGGAAGGAAACAAATTGTTTCTCTTGGATACTCTGATGATCTGGATAGCCAGTCCACCTACTCTTAAGTTCTGGGAATATGCAATGGGGGTCTGACCAGAAGCTACTGATCACAATGGATCCAGTAACCAACAGGACTGCAGTATTATTAGTACCTAAGACTTGGTGGACAGGAATCAGAAACTAGAAAGGGTGCCTCAAGAAAAATTTACTAAGTGTCTCGTGTTTCTTGCACGCATCTCAAGAGGTAGACTATACTAACCACATGATTATTAAATCTTGTATCCTTTGATCCAGCGACTCCTTCCAACATCCAATAGGTAGATACCTAAAACAAGTAACCAGGAGCCCATCTTGGACACTCTTTCAAAGTAACGACTGTGTCTCCTAAGGCTTTTATAGCCTCCAAGTTATCTAACACAGTGTTATGCACAAAGCTTGCTGGTTAATAAACGCCTTTAGTTAAAAAGAACTAGTGAATTTCTACATACCAAGTCAATATATGCTTGTTCATTTTCTAGCAATCTGCACCATGTAACCTTACAGAAGTCAGTCTTAAACCACTTCTCTAACCTATTTACAGAGTATCTGGTTTCATCTGAGCTCAAAACTGCCATTAAGAATCTCTTACATCTTTAACAGTTCTTGTGCTCCTCAGTGCTAGTATTCTAACAGGTTTCAGGATCCTGTCTCTTAGCACTCTAGATGAAGATGAGGAAAGTACCACAGATATCAGATACGACCAAGTATTATGTTCTGATCTTGAAGCAACTCAGGCAGTTGAGAATCATTACTGTTTTTATGAATCTGGAATTCCAATTCCTCATTCTGTAACTCAAAGGGAAAATTGAAACGGCTTAGCTGTGTTGAGCTCCAGGGACTGTCATCCTCCTCCTTTCTGAAAATTCTTTCTCTGCCTTGGTAGTTTCCTCACACACATGTGCTGATTAGTAGATCAGCTTCAGACTTGAGGGAAACCCACTATTCTCTAATCTACCTTTGACCACTGTCAACAGAGACTATTCCTCCTACAGTTTTCTCTGATAATGCTGTATCAGAGAATACAATACAATATAACCAAAGGTTATTAACAGTTCTACTGATTTAGAACTATTTAATGAGGTAATCCACGATCATGATTTTAACCATTATCATTAATCCTGTTTGTGAAAACCTGGAAACTGATATTTCCATAAACTTCTTAAGTCACAATTCAGAGTTGTTCTTTTACTTCACATTCCATCATCTTCAGATTTTTATTACCTCTAATATCAGCTCAGTTAGTGCTTAAAATTATGGCATCAGGTATCAGCCTTTATAATTACTTATATTAGCTTTTTAATAAAATTATATTCACTAGGCATAATACCAATGAAATTATATTTATAAAAAAGTTAAGGCAACTTATTCTTAAAATCTTTATATTTAAATAAGAATTTATATGTTTTGAGTATAAAATCTTAGCATCATTGATTTTTAAAAATTTCTAGAATTTACATTCAAATTTGAAAATTCACACACGTTCTCCCCCGTCCAATTTCTCACAATGTTATTTAAATTTTGCATATCAAAAAATGCTTAAAGAACAGGGCAGGCCGGGCGCGGTGGCTCAAGCCTGTAATCCCAGCACTTTGGGAGGCCGAGACGGGCGGATCACGAGGTCAGGAGATCGAGACCATCCTGGCTAACACGGTAAAACCCCGTCTCTACTAAAAAATACAAAAAACTAGCCGGGCGTGGTGGCGGCGTCTATAGTCCCAGCTACTCGGGAGGCTGAGGCAGGAGAATGGCGTAAACCCGGGAGGCGGAGCTTGCAGTGAGCTGAGATCCGGCCACTGCACTCCAGCCTGGGCAACAGAGCCAGACTCCGTCTCAAAAAAAAAAAAAAAAAAAAAAAAAAAAAAGAACAGGGCAAATTTGGGTGTTGTAAACTATGGATAGTAAAATTTAACATTCCACCCCATTTAATATGTAAATAATGTGAGGACATTTCTTTTTCATAATCACCAAATATTCAGGTCCAAACTAACTTGCAAGGGTCACTAAACAAAGCTTCATACCTCATTAATTATTATTGCATTTGCTCTTAAAGCTCACTCTAATCATTATTCCATTGTATTACAGTACGTACCTTATGTGAATCCATTTCAGCTTTCAATTTGTTTTGTGCCCACTTTACTTTGATGATGTGAGAGTTAATGTCTTCCTTTAATTTGTCTATTTCTCTGATGAGTCTAGTCGTTTCACCTTCCTAAAATAATATCACTAGGTCATATATTTGCATTTATAGAATCAATTATGTGTTTATCTTTTATATCTCCCACAACGTAATCAGTCCAGTAATACAATAATCAAGGGCTGGCACACTATGGCCCACAGACTATAAAACTGATTTAAAGTCCAAATGATGAGAGGGTAGTAAAATCCTAAATCCAATTAAGAGAAACAAAGATGTTTAACATTTACATTTTAACCAACTGGATGTGTTGTCAACACAACATACCTTTATGATTCTTAACTGGCTGGCATTAATGTGAAATATGAACTAAATTGGTTTTGTCAGAATTCCTGAGGACGATGACAATGTTCCTGAACTAAAAGCTAATGAAAAAAAAAAAACATTTATCATTGAAAAATGCTAATGCACTGGAAATATGACCGTTGAGAGGCTGCTAGTTAACAGGAAGGGTTCTGAATAGGTGGCTCAGTAACGAAATCTCTTTAGACAGTATCTAAGAAAGACATGTTTTTCGTAAGAAAAACATAAATTCTCTTCTATGGTGGTAAGTGTTACATTAAGATTATATAAAATTATACTTCTGGCTCTAAAATTATTCACATTTGACGCTACTATATACATATTTTACCAAAATATAATATTCCCTTGAGAAGCAAACAAATTTCTCCAACATACAGATTTTAAAAGAAAGTTTTTAGAAAGCTCAAGAAAAAGTTATCTAATAAACCTGTGCCAACACTTCATCTTTTCCCTAGCAAGCTTTTTCTCTGCAGACAAGTAATAAAACACTTGAATTACTAAAATATTCATGGTTTTAGAAGCTAAACTAATAAAAACAACTTTACATTTGAGTGTTAACCATGTTAAATTATGATTATTTGATTAAATACGGAAAAGCAAAGAGAACAAATTTCAAATAAGGTCAACATATTTCAAATGGCGCAAATTATACCTTAGTTTCATACAGCTGGTGCAACCGTCCTTTCTCCTGAGAAAGCTGTTTAATTTTGTTAGTGTTTTTCTCAAGTTCCTTATTTGTATCTCTAAGTTTTTTCTCAAGTGTCTCTTTTTCCTTTCGAAGGTCTAAAGATTCCTTTTCACCTCTTACATACTTCATTACCATTGCTTCTTTTTCTTGGCGTGCCTCTTCACATTTCTTGTTGGCCTTCAAAAAAAAAAATTACTTAGCATTAATGAAAAGTAATTTTCCAAATGGAAATGTATCGAAATACACGGTATTTGTCTCTTATATTACCAATGCATTTTTTTTTTTTTTGCACAACATTCCCAGGACTTGTGCCATGAAATTTTAAAATGAAAGAAAAAATTCAAAATTGTAGAAAAATTGTACAATATCCCTAGCATTTGCCTTTACCCTTTCCTGTTCCTTTTACTTTGGCTAATATGGTTGCTATTTTTCATGTACTCCTCCAGATCCCCTTTCCCACCTTTTTTTTATTCCATGTGGTGTCCCAGGAGCATGACATCATGAACCCTATCAATGAGCTCTCTTGACCTCAAACTTCCAATTGGGTTCAGCCAATAGAAGGCAGTAGGCAGAAGCTTGGGAATGTAGGCAGAGTGAGATCTGGCTCCTCCAGAGTTCCCACAGGTTGGCTGATAGCCATTCCTCTTGTCAGGTGCCCTCTCTATACAACTACCCTCTGGGGTGTAATACCTGCTCCTTGTCCAGCAGCCCTGAAATTCTGCATCTTCCCTTTTTGGGCTCCCTAAATCCTGTTCACACCTTGACAAAGAGTCTTTTTATTAAGTTATCTTCATCACCAGTTTAAGTGTGCCATCTGTTTTCTGCCAGGACCCTGACCGTACAGCTGACAATTTCTAAAATCTTAACTCTCTTTCGAAAATTAAAGTAGCCATATGCTAACAAATGACCATTTAATTTTCTATTTATGAAAAGCTTTCTGAAGCATTTTACACTTAATAAGAAACACCTAATTGGATTAAGTATGAAAATTATATACTCATTTAAAAATTGTCTCTTAGTATGAACCGGAACTCCATATTCTGAAATTTCACAGAATGAAAACTTCTACAAATAGGCCTTCTTTGAAGCAAACTCATGGTTTGCAAATATGGTGAAGCACACATTTATTTTACAAAAGATAGAACTTCAAATTTTAGGAATTTTCAATATCTTCTGTGGTAAATACACACCGATAATGCAACTGAATTGAAGAAGGTAATTATTAAAGTTAGCAGAATGTAGGAAAAGCTTCTATGCTTTGATGAAAAATGGCTGACAAAAATGTTTCATAAAGTTCTGGCACTGCTGATAAACACATCTAGTCAACACTGAGAACGCTATACATATACATATAAGTACTTTAAAAATCTCCCAATTGGGATTTGTTTCCATCGAAATAGTCCACTAATCTTCAACTTAAGAAACACATAGAATTAGGGATATGATAGGCCCCTGAGGATGTAACAATGTGCTTGTAGACAAGGACTGAGAAAATTATGCTGGACTTGGCCAACAGAATTAGATTTTTAGACAACTGAGTATCTGTACTTAGAAAAAGTCAATAGTTCATTATCAACTTTAAGAGAAGTCTGGTTTCATAATTATTTAATATTCAGATAATGTATCGGCTATTGGAAACAAAGTAGCAGTTGTGGCCTCTGAAAGACCTCACCATCTAGAGAGAAAGATATATAAACAAACATTATAATATGAAATATTATAGTAAATGAAGGTACAAAGTCCTTCAAAACATGAAAATACTTACATTCCCTGGGAGGAGTTGGCAGGAAGGGTAAAAGATGCTATACTTGAGCTAGGTATTAAAGGCTAAGCAGAATTCAATAGAATATAAAGGGTGAATCAAGGAAAGGAATTAAAAATAGAGTGAATATCATGTGCAAACACCTAAAAGTATAAAACAGCATGACATATTTAGGGGATATCAAGTTATTTTATAAGGCTTAAATTTGGTATGTTGGCTGGAGTGGGAAGGAAGCAGTTATGAAAACAAAAAGTGTAGATTAGATCCTGAAAGGAAGAACTACTTCTGTTATGGTAATCATGGTAATCAGTTGAGGTTTTATTCCATAGTCAACGTAAAGCCAAAGAAGAATTGATGAATCAGAAGCTCTAATTAAAATGTGTGTTTTAGTAAGATAACTGGTAGTAGCACGGGAGCTTTTCTGAAGTTGAGAGATGGGGGGCAGAAAATAATCGAAAACAGGTAATTGTAATAGATAAGGTGAAATATTATGAGGGTCTTGGCTGGGTGCAAGGGGTCATGCCTGTAATCCCAGCACTTTGGGAGGCTGAGGTGAGCAGATCACTTGAGCCCAGGAGTTCGAGACCAGTCTGGACAACATGGCAAAACCCCATATCTACAAAAAACCAAAAAATTAGCTGGGCATAGTGGTGTGCACCTGTAGTCCCAGATATTCAGGAGGGCTAAAGCGGGAGGTCTCTTGAGCCCAGGAGGTTGAGGCAGGAGTTAGCCATGATTGCACCATTGCACTCCAGGCTGGGCGAAAGACCCTGTCTCAGAAAAAAAAAATAAGCGGAAAACATTATGAGAGTCTTTACTATAGCAGGGAATGGTGTACCAGATAATAGCTCTGTTACTCATGGGGTCATCCATAGATCAACTGCAAAGGAATAACCTGGGGTGCTTGTTAAAAGTTCACACTCCTGGATCCTGCCCCATTCTGCTAATGGCAGCACCTACCTCACAGCATTATTGGGAGTATTAAACAAGACAATACAATAACTGCTATTTAAACTATTATAGAAAGTTCATTTCTGGCACAGATAAAGGAAGACAGGCCAATTAAGGTATTTGGATTTACCCACTATAAGAAAGATGATTATCATTGACTTGGATAAAGATAAGTAAAACATGAATAAGATAACCAACAGATAAAATAAACACAAAGTATATGAAGTGTAGCTTCTACGAGTATGGCAGATAAACCCTCCTCATAAATACCAAAAATTTTAGATGAAAAATAACAAATATCTTTTAATATACAGTTGAGCTCACAAGAAAGTATGGGAAATTTCCAGGGCTAAAAGATCTAAGACAAAGTAGAAATCCAGAATGGTATACTACGGCTATAAAACCTTCACTGCCCTGTGATATTTACTGGTATCAGGCCATGGGAGATGTGGGTGGGGGAAATGTTATCAAGTCCCTGAGAATTTATAATATAGCTACACCCTCTTGTAAGCAGGGTTCAAATACATTCTACCTATCTGGTCTATGAAATGAGGAAACCTTGGCCGGGCACGGTGGCTCACACCTGTAATCCCACCACTTTGGGAGGCCAAGGCAGGTGGATCACGAGGTCAGGAGATCAAGACCATCCTGGTTAACACGGTGAAACCCCATCTCTACTAAAAATACAAAAAATTAGCCAGGTGTGGTGGCGGGTGCCTGTGGTCCCAGCTACTCAGGAGGCTGAGGCAGGAGAATGGCGTGAACTCGGGAGGTGGAGGTTGCAGTGAGCTGAGATTGCGCCACCGCACTCCAGTCTAGGTGACAGAGTGAGACTCTGTCTCATTAAAAAAAAAAAAAAAGAAAAGAAATGAGGAAACCTCAATCTGGAAACTAAACAGCGGGTGAATGTGTGTGTGCACGTGAACATGGGTAAACACATATGGGAATCTATTTTTAAACAAAACTTACTAGGTTTAGTGACAATAGGTGAAAGATAAACAGGTGTTCATTTCACTAATCTTTCACCTTTTCTATATGCTTGAAAATTCTCAAAAAGTTGGGAGGAAAAGTTAGGGGAAAACAAGAATGAGGCAGATCTATTAATAATTAAATAAATCAGTTTTCCAAAATCTACTTTAATAATATCTACTTCTTAGGGTTATTGTGAAGATCAAACAAGTTAACACTTGTGAAGTATTTTGAACATGGCTTTGCATACAGCTAAAACTCAGTATATCAGCTACTATTATTAGCATCACCTACACTCTTCATCATTAAGGAGAAAACATACATAGTAGTGAGTGTAGTATATTGCCATTTGTTTTTTAAAGGCAGGGAGGGAAAAAAGAAAAATACACAAGTGTCTATGCAACAAACAATTTTGGAAGGATACACAGGAAACTGGCATCAGTGGTTCCCTTTAGGAAGGGGGTAAAATGTTTGGAAGAAGATTTTTTCAAATGTTTGAATTGTTACCATGTACACCAACTACTATTTTATTTTAAATATTAAGCTTCAGAGAGTTTTAGGAAGGAAGGAAGGAAGGAAGGGAGGAAGGGAGGAAGGGAGGAAGGGAGGAAGGGAGGAAGGGAGGAAGGAGGGAAGGCAGGCAGGCAGGCAGGCAGGCAGGCAGGCGGGCAAGGGCAAAAGGAAAAGAAGAAGGAAGGAAGGAAAGCTCACCAGTTGATTCTAATGATTGGCTGGCTATGTTTGGGCCCGCTAAAACCAGTTACTTCTAAAGCTCTTCGGCTCTTTATTTCCCTTCAATTAGTACAAAAGGGTTCAGAACTGATAGTAGGGGATTTAAACATAACATTTCTAATGCAAGGGGTCAGCATGTTTTAAAGAATCATCCAAATAAAGGCTGAGGATAATGTGTTTCCTAAAGTCCTTCCAGAATGCCATCTATAGTAGCAGCTTCAGGGTAGAAAGGGTGGGATCCACCACAGTCAAATAATGAAGGTGTGAGTTAACCCTTTCAGATTCAAATCACTGTGAGGACTAATTGTTGGTCAGATACTGTGCTATGTTTTGTGGATACAGAAATGAAGATAACAAAGATGTCATCCATAGAGTTCAGGCAAGTAATAAAAAAACACTGCTTAAAATGACCTCTTCTGAGATCATATATAGCAACTCAAAAAGATTACCAAGGTATATTAAGTATGGGAAAAAAGGTTACAAAAAAGATGTACAGTATTATTCCAATCAAGCAGGGGGAAAAAAGTATATGACCATGCACAAATAAACATGTGTGACTTGTACATGTATATGTAGTAAGATACATAACCAAAATACCAATAATTAGCTATGAAAGAAGGAATGGGATATAAAAGGATTGCAAGCAGGGGAAAAAGACATAGAGATTAAAAAAAAATTCACTTTTTATTCCATATGCTTTAATTTATTCATCTGTATGTATTTACACATTGATTTAGAATTTCTAATGACTTATTTATTATTTTTTTTTAAGACAGTGTCTTGCTTTGTCACCCAGGCTGGAGTGCAGTGGTGCAACCTTGGCACACTGCAACCTCCGCCTCCCAGGTACAAATGATTTTCCTGCCTCAGCCTCCCAAGTAGCTGGGACTACAGGTTTGCGCCACCACGCCCGGCTAGCTTTTTTTTATTTTTAGTAGAGATGGGGTTTCACCATGTTAGCCAGGCTGGTCTCAAACTCCTGACCTCAGGCAATCTGCCCGCCTCAGCCTCCCAAAGTGCTGGGATTATAGGTGTGAGCCATCGAGTCCGGCCTAATGGCTTATTTTTATATAAAAGAATTACCTAGTATTAATACAATAGTGAGGTCCAAAATAGTCTTAACAGTGTTAGCTTATTTTAACAAACAAGAGTCACCAGAATATCAAGTTAATAATGACAACGATGTGAGAAATACCTGTTCCATCCGTTGGGCCATCTCTTTGTGTAATTGCTGAATTGCATTTTTAGCTGTAATGTCTTGAGCTACTAGTTTATCTTTGGAAGCTTTAACTTCTTTATTAAGTTCTTCTATTCTTGATTCTAACTGTAAAGAAAATTATATCCAAATTATTTTTATAGCTATACCAAACAGACCACGAATACTGCAAATAAATATAAACAAAGTAAATAAACATAAAGAATACAACGAATATACTTCAGCTATAGAAATAAAAACTTTCAGCAATGCTTCTATATCTCATTGGCATTTAATAAAAATCTGGAGATTCCATTAAGTTAAGGTACCTGGCAACCCCTAGAATAGCCACTAAGGAATAACGCAAAGAAATACAGTAGAGTCCCGCCTTATCTGTGGCTTCACTTTCTGTGGTTTCAGCAACCTTCAATCAACCACAGTCCAAAAATATTAAATAAAAACTTCCAGAAATAAACAATTCACAAGTTTTTAATTGCATGACATTCTGAGTAGTGTGATGAAATCTTGTTCTGTCTTACTACGTCTCACTCAGATTGTGAGTCATCCCTTTGTCCAGCATGTCTGCACTGTACACACTACCTGCCAGTTAGTCACTTAGCAGCCATCTCAGTTACCAGATTGACTATGGCAGGATGACAGTGCTTGCATGCAGCAACACTTAGCCCTTAATTAATAAGTAAGTTTACGTATTAGTGGCCCCAGAGTATAAGAATAGTGATGCTGGCGATCCACAAGTGCCAAAGAGAGGCTTTAAAGTACTTATTTTAAGTGAAATGGTGACTTGAAAGAAAAAAAATCGTATGCTGAGGTTGCTAAGATCTATAGTAAGAATGAATCTTCTATCCACGAAACTGTGAAGAAGAAAAAAGAAATTCATCCTAGTTTTGCTGTCACACCTCAAACTTCAGAAGTTATGGCCACACTGCATGAGCGCCTTGTTAAGACAGGAAAGGAGACAGGCAGTGGCTTATGCTTGTAATCCCAGCACTTTGGAAAGCTGAGGAGGGGGAATTGCCTGAGGTCAGGAGTTCAAGACCAGCACAGTCAACACAGCAAGACCCAATCTCTACAAAAAATTTTAAAAATTAGCTGGGCATGGTGGTGCATGCCTGTAGTCCCATCTACTCAGGAGGCTGAGGCAGGAAGATTGCTAGAGCCCAGGATTTTGAGGCAACAGTGAGCTGTGATCCCACCATGGTACGCCAGCCTGGACATCAGAGTGATGAGACCATGTCTCCGGAAAAAAAAAAAAAAAGAAAATGAAAAGGGCATTGATTTGTCAGGGGCAGACATAAACAGAAACATATTCTGATTAATGGCAATCAGGTTCAGTGCTATTGACAATTTCATGCATCTACTTAGGATCTTGGAAGAAATTCCCCTCAGATAAGGGGGAATTAATGTACCATATAGAGAAAATATCATGAAAGAAATGTAAATGTTATATTAGACAACATTCACTTAATGCAAAAGAAGGCAGTGAAGGAGGAATAGGGGAAGAAAAAAGACTTGAAACATAGAAAACGAACGATATGGCAGACATAAATCCCACCATCAATAACAACATTAAATGAAAGTCGATTTAATAACCATGTAAAAAGGCAGAAATTAACAGACTTAATTAAAAAAACAAGATTCAACTATATGTTGTCTACGGAAGGCATTTTAGTTTCAAAATGCAAACAAACTGAAAAGAGTGGAAAAAATACATAATGCAAACAGCAATCATAAGGAAGGAAGAGTGGCTATACTTACATAAAAAAGACTAAAATTAAGAATGTTACCAGAGATAAAGAATAGCTCATAAAAATAAAAGATCAAGCCATCAGAAAGATCTAACAGATAAATGTATAAGCATCTAAGAATGTAGCATCAAAATACATGAGACAAAAACTAACAGAAATAAAAGGGGAAACAGACAAGTCAACAATATTTGGAGACTTCACTACCCTACTTTCAAATAACGAATAGAATTAGGCAGATGATTAACACAGAAATAGGAGACTTAAGCACTACAAAACAATGGAATCTAATACATCTACACAACACTCCACCCAGGAACAGCAGTGTATACACTTTCAAGTGCACATGGAATATTCTCCATGACAGAGGATACGCTAGGTTACAAACAAACTTCCATAAATTTAAATGATTAAAATCATATGGAGTATGTTCTCCTATCATAATGAAATAAAATGAGACCTCAGTAACAGAAAGAAATTTGGGAAATTCACATATTTGTGAAAATTAAACCACATACTCCCTAAATAAACACAGAAGAAACTGCAAGGGAAATTAGGAAGTACTAGATGACTAATGAAAATGAAAACATAATATACCACAACTTAGGAGACACATCTAAATGAGTGCTTAGAGGAAAACTTATAACTATAAATACCTATATTAAAAAAGAAGAAAGGGGGCCAGGTGCAGTGGCTCATGCCTATAATCTCAGCACTTTGGTAGGCAGAGACAGGAGGATCACCTGAGGTCGAGAGTTCGAGACCAGCCTGGCCAACATTGTGAAACCCCCATCTCTACCAAAAATACAAAAATTAGTTGGGTGTGGTGGTGGGCGCCTGTAATCCCAGCTACTCGGGACGCTGAGGCAAGACAATCACTTGAACCCAGGGCCAAAGTTGCAGTGAGCTGAGATCGCGCCACTGCCCTCCAGTCTGGGTGACAAGAGTAAAATGCTGTTTCAAAAAAAAAAAAAAAGAAGAAAGGATATCAAACTAATAACCTAAACTTCCATCTTAAGACACTGGAAAAAGAGTAAACTAAACCGAATACCAAGAGGAGGAAGAAAGTAATAAAAACTAAAACGGAAATTGATGAAATGAAGAATAGAAAAACAGAGACAAGCCCAGGTGAAGTGGCTCATGCTTGTAATCTCAGCACTTTGGGAGGCTGAGGCAGTGGATCGCTTGAGCTCACGAGTTCAAGACCAGCCTGGGCAATACAGTGAAAACCCGTCTCCACAAAAAAATACAAAAATTAACTGGATGTGGTAGTGCATGCCTGTAGCAGCAGCTACTCAGGAGGCTGAGGTGGGAGGATCACTTGAGCCTTATAGGTAGAGGCTGCAGTGAACCAAGATCGTAACACCACACTCCAGCCTGGGTGACAGCGCCAGACTCTGTCTCAAAAAAAAAAAAAAAAAAAAGAAAAAAGAAAAGAAAGAAAAAGAAAAGAAAAGAAAAAGAAAAACGGAGACAACAAACAAAACCAAAAATTAGTTCTCTGAAAAGATGAAAATTGACAAACCTTTAGTTGGAATGACTGAGGAAAAAAGAAAGATGACTGAAATTACTAGAATCAAAATGAAGGAGGGACATTACTACTGATCTTATAGAAATAAAAAGAATTGAATGAATAAATACTATGAACAATTTAACTTAGAGATGAAATGAACAATTCCTAGAAGACACAAACTACCAAAACTGACTCAAGAAGAAATAGAAGATCTGAACAGACCTATAACAAGTAGAGATTGAATCAGAATAACAAAAAAGAACAACAACGAAAACCTACCCACAAAGAACAATTCAGGCCCAGGTGGCTACACAGGTAAAATTCTTTAAAACAATTAAAGAAGAATTAATGCCAATTCTTCACAAATTTTTGCTCTTCCCCCAAAAAGGAACACTTCCCAACTTATTCTATTCATTCCTAGGTATACACCTGAGAGAAATGAAAGCATATGTACACATAAAAACTAGTACATCAATGTTCAGAGGCACTATTCATAATAGTCAAATGGCAGAAACAACCCAAATGTCCATCAACTGATGAAGGGGTAAACATTAAAACATCAAATATCTATATAATGAACTACTATTCAATCATTAAAAAGAATGAAGTACTGATACATGCTACAACTTGAATGAAACCTTAAAAACACTATGTTAAATAAAACAAGCTAGATAAAAAGGGGTATTTATTATATAATTCCTTTTATATGAAACGTCCAGAATAGGGAAATACGTAGAGACCAAAAGATTACTTGTTCCCTAGGGCAAGGTTGAGGGAGTACTGTTGGAGGGAAACGAGAAGTGACTACTAATGTGTGCTGCATTTCTTTTTGGGGTGATGGCATGTTCTATAATTGTGGTGGTTGTACAAGTAAAAGTCACTGAATTGTACACTTAAAATAAGTGAACTGTGTGGAAGGTTAATTATATCTCAATAAACCTGTTGAAAGAGACCTAAATCTTACTTTATCATACACATATACTAATTTTCCTTATTACAAAATTATCTACAGCAACACTGAGCTATAGAAGTACAAGCCACGTGTGGAATTTAAACTTTCTAGTAGTCACACTTTAAAAAGTAAAATTCTTTTTACTGCTGAGTGCAGTGGCTCATGCCTGTAATCCCAGCACTTTGGGAGGCCAAGATGGGCAGATCGCCTGAGGTCAGGAGTTCAAGACTGGCCTGGCTAACATGGTGAAACCCTGTCTCTACTAAAAATACAAAAATTAGCCAGGCGTAGTGGCAGGTGCCTGTAATCCCAGCTACTCAGGAGGCTGAGGCAGGAGAATCGCTTGAACCTGGGAGATGGAGGTTGCAGTGAGCCAAGATCGCGCCATTGCACCCCAACCTGGGCAACAAGAGCGAAATCCCATCTCTAAAATAAAATAAAAAATAAAAAAAAGAAACAGGTGAAATAGTTTATTAAACCCAATATATCCAAAATATTATCATTCCAAAATTATCAATCCATGTGAAAAAAATGAGCTGTTTTATTTTTATACTAACTCTTCTAAGTTACACGTGTATTTTACACTTACAGCACTTCTCAATTTAGACTAGCTACCTTTGAAGTGCTCAATAGCTATATGCAGCTGGTGGATGCCACATTAGATAGTGCAGATCTAGAGATAAAATTAAGGAAGAAAAGCCTGTTATACTGATTTTCTATTTAGAAGTATAAAGTTATTGAAATGCTAGCAAAAGAAAGGTGAATCCAATTTTCTCTGAAAAACAAACAAACAAACAAAAAAAACAAAAAACCACTAATAAGCTCGTGAAAGGAAGGGCTCTGGTTCCATTCTACCTGTTCAGTCTGAAGTTTCTGGTCATTGAGTGACCTGACTACCAAAATATGGATTCAGCCTGTTATTAAGGCTCCCTCACACTTTACCATTCTAACTTTGGTTTATATGTGGGGACCCTAGAGCACATCAAAATCAGGATTAAATATATACAATTTTACAAATACAGTCACCTTCCAATCACACATCAAGTGAAAACTTGTTTTACCAATTGTTTACTGTTATTTTCGTTATATAACTTTCTGTGAAAGATGAGACAAAATAAAATACTTTTAAGGCTAGAATGCTTCTAACCCTTTTCACAGAAGAAAAAGCACCTCAAAAATAAAGAGCAGCTCAGCTTTGCTATTAGTCTGAATATTCACTTTGTTGATTCATGCATCAGAGGAGTTCATTTAAAAACTAGAAAGAGGCGGGGGCAGTGGCTCATGCCTGTAATCCCAGTACTTTGGGAGGCCAGGCTAAGGCAAGTGGATCACTTGAGGTCAGGAGTTCAAGACCAGCCTGGCCAACATGGTGAAATCCTGTCTGTAATAAAAATACAAAAACTGGCTGGGTGTGGTTGGTGGCCGTCTATAATCCCAGGTACTTGGGAGGCTGAGGCAAAAGAATCACTTGAATCCAGGAGTCAAAGATTGCAGTGAGCCAAAATTGTGCCATTGCATTCCACCCTGGGTGATGAGAGCAAAACTCTGTCTCAAAGAAAAATAAAAAGTAAAAAAAAAAAAAAAGAAAGAAAGAAAAGGACAGGCTAGGAAAGCCAGTAAGCCAGATGCAATCTAGCCTTCATAACATAGTTTTTAAAAATACTGAGAATGGAACCACACCAAAATATAAACTTAAAACATCCTAATATCAGACATAAACTTTTATATTTCGATTGCTTCTCCCTGTTGGCAAAAACAGTCTAGTTGACTGTCAACTCAAATCGTCTTTTTGCTTATTTTGAACATAACAGAATGTGTTCTACTATATGTAGTACAGCAGTCACACATATAAGAATAAACTTACATAAAAGGAAATACATCAGGCTATGAGTCCTACTTTGTAAAAGAGAATGGTTTAAATGCCACACAATTCTCTGCATTTAGAATATGATTTACCTTATAGAACTTCAACTTATACGAAAGTTTTTTTTTTTTTTTTTTTTTGAGATAAGATCTCACTCTGTCACCCAGGCTGGAGTACAGTGGCACAATCTCAGCTCACTGTAGCCTCAATCTCCCAGACTCAAGTGGTCCATCCACCTCAGCCTCCTGAATAGCTGAGATTACAGACGCATGCCACCAGATGCAGCTAATTTTCTGGGGTTTTTTTTTTTTTTTTTTTTTTTTGTAGACAGGGTTTCACCATGTTGCCCAGGCTGGTCTCAAACTCCTGGGCTCAAGTAATCCACCCACCTTGGCCTCCCAAAGTGCTAGGATTACAGGCGAGAGCTGCCACAACCAGTTGCCATGAATGTATTTATTTTATTAATTGAAGTATGGTCTTTGAAGATTTTTTCTTTTTTACCTGTTTAATTGTGTTCATATGCTGCTTCTCTGTTTCTGTTCTTTTTTTTAGTTCTTCTCTTAAATTGTCTTTTTCTGAACAAATGTCTACGAAGAGCTCCTGATGCTTCTTATTTTCTTTAATTAACCTAAATATAAAAAGGGCAGTATATGTAAAACATAATTTAAAATGGAGATAAACTAATATGTGGAATATAATTTGTTTACAGATTAGGGTATAGATATCTATAATTATTCATTATAATGTTAATAAATTAACATTCCTAAATAATCATTTTATAGTGAAACATAATACTATGCAAAAGATTCTCTGGCTAATTAGGCTATTAACTTTTCCCTAGAAATATGAATATTTCAAATCAAAACATAATCAGATGAATGAAAAGCACGCTCTTCCAAATGTATACCTTCGGGTATCTCAATTATGCACCAATCCTGTCAGCATTGACACTCTGCAAATAAGTGGTTCTCAACGACGGGCAATTTTGCCTTTCCAGGCAAATCTGTCTGAAGACATTTTTGGTTGTCATAACAGGGGTAGGGGCTGCTACTGGCATCTAGTGGATGGAGGCCAGGGAAGCTGCTAAAAACATCCTACAATGCACAAGACAACTCCAACAACAAAGAATCTGGCCCCAAAGGGCAATACTGCTAAAGCTGAAAAGTCTTGCTTTAGATTTTAACTATTTTAATGATATTCTAATAGTTATAATGTACAGTCAACATAAAACAGCAAAATAAAATCTAGGCAGAAATATCATCTTGAATTCCCTTAGAAAAATAGAAATAAAATCTCAAAAACTGCCTGCAAAGCGCTAATATAAGATACCTAAGAAAGTTAACAGCAAGTACTCAAGGCCTTAGCTGTAACCTGACACTTATTGCACATTTGCTATTGGTTAAATTTAGTTTTTTTAGTTTAAAAAAGTGTATTATTTCATTTAGTATTCAAAATAAGTCTATGAAATTATTACTATCACTTCTGTTTTACAAATTAAAAAAAAAAACTAATTAGGCATGATGGCTCATGCCACGAGTCCCAGGAGAGGCACTTGATTCCAGGAGTTCCAGGCTGCAGTGAGCTCCACTGCACTCCTGCCTGGGCAACAGAATAAGACCCTTGTCTCTAAACATAAAATATTAATAGCAAAACAAAACTGAAGCCTAAGACTTATTCCAGGTCACACAGCTATTAAGCAGTTGAACTCTGAATTTTGTTTTGGATCCAGGTATGGTACCAAAGCCCCAGGCCTTTCCACCTTCCACTTCGAAGATCACTCATTAACTCAACAAGTACTTACTCGGCATCTATTTTATGTGGGAAATATGTCAGCAAACAGCCCCTGCCCTGGCGGAACTTACATTCATTCTAGGGGATTAAATAAAAATAGACCTTAGATATATAACAAAAATGTCAGCTGGTGATTGAGTCCTATTAAGAAAAATAAAGGAGAGCGAAAAGCCAGAGAGTGACTTGAGCTGCTATTTTAGATAAGTAGTCCAGACAGGCTTCTCTGAAAAGGTGACAGTTGAGCCTAGGAATACAGTGAGGAAACAATCATACAAATGTTTGGAAAAAAGGCAAATACATGCATGCTTATTCAAGCCTTTTATGACATAGTGGTTTAACTTAGATCATTTATGTGAGGCATACTCAATGTGCTACAGAAAACTGCTTGAGATACAAGAGTCCTGGCTATAGTTCACAAGCGAACAATAAAGGCAGGGGGAAGTGAAGAGCAGTAAACACTCAATTTGTTACTTGTGTGCCAAATGCATATTCTATATACAAACAACTGTTCTTAATTAAGAATTTTGATCCCAGCACTTTGGGAGGCCAAGGCGGGCAGATCACAAGGTCAAGAGATCGAGACCACCCTGGCAAACATGGTGAAACCCCGTCTCCACTAAAAATACAAAAATAAGCTGGGTATGGTAGCACGTGCCTGTAGTCCCAGCTACTCGGGAGGCTGAGGCAGGAGAATCGCTTGAACCTGGGAAGCGGAGGTTGCAGTGAGCCGAGATCCGCCACTGCACTCCAGCTTGGCAACAGAGCGAGACTCCGTCTGAAAGGAAAAGAAAAACAATTTTGGGCTGGTCACAGTGGTGCATGCCTATAATCCAGGCACTCTGGGAGGCCAGTGTGGGTGGATCGCCTGAGCTCTGGAGCTCCAGACTAGCCTGGGAGACATCATGAAACCCCATCTCTACAACAAAAAAAAAACAACACAAAAGTATTAGCTGAGCATAGTGACGCACACCTGTAGTCCCAGCTACTTGGGATGCTGAGGTGGGAGGACAAATTGAGCACAGGAGGTCGAGGCTGCAGTGAGCTGAGATCACACCCACTACACTCCAGCTTGGGGGAGAGAGAAAGACCCTATCTCAAAAAAAAAAAAAAAAAGAAGAAGAAGAATTTTGGGCCAGGCGCAGGGGCTCACACCTGTAATCCCGGAACTTTGGGAGGCTGAGGTGGGTAGATCACTAGAGGTCAGGAGTTTGAGACCAGCCTGGCCAACATGGTGAAACCCTGTCTCTACTAAAAATACAAAAATTAGCTGGGTGTAGTGGTAGGCACCTGTAGTCCCAGCTACTTGGGAGCCTGAGGTAGGAGAATTGCTTGAATCCAGGAGGCAGAGGTTGCAGTGAGCTGCAGTCGCGCCACTGTACTCCAGCCTGTATGACAGAGCGCAACTCCACCTCGAAAAAAAAAAAAAAAAAAAGAATTTGGTTGGAACCTTAGACAGTAATATTGATGTGTTCAAAAATCAAGGAACAGAAATAAAGAGAAGAATGGTGCTTGCGAGGGCACGGGGGTGAGGGAAAAGGGTAGATGTTGGTCAAAGCCTACAGACTTTTCAGTTATAAAATGAGTAAGTCCTGGGGATCTAATATACACCATGGTGATAACAGTTAATAACATCATATTGTACACTTGAAATTTGTTTAGACAGTAGATCTTAAATGTTCTCACTACACACACAAAGGTAACTGTGATGTGAGAGATGTGTTAACTAACTTGATTGTGGTAATCATTTCACAATGTATATCAAATCATCACATTGTTCTCTTTAAATATATACAATTTTATCAGTTATATTTCAATAAAGCTGGGGCAAAAATGGGGGAATAGATGTATACACAAGATATCTGGAAATAGATGTACTCATGAAAATTTCAAAGAAAGTAAAAGGAAGTTTTCTTCATAGAAAATTAGATGAAGGAAAAAGTTAAGAAAAAAAATCCAGTTGTTTTAGAGCTAACCTGAATCACACAGCATTTTATCTGGAATTTAAAACATGTGTATAACCAGAGATTAACCTCGATTTAAAATAACACCTGACATTTGTGTAATGTCCTAATGTCCACAAACAATTCCATCAGGTAAGTACTGTCACTCTCAGGTGAAAAAATCTTTCACTCAAAGAGGCTGACTTGGCCAAGATAACAGAGCTGGCAAATGCCAATGGGTATCTTTCAAATACCAGACATCAGAATTATGATTCTTCTACTCATTCATTCTGCCACTGTTCTGACAGGATGAAGCAAAAAAGACAAACCAGTTTTCTACTCTATTTCTAGTATTTTCAGATACATTTAACAACTTGTAACTGGCTCATTTCTAATAACCGTATTTTAAAAAGCTCTAAAGTCCCATTAACAAAGCTTAGATTTTAACTTTGCATTTGTTAGCATGTGGCCTTGAACAAGTTACTTTTTATCTCTCTGTGCTTCAGGTAACTCACCTGTACAATGGGGATAATAATACATGTCACAGAGAGTTCTTGTGAAGAATCCATGAACTAATGTACGTAATATACCAGGCACATAATTATCAGCATATACATGTTTACCACTATTATTATTAAATGTAAAACATCTTATAATTTATAAAGTATATTTATAATTTATATATGAAAGTGGCAAGAGTCTAGATCTAAGCAAAGTGGGAAGAGGCATCAGAGATAATCTCAAGAGGAAGGTCTAAAAGAATAGGTACAGACTACAGGAAAATGAGAAAGTTACCCTATAAAATGCAAGAACAGCAGCAGTACTGATGGTTCAAGTACAAAAGTATATAGTTTATTCACATAATATAGTATTTCAGTAATGAATAGCAATAGCAGGGGGTAGTATTAAGAGGGGCCTTGGAGTACTTGCAAACCCAAGTTCACAGTAGCATTATTAACAACAGTCAAAAAGCAGAAGGAACCCAGATGTCCATTAATGGATGAATAAACAAAACGTGGTATATACATACAATGGAATATTATTCAGCTTTAAAAATAAATGAAATTCTGGCATGTTACAACACGGATAAATGAGGACATTAGGCTAAGTGAAATAAGCCAGTCATGAAATGACAAGTATATGATTTCACCTACATGAGGTATCATGAGTAGTCAAACTCAGCAACAGAAAGTAGAACGGTGGTTGCCAGGGGCTAAGGGCAAGTGGAAATAGTGTTGTTGCTTAACGAATACAGTGTTTCAGGTTTGCAAAGTGAAAAAGTTCTGCAGACTGGTTGTTCAACAGTGTGAGTATATAACAACACTACTGAAATGTACACATAAAAATGGTTAGGATGGTAAATTTTAAACTATCATGAAAACAGAACTTCACAAATCCAAAAGAAGTCTAAAAATATATTATTATTTACTGAATGACCATTATTCTGTTCTCTAAATTTTAATTTTTTAAACCAATGAATTTAGAATGGAGATTTTAAGTTTTGGAATTTTATGACTTGTCATTTCCTTTTGAGTTTCTCTTAGTTCTGACAATATTATACTTCTTCATTCTTTCAAAAGTGAATTTGAGTTGTCTATAAAAATTTCTAGTACGTTAATACATTTACGCTATTTAACATATTAGATATTTGAAAAACTCGACATTTCCTCACACATTCAGTAACTATACATTTATTGCTCAACTACTATGTGCATGATTCTAATGTGGAAGTCAAAATGGACAAAATGATATTTTCCTTTAAAGAATTCTATCTTGAATCCCTGTGGGGGGAAAAAAAATAAGCTAAAGGTATAAAAAACTTACTTTTTTATGATATGTTCCTGCTGCAAATATTTATCTTGCACACACTTTTCAAACAGAACTAATGCATGCTCTCCCTTATTCATTCCATTTGGTACTCGATGTTCTCCAAACTCCGTAGATAAGAGCTCAGATTCTATTTCTTCCAACAAATCCTCTGATGCTGAAACACTCTTTATTTTTGAAATAAATTTCTTGGTGCAGTCTGTATCATAGGGGCTTTCTGAATAAGTCTTTTCATTAGCTGATTCTGGAAATGTAGATGACCTTAATTCCACTAATATTTGTGTTACTTTCTGTTCTGTTTCATTTGTTTTTGAAATCTGTTTAGCAAAATTTCCACTAGGAAAATCAGCTGTTCGTTCAGAATTTTCTAGGCCTATGTCTGTTTTGGCACAAGAATCCTCACCTCCACCATGATCTGGAATATAATTTTCCTGGGCTTCAATTAGATTATTATGCTCATTAGGTTGACATAAAGTTTTATCAGTGTTTAATGACAATAGTTTGGACTCATTTTCTAATTTGCTGCTTTCATCGCCCGAAAACAAGTTGCATGAGTCTTCCTTTAATTCACGTGTTTTCCCAACATTTTTATCAGAGGAAGCAGAGGCTATGTGGTCTGTCTCTGACATGCTGACTGGCACCAATTCACTTTGTAATTCTTCAAATCTGCTCCTGATCTTCGTTTTACATCTAAGAAATTGAAACATCAAAATTAAAAACCACTTTAAATCAAAACTCCATACAAGCTTGAACACACACTGTGATGTGGAATAACTAACACCACAAATTTTATCACTAATAATTCCTTTAAAAGCCTTTCCTTGAGAAAAAAGAAAAACGACTAGGACAGCTAACCCAAGCTGGCTAGCTACAAGCAGTAAGGCCATTGCAAAGTCTGTCTTTCCTCCCTCAATTCAAACAACTTCATTAATTAATTTCAGTTGTAGTCTGCCATTCTCCAATCATCCCCATAAGATGTTAGGTAAGGAGTAACGCTAGCAACTAGAAGATGAGTGCCAAAGAATGCTGAGAATTCCTTCAGCTCTGTAAAGAAAAAAAGACTACCTCATAAATCTGTAAGAAAACACTGGAGAAATAATACAACAATAAAAGCACTAGAAGAGAAATCACAAACCAAGATAACAAAACAACGCACATTAAAGAAGATAAAAATTTACTAAGAAGGACACCTAAATAATAAGACACAACTATCTATAGCCCAGAGATCTAGATTTGAGCTATAATGAAGTCAGGGTATAAAGAATCCCTGGTAGAAATTAGTTTTCCATCCAGGCAGGAATTCACAAAGTACCACGGTGATTTTCAAACATTCTCATCAGGAAAAAAACAACGTTCAGTACAAATAAAATGGAGCCCATATGCACTGCCTAGGTCAATAAAAACAACTTTAAAAATTAATTTGACAAAGTTAGAATATATATATACACACACACATATATATACATATATACACATACACACACACACATATATATTTTTTAGGGGGGACAGAGTCTCACTATTGTTGCCCGGGCTGGAGTGCAATGGTGAGATCTTGGCTCGCTGCAACCTCTGCCTCCCAGGTTCCAGCAATTCTCCTGCCTCAGCCTCCTGAGTAGCTGAGACTACAGGGGCCCACCACTACACCTGGCTAATTTTTTGTAGTTTTAGTAAGAGAGGTCTCAAACTCCTGATCTCAGGTGATCCACCTGCCTTGGCCTCCCAAAGAGCTAGGAATACAGGGGTAAGCCACCACATCCAGCCTAGAATATATTTTTATATTGTGTATGGAGGTTACTGTTCTAGCCATTTTATGAAAATTAGTCATCTTCAAATATTATCCTACAACATATAATTATAAAATATTTCCACAATCTTGATAAAAAAAAATTGTTGACTTCTTTCGTCAGGTATCAACAAAGCATGTACAAGGTCATGAGTTACTGAAACCAAGTGAGGTTAGATTAAAAAGTGGGCAGATCATAGTTTTGACAGAAGTAAGAGAGCAATAATTCCAGATGAGAGATATACTAATGGAAAATACCTCTAGTTTATACATGAGATATAAACTAATGGAAAACTAATGGAGAGATATACTAAATTTTTAAGTAACAAAACGTGCATGGTTACATCAGGCTGGGATAAAGGTGGTTATCAGAGGATGATGAAAAGAGAGACAGAAGACTGGTCAGGTAAGACTCCATAGAAGACTAAGCAGGAGTGAATTCTGTTAAGAATAAATCATGGTAAATCAGAATAGACTTGTATACTTAATTATAGTGCAGAGTCTCTAGCACATAGTGGGTTCTCATATATTTGTTCAATTAAAGCTTGTAAGCACAGAAATGGCAACACTAGTATTTGAGAAACATCATTCTAGGAATCTCAAAAATGGGAGGAATAAGTGGAAGAAAGGAAAAGCAGACCAGCTTGTTAAATATGCTAATTTCTAGACTGCCCTCTGGGACATCAATTAATATAGCCATTGGCCTAAATACTCTACCTCTCTGTATAAATATGTTTCCAATCAATCAAATTATCATTATCTTGCTGCAGGTATTTTATAACCAAGCCAAAGCACACACTAGTATTAAAGGTTTGGTTTAGACAATACAAAGAAAGGGAGTAAATAAAAGACCTTGTAAGTACTCTGTATTCCAAAATCTAGGACAAAATAAAATAATTCTCAGAGGCACTGCCACTTACATTACCTCACCCAAAGTAACTCACTTTAAGACATAATTTGTGGGCTGGGTGTAGTGGCTCACACCTGTAATCCCAGCACTTTGGGAGGCCAAGGCGGGCAGATCACGAGGTTAGGAGTTCAAGACCAGCCTGGCCAAGATGGTGAAACTCCCCCGTCTCTACTAAAAATACAAAAATTAGCTGGTTGTGGTGGCAGCCGCCTGTAATCCTAGCTACTCACAGGGCTGAGGCAGAGAACTGCTTGAACCCGGAAGGCAGAAGTTGTGGTGAGCCAAGATTGCGCCACTGCACTCCAGCCTGGGAGACACAGCAAGACTCTGTCTCAAAAAAACAAAAAACAAAAACAAAAAACAATTAGCCAGGCATGACAGTGGGTGACTGTAATCCCAGCTACTCAGGAGGCTGAGGCAGAAGAATTGCTTGAACCCAGGAGGCGGAGGGTGTAGTGGGCCGAGATCACACCATTGCACTCCAGCCTGGGCAACAGAGTGAGACACTTTGTCTCAAAAACAATAAAAAAATAAAAAAATAATAAGGAGAAGGAGCAGTCTTTGAGTCAAATTACACCACCTCATGCCAAGCAGCTGGGAACAGCTTCAACTCTTCTTCAGAGAAAACAATGAGTTTGTGACTTCATTTCTTTTATTTTAATGGCTAGAACCTGTCTTAATTTCTGGAATAAGTTTTTCGTAGTAACCAAAATTGGCGTAATAGTTACATTAGACTAAGGGATTCTTAAAAGGACTGCACTTCAGAAGAAAGTACAGAGGTTAGGAGTGTTTTACACTGTATGACTGGAGACCTAGTAAGGAAAAAATAAAACCATTTCATGTTTATACCCCAGATTTAAGATTCCTCAGTAAACCAGTTGTACTACTTTTCCATTCTTATCTCTCAACACATTCCTGAAATCCTGGCACTTCACTATACTTCACTAGCCCAACCAGTCTAACTCAAAGATTCCCCCAATTTGCATATTAACATTTCAATGGCTTTGTTCTCAACTAGAATGTTCTTCCCTTAGGTCTATCTAAAGCCTATGTTTAAAGGACCAATTCTAATGTCACATCTTCCTCCAAATTTTCTCTCATCAGAAGTACAAAAATAGTCTCTCAGGGTAAATTAAAAAACACTGCATTTATACTCATCAAGCACACAGAGCCTTTCTTGTGACCTTTTTGATGAGGCAGCTTTAGCCTTTTAAATGATCTTTGTACCTGCAGGAAGATGGAACCTCACTCTGAACTGAATCAAACTCTTAAGTCTCATGCAATATAAGAGTAATAATATACCTAACAAACATGTTCTCTACAACATTTACACGCATTTTTGCAAATGCTCTTCAGTGGTTATAAAAATGAGGGTGGGGTCAACCGGGTTTACACAGTGATCTAGGGAGCAAACAGCATTCAGTGGATGGAAAACAGGTTGTAAGATGACAATGTGCAAGACAGTATAGAACAACAAAAATGTGTCATCCTGCTGGATATTCATCTAGATTTAAAAAGCTGTTTATTTGGTTACCTAAGCTTAGAATCTGTTTTATATATCCTTCTCCTGTAAATTAAGGAAGACTCAGATTAACCTCAAAAGGCAAGTACTTTATGTAACCTCTCTCAGCAATATGCTCATGACCTTTAGAAAATCATGTAAATTGGCATGTGATAACTACTTAGCTTGCAAGCTGTTGTGTTTTATTTTATTTTATTTTTTTATTTTTGTAAAGACAGAGCCTCACTCTGTTGCCAGGCTGAGTGCAGTGGCACAATCTCGGCTCACTGCAACCTCAGACTCCCTGGTTCAAGTCATTCTCCTGCCTCAGCCTCCCAAGTAGCTGAGATTACAGGCACAAGCCACCATGCCCAGGTAATTTTTGTATTTTTAGTAAGATGGGGGTTTCACCATGTAGGCCAGGATGGTCTGTCTCTGGACCTCGTTATCCGCCCACCTCAGCCTTCCAAAGTGCTGGGATTACAGGCGTGAGGCACTGCACCTGGCCGCTTGCACACCTTCTGATGATGCTCAAATGAATACTGTTTGGCAGCCAAAGGAAAAGGAGGGGGTTATACATGCAACAAAGCCATCACCATAAATAGCTGCACAAGAGTGGCAGCAGATCAGGGGAAAAAGCGATGAACTTGATTATGTCCACAATTAACCAGAAGAAAAACAGTTGGCTGAGTCTTCATGTAGGCCTCCAGTTGACAATACTGATGAAGGCCAATTTGGTTGCTATTCAAGTTTTTTGGGGGGAGAGGGGTATGGGGTAAAAGGGGAGCCGTCATCGAGGCTACTTAGAATGGCAGGTAGTAGACTAAAGGGGAAGAATGTAAAACAAGACATTCATTTGTAAGATTATTTTAAGAAGTGCTGGTACATCGGGGGTGCAGTGTGTAATCCCAACACCTTGGAAGGCTGATGTGGAAGGACTGATTGAGATCAGGAGTTTGAGACCAGCCTGGGCAACATAACAAGACCTCATCTCTACAAAAAAAAAAAAAAAAATTGTTAAAGTTAGCTGGGCATGGTGGCATGTACCTGTAGTCCCAGCTACTCAGAAAGCTGAGGTGGGAGGATCACTTGAGTCCAGGAGTTCAAAGCTGCAATGAGCTATGATGGCACCACTGCACTCCAGCCTGAACAAGAGTGAGACTAGGTCTCTAAAAAAAAGAAGTGCTTGTACAAAGCAAATTTACACTCATATATATATATATATATATATAGTAATTACAATTATAGATTACAATACCTTTTAGCAACTCTTACTCATTAGGAGAAACTGTATTTAATACAGTACAGTCACAAAATTTCTTTTAACTCAAGTACTTTTTCTCCCCTAGAGTTGTTTCTGTTTCTGACACAGTACTACAGGACCAATTCACACTTCAAAATCATTTCAGTGGGTGAGAACTGGTTTCGCTCTTACTGGAGCTCATCAGCTGTAGGCAACTGGTCAAGAAACAACTTTTACTTGCCTTAAAGTCAACCATTACCCACCTTGGAACTTATTTTTTAATGAAAGAACTCACATTTCTACAAAATTATTTCCACACAAGAATCGTACAAATGAAAACACTGTCTTTTGGTTCCATCTCCTGTCTTTCTAATTAGCAGTATAAACAACAAAAAATTTAGGTTTATTTGATAAACTGCAAATATTGCCCCTATATATAACATCACTATTGTAAAATCTAATATTGGTGTTCGAGGTATTTTTCAGACCCTGCATTTTGATGCACCAGCTGGTGCCTGCCACCTGGACCACTAAACTGGTTCAACTGGTCTTGTAACTTGGCACAAGAAGACAGCTTCAACCCCTTATGAGTCATCCCCGACCCAACCAATTAGCATTCCCCATTCCCTAGCCCCCTGCCCACCAAATTATCCTTAAAAAACTCTAGTCTCCTAATTTTCAGGGAGATTGATTTGAGTAATTAACTTCTTACTACTACTTGGCTGGCTCTGCATTTATTAAACCTTCTCTATTGCAATACTGCTATCTCAGTAAACTGCCTCTATCTGTGCAGTAGGCAAGAACCTGTGAGGTGATTACAAACTCACAGACACTCAGTAACAGGTTATCAAACAAACTAGTCTCATACGAAGGTACTAAGAAACACATTTCCAAACTAGATGTTCATTTTTACCAAATACATATTGAGCATCTATTAATATGTGCAGGCACTATTCTAAGTGTTGGGAACATGGCAGTGAATAAAACAGAAATCCTCATTTTATTCTTCGTTTTACTGACAATAAACACTAAAGTATTATGAATTCTACAGTATTTAATGTTACAGTATTTTAACTTTAAGGTTTGCCAGGGCTCCATCAGAAGCTAAGAAAGAAATGCATAAGTGTTTTAAGTCTATTAAGAGAAATCTGGCTTCATTCACATACTACAAATTTTTAAATTATAAACTGTAGTACCATTCTTTTTTTTGAGATGGAGTCTCACTCTGTCACCCAGGCTGGAGGGCCGTGGTGCCATCTTGGCTCACTGCAACCTCTGCCTCCTGGGTTCCAGCGATTCTCCCGCTCAGCCTCCCAAGTAGCTAGGATTACCAGGGTGTGCCACCACACCCAGTTAATTTTTGTATTTTTAGTAAAGATGGGGTTTCACCATGTTGGCCAGGCTCTCTTGAACTCCTGACCTCAAGTGATCCGCCGGCCTCAGTCTCCCAAAGTGCTGGGATTACAGGCATGAGCCACTGCGCCCAGCCCATACCATTCTTAAATAATACCAGCTGTATACTTCTCAATATCCATTAAGCAAACTGAACTTGAGACCACTCCTATTCTTCAATATAATGGCTTACTGTCCTTTGTAGGAAAAGTACCTACATCAAAAGAGCTTTAATGTATTCTCCAAAAACACCTTGAAAGCAGCATAAACAAAAGAATAACATCTTTCTGACTAGTTCTATCAAGATTTTGATATTGTAATTAATGTCAGAACTAAAATCAAATCAAAAAAGCATCCATACAGTTCAATGTAACCTGCTCACAACCCCCAAATAACTGATTTTTGATAAATAATGAACTTTAAAAGACAAACTTTCTGGATAAAGCTAGCTAGCTATTTACTTATTTATTTATGTTTAGAAATAGGGTCTCGTTCTGTCACTCAGGCTGGAATGCAGTGGCTCAATCATAGCTCACTGCAGCTTCAAACTTCTGGGCTCAAGCAATCATCCCACTTAAGCCTCCCAAGTAGATAAGACTACAGGTGCATGCCACCTTACCCAGTTAATATTTTTAACTTAGCTTTTTAAAAACAGAATAATAGGATGGAAAAGAACTTGTGTAAGAAACATGAAAATGTTGTTTCACGTGATGAAAATATCTGAAACTTAAGTTTCATACAAGGTGAATTTATGCAGATAAAATTCTGCTTTTAAAAGATAAAAACCGAGGGGGCTATTTGAAAAAAAACTGTAAGCTCTACAAAAAGAAGAAATGATTTTTAAAGTAGTCACATCCTATTAAGCTTTGGGGTAAAATTTAACTTTTTATTTTATTATTAGAGATAGTCTTGCTCTGTCACCCAGGTTGGAGTGCAGTCAGAGGTAACTGCAGCCTCAAATTCCTGGGCTCAACTGATCCTCCCACCTCAGCCTCCTAAGAAGCTGGGACTACAGGTACATGCCGCCAAACCCAGCTAATTTTTAAAAATGTTTTGTAGAGATGGAGTCTTGCTATGTTGCCCAGGGTGATCTCAAACTACTGGCATCAAGCAATCTTTTCACCTTAACCCCCCAAAAGTGCTGGGATTACAGATGTGAGCCACGATGGTTGGCACAAATTTAACTGTAATATACAGAGTTTCCTTTAAGTGAAACATAGCACTAGAATAAGAAAGTTTCCTTTAGTTTACCAGTTTGGAAAGTTTGTTTTATGAGACCACGGTTATTTATCCCTGCGGGGGTATGTTTAGCTTTACACCCAAGGCGCAAGGCAAGAACTTTATGATATATGCATTATATCACACACAGACACACACAAAAAGATGTTTTAGAAAAAAGACTTGAGCAATAGAAGGGGGAAGACCCCCAAACTCCACCAACTCCCAAATAGTACCAAATCCTGTGATAGGATAACAGGACAAAGAGAAATTATGGTCCATCAAAATTCCATGAAAAAGAGGGTCGGTGGCTACATCATAGTTCACATTATCAAGTTACGCCATATGTGTCATATCAGCTCAGTAATTTTACATATCTCCTATAAATACTTTAAAATACTAAAGCAGAAAGTTATCAGAAATAATTGCCTACTAATATAGAAATCTAATTTGAAGACTGCACTCGCACTTCAATGAGTCGAAGAAAACACGAAAAGTACTATCAGCTAATTTTCTTCCAAATCTGAAAACGAATAAAGAAGGCAAAAAAAATCTGTTCCTTTTTCAAAAAGGAAGGCTCTCAAGCCTTCCTTTACAGGTGGCTCACATCTGTAATCCCAGCACTTTGGGAGGCCGAGATGGGAGGATCAAATGAGGCCAGGAATTAAGAGACCAGCCTGGGAAACACAGCAAGACTTGGTCTATAAAAAATAATAATATATATTTTTTAATTAAAAAGATTAGCATGATGGCCTGTGCCTGTTGTCCTAGATACTCAGGAGGCTAAGGCAAGAGGATTGCTTGAGCCCAGGTCAAGGCTACAGTGAATTATGACCGTACCACTATACTCCAGCCTGGGTGACAGATTGAGATCTTGTCTCAAAAAACTAAACAAAACAAAGGCTAACATCTTTTAAAAAATTTTTTTTCAAGTTATAAGCCTGTATTACATTAAAAAGTTTGGGTTAATGTTTAAATTTTGAAGCCACCTTTAGCCAGGGTTGGTTAATTTGGTGTGCTCTAGTTTATTAAAAACATGAAATGATAGTCTACTGTGGGATTATGTAGTTAAGTGTGGTAGACATTACACAGTCTACATAATCCTACAACTATCAGTTCATGTGTCTTAATGATAGACGAATGTTAATAATAAATAAACTCACAATCCAATCAAAACTATGCTGGGGCTGATTTCCACTTTGTGTCTACTGTCCCTTCATCTCAGTATTTGCCCTTTTTTTTTACTTTTTAGCCCAAATACATTTTTAAAATCTCAGTAGCTAAGAAAGTTCGAAGCAGTTTGAAACAATAAATTATCTATGCTTTCACTGCTGCCCCTAAAATGAATACTAAGTATAACATTTGCAATACTGTAAACTCAGTGATATGTTCATGAGAAACTGAAGAACCAACTTTAGTTATTTTAAGGTAGACATAAAAGAAAAACCTAAGTTTTACTAAAATAAAAAAAATTTTCAGAGTAAGGATTCTTACTTTAACACAAAACCGCTGCATGAATTTGAGAAACTAGTGCAGATTACTAGTCCTTCTTCAAAGGGAAAGATTATTTTCTAAATCTCCAAATAAAGCTGCTTTGTGCTTCAACCTACTGTCTCTTCCCTAGAGTCAGTATACTGCAACGCTTTTATCTTCACTCCATGATGTCAGCATAAAGCTGCAAATAGATGTTTCTAAACTGAACATACTAAGCAATCATCATCAGCTATGCTGTCACTGCATAGCATTAAAGAACAACTCTTTAGTTTATGGGTGAAAGAACTAAAAGGTCAGAGTGGTCACTGTGATACACACCAGTCAACCCTTTCCGTTAGCAATAAATAGGACTCAAGAGCCAATGACACACTATAGAATCTCCACTGTTTAAAGAAACCTTAAGTTTATATGCAGTTATTCTGAATTTAACAGGGCCTTTAAAAAAATAAACACAATCCATGCATTTCCAGGGAGAATCTTCAGTAATTATACGTTTGCCTAATATGCTGTAAAAAGAAGTTTTAATTCTTAATACTGAAAGATTCGTGATCTAATATCTTCACTGAATTAAAAATAACATGAAAAGACCAAAAATAAAACAGAAAAATGAACCTGGCCAATCACTACTGTTTTTTATTTGTGTAATGTTGGATAAAGAATTGAAGTTACACAGGGAACAGTGTACATTACACACAGAGAGAGTTCAGTTTCACTATCCATCTCTCTAGAACCTGAATCCTTCCCACCAGATGAACACTTAGGTAAACATTAAGGTGTAGTTGGTCGCTGGGAAAGCCACACCCACCTATTTAGCATACCTAGATAATAGCAGATTAATTTCTTCTGAATGACTACCACTCCACCTCCTGAAACTCTAATTTACTGCACACCTTAGAAGACAACACCCGGCCTATCGTTTTGGAAGAAACAAAAAGCTGGGCATCAAAGGAACATGACACACATGCAGAGAAAACGGCCAAGTACCTGGGACTGTACTGCGTATTTTTACTATATCCTCTCTTCTGATTCCCATAGGTAACAAGAGTATCAAGTGAAAGAAGTAGGATTCTAATCCAGATGTTCTGACTCCAAATCCAGGACTTTTTCCTCTAAACAAAATCAAGATGGGAATATTAGCTGAAGTTGTTAAACTGTTAACAGCTAAGCAATAATCACACCTGCACTGTTTCCCAAGACTGCTACTTTAGGGACTCGGGGAAGGGTTTCTGTTTTGTTTTTACCATTTTTCACTACTGATGGAGTCATAAATTTGAAACCCCGTCCTTACCAATCAAGGTTTATGAAATGCCTTGATGTCCTTGAAAGACCACATAAAGAACAGTATCCACACTCCAAAGAATCATTTCTAAGGAACTTAGAATCACAGTAATGGAAGTGTTTGGAAGAGGGTAACAAGTCATCACAACAGTAAACATAGAACACCCACATATGGTCAACTCCAGACGAAAAGCGAAATCGGCGACTGAGTCTAGGAAAGATTCTCGAGCAGGTGGGGCTTGGCTGCAGTTCACACGCAGCCCAGGCAAAGGGTTCGAATTCAGACGCTCTCGAGGCACAGCCCCCACGACCCCCGCTGACCCCTCTTCGCCACCTCCAAGGTCCCGGAACCGAAGGAGGAAGGCAGGGTGAGGAAGGGGCTTGAAACTCGTTCCCCAGCCCTCCCCTTCCTCCACGCCCTCGAAGGAGCCCGGCAGGGAGGCGGTTCGACCTAGCCCTCGCCCTCGCCCCCGCCCCCGCCCCCGCCCCCGCCCTGGGACCTGAGAAAGGAGCGGAAGGCTGGCAGCCCCACCGCACCGCGACCGCGACTCCCCGGTCTGCCCCGAGCGCCCCTCAGACACTCACCCCACTTCTCCAAGCCTCAGGCCACACCCTAACGAGGCTGCTGGAGCTCTGGCTCAGGGGCCAACTTTTCCATAACGGGGTCCGACCAGTCAAGAGTGGGAGGAAAAGACCGCGGTGAGAAACACAGCCGACGCCTCACTCCCTCAGCCGCGTTTTCCTCAAGCCCCTGCGGAGCTGACACATCAATAAAGATGGCGGCGACGCTGAAGCCGGTCCGGTTACAGCTGAGGGGGCGGGGGCTCCCTGGAGGAACCAATCAACGCAGCGCGGGCGGGGTGACGCGGCCCACCTTGAGGTCCTGGGTAACCTGTCTGCAGTAGGCGGGGCCGGCGGAGCTCACCTCCCACCTCGCCGCCCGGGAGGCCCCGCCCCGCACTCTACCGGGCTGGGCACCCACGCCCCCGCGACCTGGAAAGCCGACTCTCCTGCCCCTTGGTCTTGTGCTTCCTCTTAAACGCTCCTCCCGAGCCACGCAGGTTGTTTCTTTCTGCAGGACATTCTTGTTGGCTATTACTCCTCCTCACCCTTTGGCCTGCATGAGTCAGGGACATAAAGCAATAAAAGAGAATTTGAAATTGGTGGCTTCCCGGCTCTGGTGCGTAAACCTTGCACCTTACGTGGGCGGAATCGCTGGAGCAGGCTACCTGCCAGGTCGACGATTCAGCCCTGGGGGAGACCTCGGGGGGTTCCATAAGAGCGCGTTCGTGTCTTCAGCGTGGCGCTGCTACCATTGTTTAATAATAAACTGCTGGTGCCTTCGTCTCTGGCTCCAGACTGAGCGCACTGATGGTAGGAAGTGTCCTCTCGCGGCTGGGTAACCTGGCACGCAGCATGGCAACAAAAAGTGTATTGGGTACAGTTGCCTCCCCGGAGCCAGAGAAGGAAGGTCAGCAGTTCAGTCTCTGGAGGTTTTGCAAAACTCCTCAGTCCGGGGAAAGTGTTCCTTGGTTTAGGACTTACACACATCACATGAATGAAAATAGCTAATTCAGACGATTCTGCAATGTAAGAGTTTGTAAAGCAAAACTTACTACTGCTCTGTTAAATTTCTTCGATACTGTTGGCAAAACACACACACGGAGGTGTAATGGCACCTCACTCCTTAAATGAAGGTACTACGTTGAATGAAGCACATTTTGCAGTTAAAGTGTCTTGTCACAGAAAATGAATGATTTGACTTTAAAACAAATTGACCAAACCTTCCTAGGGAGACATTAATCCAAGGGGAAAACACTGAAGAAATCTTAAGCTGTTTTCAGTACTCGTCAGTAATAACATTGGTATTGCTACTTCTGAATATTCCTGAATTTATAATTAGTATAAAGTATCTTTGTGAACCAAGTTTTTCACTATAAAAGATATACAAATATAAACCAAAGACATTACATTAAAATTCTGCAATCCTATATTTGAATTTACAAAAATCAGAATTAACTCATGGTACATTATTTTTTCATGAAAAAAAGGTGTGTCCACTGAAAACTCCTAGAACAGTGACCAACCCATTGCACACTCCTATTCTCCAGATTATGATCTCTAAATAGCATTTCCCAGAAAAAGTTACTTTGGCTCCTCTTGGAGGTTAAGTGCTGATTCTCAGTAGCGGCAAGAAATATGCAAGATAGCCTAGGACATGTTGGTTGTAGCAGAAAGCAAGGAAGAAAGCAAAGATAACATGAATTGTGCCCAAAAGACTCAGAAGGCAGTTCAAAGATGCCGCAACTTCTCAAACAGGACAAATTTAGCATTCAAAAATGGTAACAGCAATGGGTTACACATTATGTAAAAAATCAGTGAGTGCATTTATTTTTTTTTTAATGTCATTGACCCTCTTGGAAAGATGCCAACGAGTCATTACAATCTGAGAACTGATAAAGGTAAAGAATCAAGCATTCATCCTACCTTTCCCGTTGCAAACAATGTCAATCAGATAGTCAATGTGGGGAAGTTCTTCTCTATAGAACTCCATGTAATAATTGCAGAAAGAAAGATAGATGATCACCATTTTGCAAACCCTGACGAACTTATGGATCTAGGTAATGATCATCTGTGAATCTAGAACCATTAGGTGAAAAAATGATAGGAAGCTTCGCATTGTAATGGATGGATGGGGCTGACACCACTTGAACCTACTAGATCAATCTTAATATCCTCCAAAGTGAAACCACTACATACTGTGTATTTTCTGAAATGCTGCAATAGAGAATCACACCACCACCTGTGACGTATTCCTGCCAGGGGGATGCAATCAGCAAAATTGAATGGGGGAAAAGAAAACAAACAAACAAAAAAAAACCCCTGCAGTTACTGTAATAAATAAATTGCAAGAGAAGTACAGGATTGAAAGAGAAACCCCTTTTAAAAATAAACCACTGAGTGCAAATACAGGATGTTTTGATCCTGATTTGAACATATCAACAATTTAACACTTGAATGGCTGGGTGTGGTGGCTCACACCTCTAATCCTAGCACTTTGGGAGGCCAAGGTGGGCTGCTTGAGCTCAGGAGTTTGAGACCAGCTTGGGCAACACAGTGGGATCCCATCTCTAAAAAGAAAATTAAAAAATAACATTTGAGGTATCTGGAAATGTTTAGTATTAATTTTATGATATTAAGAAATTATGACCAGGCACTATGGCTCACACCTGTAATCCCAGCTACTGAGGCAGGGTGATGGCTTGAGTCCAGCAGTTCAAGTCTGCAGTGAGCTATGACTGTGCCACTATAGTCTGGGAGCAAGACCCTGTCAGAGAGAAAGGAAAGGACAGGAAAGGAGAAAAAGGAGAAAGGAAAGGAAAGCAAGAGAAATTACTGTTTTTAAAGTTGGGATAAGTTTTGGTGATGTTACTTAAAAGTGGTAATCTCAGAGACACTCACTTACAATATTTTTGGATGAAAAGGATACAATATCCCAGAAAGTAATAAAGTGCTTAACAAATAAAATACCACCTGATGATAGCATGTGAAAGAACAGAAACCAACTGAAAGAGCTTCCTGTGGCCAAAGCTGGAAAAATCTGAGCAAGGAAATACAGTAGTATTAGATTATAAAAGTATAAAATATCCATGAGTCCATTATTAAATTAGTAAATGGAGAAGAGACAAATCTCCCGTGCAGAAGAATTTCAAATAATTTCTGTAGATACTGCACCCTCAAAGAGGGACAACGTAACTCCCTACTCCTTAAATGTGGGCTTCAAATAATAGCTTCCTTCCAAAGTGTATAGTATGAAAAGGGTAGGGAAAAAAAAGAATATAGTAGAAAGACCTAACAAACACTACCACAGTCAGATGACTAAGTCCTACATCAATTGTCATAATCATATTCATAGGATGTACGCTTGATATGATGCAATAAAAATGGCATTTTTACCTCTGTGATCTTCCTTCCAATAACCCATAACTCCTTTCTCTAACAGCAGAAAAACATCAGATAAATTCCAAAAGTAGGGCATCCTACAAAACGCCTGACAGTACTCCTGGAAGCTTGACGTCAGGGTCATCAAAACAAAAAGTCTAAGGAAGTCGCATGGCCAAGAAGAGCCTAAGGGTCTATGAAAACTAAATGAAATATGATATCCTGATGAGATCTTGCATCAGAAAAGGGACAGTAGGTAAAAACTAAGGAAATCAAAATGGTGGACTTTAATTAATAATGTATCAATGTTGGTTCCTTAATTGTAACAAATGTATCATGCTAATAGACCATGCTAATAATAGGGGAAATGATGTGACTTCTGTCAGAACTTTGTCCAGCACTTTCCTTTCTTTTTCTTTCTTTCTTTTTTTTTTTTTTTTTTTTTTGATAGAGTCTCGCTCTGCTGCCCAGGCTGGAGTGCAGTGGCATGATCTCTGCTTGCTGAAACCTCCGCCTCCCAGGTTCAGGTGATTCTCCTGCCTTAGTCTCCCAAGTAGCTGGGATTACAGGCACCCGCCATGACACCTGGCTAATTTAAAAAGATTTTTTTTTTTTTTTTTTTTTTTAGTAGAGACGGGGTTTCACCATGTTGGCCAGGCTGGTCTCGAACTCCTGACCTCAAGTGATCTGCCCGCCTCGGCCTCCCAAAGTGCTGGGATTACAGGCGTGAGCCACCACGCCCAGCCAGCACTTTAATTTCACTATTCTGTAAATCTGAAACTGCTCTAAAAAAATGTATTAAAAATATATATCAACTAAAGAAAAAAAAAATCAGGCTTTTAAATAATTCAAGTTAGTTTTATTCAGAGTCTTACGGAGGACTGCAACCAGGGAGATCCCAGAAAATTTCTGTTAAACTACTCCAAAGCAGTGTGTCAGCACACTTTAAATATAAGGTGGTAGAGGTTATGCCCAGGGGTTACATTAAAAGTGCCCAGAAGCTATATAAGATAAAAATCTCTTCAAAGTTTGGGTGCGAGAGTAAGTCTAGGCATCATCATTAATGCTATCCGTTATGTACAGAAAAAGGCAAAGGCTAGATCTCTGAATGTATCTTTTCTAAAAATGCAGTGATTCTGAGAGGTGGGAACCTAAGTTCCATCCTGCTTACGCACTCTTCAAGGGATTCTTCTGGAGGGCTGAGAAGTTACTAAGTTCAGGCGGTCTGAAATCATGCTGACAAACACAATGAACAAAGCTTTTTCACAGTGAGGGAGGACTACGCTGGGGACCAGAAGCGGACGTTTGCTACTTTGTCTCACATTTACAATTCTCGGATTTGCTTCAAAACATCGCCGGAAGAGTGCTTGGAGTGCAGATGTAGACAAGATTAACCATGAATTGATAAGGTGGAAACTAGATGACAGGTACACAAGGGTTCCCTTCCTATGAAATTGTTAGGAAAGTTCCATAGCAAAAAAAAAAAAAAAAAAAAAAAAAAAAAAAAGCTTGTATTTAAGTAACACCAACAGGTATAAACGCATGCCCTCACTCAGGAAGAAAAGAAAAAAAGTATAAGCACGTGTGTGTTTAACTTCTAAGACCAGGCAGAGGCAGTTGATTTGGAAAACCTTGGAAGACCTTTAAGTGGGTACGGCGACCCAAGTGACCTTCAAGGGGACAAAGTCTGCATCTTTGCGCCCAAAATTTGCCGAAGACGTTGCCAGAGACATCTTTCTAGAAGAAGCTAGAACAAAATAAAGTTTCTGCAAAGGAACTTTTTGAGCCTGCAACTAGAGCACAAGCCGCTTCCGGGGAAGGCGGAGGGAGCACGTGGGCACATTGAGTTGCACGTGGACGCGGAGTGCGCAGGCGTGGGCAGGGGCCAGGAAGGCGCAGTCGGGATTGGAGGCGAGGGGAGTGCCGGGCGCGTCCCAGGCGGCGGGGCTCCCAGCATAGGCAGTCGCCACCACCGCCAGGCCGCAGACACAGGTTCGGGTCCGCGGTCCTCTTGCCCCTTTCCAGGTCAGGGTTCCCAGGCGTATAGGGGAGGGAGAGGGCCTGCATGAAGGGGAAGGGAGGGGACTTCGGTCGTTGGGGGCCAGACGTTGGGCGCTGGACGTTGAGGTTGGGCGTTGAGCGGGTACAAGGGGCCTGGAAGTGGAGAGAGGAGACTTGGAACCTTGGCTGCAAAGGTCAGGTCTAAAGTTGGAGGGTTTGGTGTGGGAGGATTCTCTATGAGTTTGGAAATAGCACTTCCGGGCATCACTCCTTCAAATGCAAACGTTCACCTTCTCTCTAAGAGAAACTTGCATGTGGATTCACTGTCTTCGTTTGACTAAAACCTGCGATACAAACAATATTAACACTAGACTTTCTTTTCCCCACTTTCCTCCTATAGGAAAGGAAGATGCGCTAGGGCATTCACTTAGATGTGGGTCAGCTGGCGCTAGTTTAAGGCGTGCCTGCTATGTGCCGATAGCTTTTCTGGGCCCTAGGGTCCTTGCTATAAAAAACGTTAGCCCTGCTGGGCCTCTGAACTAAGGGAACCGATGCTTCCAACTTCCTTAGTGAGGCAGCACGGTGCTGTGTGCTAAAATCCAAGGCCGTGGAGGCTGACCTGCGTTTTCATCTAAACTGTGTAAGGTGCTGGCCCTGGGGGGTTTGGTAAGTTATTCCAGCTTCCGACGTCTCTCTTGTTTATCTGTAGGAATAACGAAATAAAAATACTTTAGTCCTCAAATTATTTTCATCTTAAACCTGCAAGCTGGTTCCACAGGAATGGAAGAAATTTTGTGCTTGTAGGAGTGGTATAGAAGTAAAGCAGAAATAATAGCTGCCCTTCGAGCCCTTGGGAAGTACTAGCCAAGTGATTTACTTCGTCTCTCATTTAATCCTCGTGATTAGGATTTATGAGGAAGTTAACTACTGCACTCCGTATTTTACAGTCGCTGAATCCTAGAAAGATGAAGTGATTTGCCCAAGATAGCGTGGCTAAATGAGGAAGACGAGACTTACCTGGCTAACTTCAGAGCTCATGCTTTACTGAACCATTGCGTTTTGTCTCTTCGGAGTGTTTTTTGTTGCTGCTGCTGCTGCTGCTGTTTTTGAGACGGAGTTTCACTCTTGTTGCCCCGGTTGGAGTGCAGTGGCACAATCCCGGCTCACTGCCACCTCCGCCTCCCGGGTTCAAGCGATTCTCCAGCCTCAGCCTCCCGGGTAGCTGGGATTACAGGTACCAGCCACCACGCCCTGCTACTTTTTGTATTTTTAGTAGAGAGAGCGTTTCACCATGTTGGCCAGGCTGTTCTCAAACTCCTCAGCTCAGGTGATTCACCCACTGCAGCCTTTAAAGTGCTGGGATTACAGGCGTGAGCCACGGCGTCCAGCCCAAACCGGAGTGTTTTCTTTGAGTGGAATGGTTCTTGCAGAATACATAGGATTGCCAGGAAAATGAAAGCAAACATTAGAGAAGGAAAAAAATGACAGCTGAGTATCTCTGCGTGCACTTTTAGTGTTAAAAGAACTCTAGCCTGTGGTGTCCTAGAGGAAAAAGAAATGACTTACCCCCACTGTATTTTAGGAAGCTCCCAGCAACATCAGGGAGGACCAGTAGGATTCCAAAGAAAAGAGAGGGTCTACCCTTAGGGAGCTTCAGGTCTTAGTGGGTTCAAAGCGTGAAGTACAGAACAAAGAGATCTAGAAATATGAGCCCTCATTTTTGCCTGTAGCACTATAGAAATGAATCACTTTGAGTTCACTACTCTTTTAATACATCAGTGATTCCCAATTCTAAGAAAGTCAGGTACTCTCTAACGTAAAGAAATGTTGAGACCCTTCTAGTTAACCTTTTGTGTTAGCTGAATCAACATTTAAATACTGTGGATTCCAGAATGATTAAATATTGTTTTTATCACTAGTAGCATGTAAAAGTAGTAGATTGTATATAGGGGAAATTATTTTAAAACTGGGTGAGGTTAACCCATGTGGTTTCAGGGCCTTTTCGGCAATAATCTGTCACATTTGTTTACCTGGGTATCAAATCTAAAGCGTGAGGTTGGGAATCAGAGTATTATGCCATAGGGCCTGCCTACTTGTGATTCAAATATTCCCAGTGGTTGACACAGGATGAAACCAAGTAGGAATAGATTCTCAGTCTTACTGGTGTTTTATAATGTTAAAAATTTATGGCTGGGTGCAGTGGCTCACACCTGTAATTCCAACATTTTGGGAGGTGGAGGCGGGCAGATCACGAGGTCAGGAGTCTGAGACCAGTCTCGTGAAACCCCATTTCTACTAAAAAGACAAAAATTAGCCAGGCGTGGTGGGGCATGCCTGTAGTCCCAGCTAATTGGGAGGGCTGGGGCAGGAGAATTGCTTGAACCCAGGACGCGGAGGTTGCAGTGAGCCCGAGATCGTGCCACTGCACTCCAGCTTGGACAACAGAGCGAGACAACGCCTCTAAATAAATAAATAAATAATTCACCCTTAAGAGCCTGTTCTGTATCCCAGTTGTGGTGGGTGCCTAAGTCCTTGCCTGCATTACATTCATAAAACTGTGAATCAGTGTACGTGTAATGGTATGATAATTGCATATTTAAAAATAAATTCCAAAAGGTTTTAGGTGACTGAACGTTTTATCTGGATTCACAGTAGTACTGGCCACCTGCCCCAAAAGCTAATGCATAAGTAGTAGTCAAAGTCAGGGACATTCTGACTTTCCTGGTGACTGGCTGCCAACCTGTGTCTGGGATCCTCTGTTCCATTATGAGAGTCATGTCAGTGTAAGAGTCTCATGTTTTTGAGAGGTTGTGGTTACAGGGCAGCAACAGTTGGGAAGGGAACCATTTTACAAAATGGTTCCAATGCAGCACCATTGGCTGTCCCAAATGAAAGGAAACAAGAAGTTTGTGGTCCCAGAACAGGTGTAGATGTCTATTTGCCCTGGGTGTTGTAATGAAAATTCCTGAACAGGGTGAGTCCTTCAAACATTGTCCAAATATTCCACCATAGGGTGAACCTTTTAAGTATAAATCCTGTATTTGCTACTTAAACTTTATAGTAAGTCTCACACTGATGCCGTTTCTAAAGTCAAATATATTTACTAATTTTTGGATTTTGGAGGAATCGTTGTGAGACATGAAGTTTGTTATTAAATTTCAGTAAACTTCATAGCCTGATGTGCTTAAGACTTAAGCACATCACTTAAGACTGCCAGATGTCATTTCAGACAGCAAGTGTCATTTTCAGTGAACAGGTTGGCATGAAAACAGTGCAATGGTGCATTTAAAATAGTTTTTATCATATGAATATCTTTTGAATGCCTAGTTCCATAAAGCACCATGGTGGATACTGCAGGAAATCAGAGGTATTTTTGTTTAGATTTTTAAAAACAAGAGTTCCTGCACTCAAGCAACTTAAATGACAGATATAACTGTCTATAGGTAACTGTAATACAGGGTAGTGAGGCGCTGACTGTAGATTGATTGGCAGCCTGAGTTACTAAATAGTGTTATGAAAGACGATCTCAGGTGTAACCCAGCAGCCTGCTGAGGATCCAACTCTGTCTTGCAGAAGAAGATAACTGTATGCTAGTTTTATGGTTTAAATATTGCTGTGATCCTTTACTTGATTTAGAATTAAGTTACCACATTTTTGGAAAAAAGGTTTACCGTTAGATACTTCAGTCTTAAAAATGTTTTCATCTATAAAAACAATTCATTCAATATAATTTGGAAAATGTAGTGAAAAAGATATCCTCATCAACCCACCTACTCCGGAGTACTCATTGTTATTTATAATGTAATATGTTTCATTCATCTTTTTTTAACCTGCAGTTTTGATTTTCTTTTGCAGTTATAATTATATTGAATATACAGGATTTTTCCTGCTTTTTCATTTGCCATTTTTTTTTTTTTTTTTTTTTGAGGTGGAGTCTCGATCTGTCGTCCAGGCTGGAGTGCTGCAGTGGCGCTGTCTGGACTCACTGCAAGCTCCGCCTCCCGGGTTCACGCCATTCTCCTGGCTCAGCCTCCCGAGTAGCTGGGACTACAGGTGCCTGCCACCACGCCCAGCTAATATTTTGTATTTTTTAGGAGAGATGGAGTTTCACCGTGTTAGCCAGGATGGTCTTGATCTCCTGACCTCGTGATACGCCCACCTCAGCCTCCCAAAGTGCTGGGATTACAGGCGTAAGCGATTACACCGCGTCCAGCCTCATTTGCCATTCTAATAGACATTTTAACAGTGTTTCTGGAAACTAAGATTCCGAATGATAGTGTAATAGTCTGTCTATTAAAGGCATCATAGTTAACTTTTTTTTTTTTTTTTTTTTTTTTTTGAGACAGTCTCGCTTTGTTGCCCAAGCTAGAGTGCAGTGGCACAATTTCAGCTCACTGCAACCTCTGCCTCCCAGGTGATTCTCCCACCTCAGCCTCCTGAGTAGCTGGAATTACAGGAGCCCACCACTCCTCAGCCTCCTAAAGTGCTGAGATTACAGGTGTGAGCAACTGCGTCCGGGCCTTTTTTGCTATTTTAGTTGGACATTTTTATGTATAGGATTTTTTGGTATTTAGGATTATTTCAATGGCATGATTTCTAGATGTAGAGGTACCAAGTCAGTGGCTAAGAATGCTTTTTACAAACCCATAGGTATATACGTATATATTTCTAAATTGCTTCCCAAAAAGAGTGTGCTGATTGATACTCCCTTCAGTAATGAGTGGCTTAATGTTTTAATTGCACTCACTAGGTGGAAAATGCATACTTGCTTCAATTTGAATTTTTTTTAACTATAGGGTTGAATGTTTTTCCCCTTATGTTTACGAACTGATCTTCCTCTCTGCATTCTGTTCATGCCTTTTTGTCATTCATTTTACTATACTGGCCTGCAAATAACAGCTTATTTGATGCCTCAGCGTGTGTCTGCATAGGCAAACCAGAGCTGGAGTGGCGACGTGAAGGAACCGCCAGACACACCTGGCTCTGCGTCTTCTCCTTCACCATCCTCAGGCTGTGCTTATTACTCCCTGCTTACAAAATGTGTGATAAGTCACCAGGCCTCAGGACCGTGTTGCAGGAAGAAAGGGGTGAAGGACTGTGCTAGCCACATCTGTCCCTGTTCTGCAGGGTAGGGAAGAGCTTTCTTAGAAGCCACCTCAGGAGAACTCGGTGGCCAGTATCGTCGCTAACTCTAGCTGGCAAATCAGAGGTTGAATGGTGTTTGAGTCTGCTGCAGTATCTGGAGGTTCTTAATATTTATCCCACTTTTGAAAAGGTATCAAATTTGTCATCTTTGTGATAGTATTTCCTGGACTGCTTACTATTTTGGTAAGTTTTCATTGTCACGTTGTTATGTTTGCTATCATTTCCTTTGTGATTGTTTTAACAAGTTTTAAACTAAACAAAAGAAACCCTTCACCCATGGCTATTGCAGGCTGATTCTCTGTGAAGCATAATCTGAGATGGAGATTTGTGTGTTTTGTGATGAGTGAATGTGGCCTGTATGATACTAGTTTTTTTGTATTCGAGATGGATTTTGCAGTCCAGTGTACACTCAGTGTTGAAAAAAAGGAATGTTCTTGGTTATATTAGTCCCGATTGGGTCAAGTTTGTTAACTCATACAGTCTTTACTAGTGCCTGTTCTCTGTCTGAGTAGTAGTTGTCTAAGATAGATGCGTCCTAATCATAGTAGACTGAATTTCTTCTTCAGTCAGATTTTGTTTTATACACCTCAAAACAACATTATAATGATTCAAAGATTCCTGGCTGCTTTATCTCCTGGGAGTGTTTGTTTTTTGTTTTCGAGACAGAGTCTCATTCTGTTGCCCAGGCTGGAGTGCAGTGGCGCTGTCTCAGCTCCCTGCAACCTCTGGCTCCAAGGTTCAAGCTCTTCTCCTGCCTCAGCTTCCCGAGTAGTTGGGACTACAGATGCACACCACCATGCTCAGCTAATTTTTGTATTTTTAGTAGCAATACAGTTTCACCATGTTGGTTAGGCTGGTCTCGAACTCCTGACCTCAAGTAATCCACCCTCCTTGGCCTCCCAAAATGCTGGGGTTATAGGCATGAGCCACTGTGCCCAGTCTGTGTTTTCTTAATCAATGTAAAATATTTTCACGTATCTTAATAGTTTCTACCTTGAGTTTGATTTTATGTGCTACTGATACTAACATTATATCTTTTTTTTTATTTCGAGACACAGTTTTGCTCTTGTTGCCCAGGCCAGAGTGCGATGGTGTGATCTTGGCTCACTGCAACCTCCACCTCCCAGGATCAAGCCATTCTCCTGCCTCAGCCTCCCGAGTAGCTGGGATTACCAGGGTGTGCCACCACACCCAGTTAATTGCTGTATTTTTAGTAATGATGGGGTTTCACCATGTTGTCCAGGCTGGTCTTGAACTCCTGATCTCAGGTGATCCACCTGCCTTGGCCTCCCAAAGTGCTTGGATTACAGGCATGAGCGACCGTGCCCGGCCTAAACTTAATTCCATCTTTTAGCTGTTTGCATAGAGCATATTTTAGTCCTTTTATTTGGAACCTTACCATGTGACTTGGTTATATGTGTGCCTTTTGTGCCTAACATTTTACTGAATAATTTGCTTCCTGAGTTTATCTCTTTTTTTCTTTTTAAACTAAGACTAACTCATTGATACTTGGATTACTTGGGCTTGATTCTGTCATCTTATTTGATGTTTTCTGTACTTGAATTTTTGTATTGGATTAAGATTTTCTTCTGTGATTTTAAAGTTATATATTCTGTTTCTGTTTGTCTAGCAGTTACTCTAATATTTTAATGCACATTCTTTGTATTTCTTGTACACAGTCTACACTTTATTCCTCCCCGCCCGCCCCACCACCACCTGATTCCTCTGGAGTTTCTTTCTTTTTTTTTTTTTCTTTTTTTGAGATGGAGTCTCACTCTCTCACTCAGGTTGGAGTGCAGTGGTACAATCTCGGCTCACTGCAAGCTCTGCCTCCCGGGTTTACGCCATTCTCCTGCCTCAGCCTCCTGAGTAGCTGGGACTACAGGCACCTGCCACCACACCCGGCTAATATTTTGTAGTTTTTAGTAGAGACGGGGTTTCACTCTGTTAGCCAGAATGATCTCGATCTCTTGACCTGGTGATCCGCCCACCTCAGCCTCCCAAAGTGCTGACATTACAGGTGTGAGCCACCGCGCACGGCCTTTATTTTTCTTTTGTAATTGAACGACATTGCTCTTTTATTACACAAAACATTGCAGTTCTCAGCCTGTCCCTTCAATTTAGGCGTGCTTATCCATACAGTTTTACTTCCCCTGGCAGCTGCAGTATCTCCTCCATCGCTGCCCACCTGCAGTCATTCTGTTAGGGATCTTCTCAGGGTCGGTCCAGTAAGAGTTCCCTACCTTTGAGTGTGCCTGTATATTTTTGTTTTTCATTATCTTGTCTGTATTCTCAGTAGATTAGGTTAGGCCTAATTTAAAGTAAGAAATGAGATAAGTCATAGGACACCAACTGCTATTTTTTTCTATTCAAGACCGTGTTAAACAACATTTAGATACTACTCGTGCTAGTTTCAGCTGTGACATTTTTCCTCCTGCTCTGCTGTTTGGGGAGCAGATAAAGCTATCAGTCGCTACTTGAGAAAGAAGTGGTGTTTGTCCCTTTTAATTCTCCTCGGCAGGGCACTTAGCGTTCTTTAAGAGTAATAGAGAAACAAGCCAGCATCCTTTCTGGATAGAGGTTTCTCAGAGACACTTTGTGACAAATTAAACTTGGAAAGCTTGCAACATTTCCAATTTACTTTCAGAGAAAGATGCATGGATAGGACCTTAAAAGCAGTAGGTATAAATTACAATTTGTGGAAGTTCAGCTGGAGATGATAAAAGCAGAGACCTTGGCAAAATGGGAGGAAGGAGGGGTCAGCTGAGATGGATTGTGAAGCCTGCGCAGGATGGTCAGGCAGTGAGCGTGAGGGCATTCTGGGTAGAGCGTTCAGCATATTCAAGGACTGGATATAGGAGAGGGTAGAGGGATTCTGAGAAGGTAGAAAGGTAGGTGACAACCTGATTTAAACACACCTCTTCTGTTGCATTTTGCCATTGAGGTGTAAGCTTTAGGTTGGGAATATTTCTTTTAAAACATGGAAGACCTTTTCAATCAGTGTTGCCTCGAAAGCTTTTATAAGTAAGGAATGGTGTTGAATGTGGAGATTTACTTTTTTGATTTTTCATGAGTTGGTCTGTTGTTGATTTCTGTTAGAGTTCATACTTACAGAGAATCGGTGTTTTTCTTGTGCCTTATCGGCCAAGTTTTGATGTCATGGTTATACCTGCTTTGGAATCATTTTACAGGAATTATCTGTTATGTAAATATATTTGGGAGAATTTCTCTGAGCCTGCAGTTCTTCTGAAATTTTGAAATTAAAAGATATCTTTTCAATATATTTCTCTCCTTAGGCCTCTATGAGTGTTAAATCGCCATTTAGTATGATGTCAAGAAATAGTTTGGAAGTACCTCCTTCTAAGATGACAGAGCCATTTAATTTTGAGAAAAATGAAAACAAGCTTCCACCACATGAGTCTTTAAGAAGTCCTGGAACACTTCCTAACCATCCTAATTTCAGGCTGAAAAGCTCAGAGAATGGAAATAAAAAGAACAATTTTTTGCTTTGTGAGCAAACCAAACAATATTTGGCTAGTCAGGAAGACAGTTCAGTTTCTTCAAAGCCTAATGGCATCAACGGAGAAGTGGTTGGCTCCAAAGGAGACAGGAAAAAATTGCCAGCAGGTGAGTGAAAACCACAGGCTTCCTACTTCTTGTTTCTCGTGGTTTCTGTGACTTGCCAGAAGTATATATAACCACACACCAGTGGGCTATTAACAGAACAGGCACATGACTACCTTACCGTATTTGCATTTAATTATTATTGTAGAAGGAAAAACCAGATACCAAGTGGCTGCCTTCGGCTTCATTAATCTCAGAAAAAATTCCTGGGGAGAGAATGAGCTTTTTTCCCCACAGAGGACTATACTAGGAATGCAGAAAGGAAACACTCTAGCTTTTTTATGGGTGTTCTAAAGATTGACCATATCTTAAAAATACTGTGCAAAGATACAGCTAAGATTTTAATTGGTTTCATGTGATTTATCATTCCTTTAGTTCCAGTTCTAAAAACCTTTTCGGCTGGGCGCGGTGGCTCATGCCTGTAATCCTAGCACTTTGGGAGGCCGAGGTGGGCAGATCACGAGGTCAGGAGTTAGAGACCAGCTTGGCCAACATGGTGAAACCCCATGTCTACTAAAAATACAAAAATTAGCCGGGTATGGGGGCGCAAACCTGTAGTCCCAGCTACTTGAGAGGCTGAGGCAGGAGAATCGCCTGAGCTTGGGAGGCAGAGGTTGCAGAGTTGACATCATGCCACTGCACTCCAGCCTGGTGACAGAGCGATACTCTGTCTCAAAAAAGAAAAAAAAAACACCACCTTTCTAAGGCAGTTAGGACCTAGTAGAATTTAGTTTCTTTGTGAAGGTATATGAGATGTGATCTTTTAACATGGCGATATAATTCTCAGAATGTGCCCTTGGGCTTCTGGGCTTCCGCAAGATGTCAAAACTGTTTTCCTCACATTATTGCCTTTTCTGCTATGCCAGCTTTATACTGATAGTGCAGAAGCAAATTATTAGCTCAGCTTAAGGCAGGAGCGCCAACCTGGGTGAGGGTTCATTGAGTTTTTCATTGTCGTGCACTTCCAGTTAAAAGGAAAACCAGAAATGGCAATTTCAGTTAAAAATGCCCTTGATTGAGCAGTAAAAAGTATTCAAGTATTCTGTTAAATCTTGACCATTGTGTGCAGTATTTTTAGTATTTGTGTGATGAAATGGGAATTACTCCTTTTATCCTCTGAAGTAGGAAAAGCACGTGTGCAATTGAGTTGTGAACTGAAGAGAAACTCTTTTCTTGGAATATACTTTTTACTTGAAAAGATGACACACTGGTTATTCAGATTTACCTGGCAAGCATTTTCTCAAAAATTAAAGTGAGCCCTTTACTTCAAGGAAGACAGCTGACAGTATTTTGTCAATGACAAAGTTCAAGCTTTCAAGCAATTTCGGATTTTAGGAAACTTGTGTCTGCCACTTTGAGCTTAAGAACTTCCCAAGACAGACTTTTCTGGTGAGATGCATGGTGATATTAACATATGAATATTAATATTTTTATTTTTTTGGAGACGGTCTCTGTCACCCAAGCTGAAGTGCAGTGGCACAATCATGGCTCACTACGGCCTCAAACCCCTGGGCACAAGCGATCCTCCTGCCTCAGCCTCCCAAAACCCTGGGATTACGGGCATGAACCACCACAACAGGCCCTAACTCATGATTTTTTGCTATTGCATAATGAAATATGTCAACATTTGGAAATGCCGCATAACTCAGTGAACCTGTCTTTTCCAAATGGCCAGTGCATGATACTGCTGTCATGCATGGGCAGAAATCCAAAGTGTGGGATAAATCAGTGAATTCTAATGTAACAATATGAAAAGTTCCTTAATGTGGTTTTAGAGTTCACATTGCTTCTAACTCTATACCACTTTGTTTTGGTGTATTATTAGAGGCAAATATCCACAATTAATAGAGGAGGACATTAAGTATTCCTCCTCCTTGCAAATACCTGTCTCTGGGAGGCCAGACCCTTTTTTTTTTTTTTCCAAATACCAGAAGCAACTTTTCACTGAGTGAAGGCAAAAGCTATATATGAATCCAGCCGTCTTCTGTTAAGCCAGTCATTAATGATATGCAAAAATGTGTAATCCTTCTATATTTTGTTTTGAAAAATACAGTTTTAAAAAATTGTCAGCATGTAATGCATTTATTTTTAAATGGATGCTTAAGTTTCGTTTTAATTTCTAATACAGTAAATATTGATTGAAATAAACCGTGTAAACAAAAGCTCTGCAGGGTCCTCAGTTTTTAAGAGTGCAGAGGGTTTCTGAATCCAGAAAATTTGAGAACTGCTGCCTTAGTGAATGGAGAAAAGTTCACAATGAGAGGAGTACTAGTCAAGAAAATTTTGGACAAGTTCTTTTATTTATATTTTTATTTTTTTCGAGACAGAGTCTCTCAGTCACCCAAGCTGGAGTGCAGTGGCACTGTCTCAGCTCACTGAAACCTTCACCTTCCAGGTACAAGTAGTTCTCCTACCTCAGCCTCCTGAGTAGTTGGAATTACAAGCGTGCACCACCATGCCCAGCTAATTTTTGTATTGCCCATGTTCATGTTGGCCAGGCTGGTCTTGAACTCCTGACCTCAAGTGATCCACTTGCCTCAGCCTCCCAAAGTGCTGGGATTATAGGGGTGAGCCACCATGCCTGGCTAAGTCCTTATTTTCTGTTGGGCAAAGTAGGATGTTGCTTAGGTTCTGGTGTAGCTATAAGGTTATTGTGGTATAGCCCTGTTACTTGAATATCACCTAATTATACTATTTTTCATTATTAAAAATAAAAAGTATTATTTGGCTTTTATTCAAAATTGCGTTTTTCCTCCCCAGGAAACTCAGTGTCATCACCAAGTGTAGAAAGTAATTCACCACCCAAAGAAGTGAATACTGTAAGTTACTTTATTGTGTGTTTGCTTGCTAGGATAAAAGATTCTAAACATGTTCTGGTATTTAATAAAGAAGTATTCAATTTGTAGATATCATTCAAGATCAGACATTTTTTATTTAATGTATATTTTTAAAAAAGTAAACTTCCTTAGGTTATTGTAGATTCACATGCAGTTGTAAGAAATAATGGGGATCCTGTGTAGTCTTTCGCCTGTTTCCCGCATGGTAACATGCTGCAGAACTATAGTACAGTATCACAACCGGGTTATTGATACACCATCAAGATACGGAGCATTTCCATCACCACAAGGGTCTCTTATATACCTTGTTGCTTATGTTCTGGTGTAGCCAATCCACTTTTTCTTCTGCCCCTGCCCTCTTAATCCATAGCAGCCACTGATATGCATATTTCCACAATTTTGTCATTTTTGAGAATATTATATAAAAGGCTACGTACAGACATTATGTAACCTTTTGGGATTGGCTTTCGTCATTTCGCATAATTATCTAGAAATTGATCTAGGTTGTATGCATCAATCATTTGATCCTTGTTATTGCTGAGTAGTAGTCCATGGTGTGGACAACTTGTTTAACCATTTACTTATTGAAGGACATCTGGGTTGTTTCCACTTTTTGGCTCTTAAAACTGGAACTCTATATCCATTGATGTACAGAATTTTATGTGAACATGTTTTTAATGCCCCAGGATAAATGTCCAGGGTACAATTTCTGGGTTGAAGAGTAGTCCCATACTTTGTTTTATAAAAAACTGCCACATGTTTTCCAGAGTGACGGTATCATTTTACATTCATTCTTACCAAGGGTGTATGAGAGCTTCAGTTTCTCTGCATCCTCTTCGGCATTTGGTGATGTCGTCGGTATTTTTATTCTACCCGTTTTCATCACAGATGTGTAGTACTATCTAATTGTGGTTTGACTTGCATTTCCCTCATGATTGATGATAAACATCTTTTCATGTGCTTAGTTGCCATCTGTACATCTTTGGTGAAATGTTTTCATGTCTTTTGTCTATTTTCTGAGTTTTTTACTGTTTTGAAAGTTCTTTGTAATTTTCAGATATTAGTCATTTGTCAAGTATGTGATTTGCAAATATTTTCTCCTAATCTGTAGCTTGTCTTTTCATCTTAATAAAGTCAGTTTTTCCTTAGTGGATTGTTTTTGGTGCTTTTGATACTCTGGATCCTGAAAATGTTCATTTTTTCCCCAAACAATTTGATAGTTTTACTTTTTTTTTTTTTTAGATGGAGTCTTGCACTGTCACCCAGGCTGGAGTGCAGTGGCCTGATCTCGGCTTACTGCAACCTTCACCTCCGGGGTTCACGCCATTCTCCTGCCTCAGCCTCCCAAGTAGCTGGGACTACCGGCGCCCGCCACCGTGCCTGGCTAATTTTTTTTTGTATTTTTAGTAGAGACAGGGTTTCACTGTGTTAGCCAGGATGGTGTCAATCTTCTGACCTCATGATCCGCCTGCCTCGGCCTCCCAAAGTGCTGGGATTACAGGCGTGAGCCACTGAATAGTTTCACTTCTTACATTTAAGTTTTGATCCATTTTCAGTTAATTTTAAGATTTTAAATTAAGAAACTTGAGAGATTTATTTTTGCCTGTGGATGTTCAATTGCTCCAGTGCCATCTGTTGAAAATTTTCTTCACTGAATTGCTTTCACACATTTGCCAAAATTTAGCTGGACATATTTGTGTTGGTCTAGTTGAAGTTACTTATTTTCTGTATATCTATGTGTCTATCTTTCCAGTACCACACAGTCTTGATTCCTGGAGCTGTGTAGTAAATTTTGAAATTGGGAAAAGTAGTTCCTTTCACTTGATTTATCTTCTTAAAAATTTTTTTTAACTATTCTAATTCCTTTGCCTTCCAACATGCAGTTTAGAATAATCTCATCTCTACAAAAAATATTGCTGGGATTGTCATGTGAATTGCATTAAACCTATATATCATTTGGGGAATTATTGACATTTTTGCTGTGTTGAATCTTCCAATCCATGAACATAGTGTTTCTCCTTTTATGTAGATCTCTGATTTCTTTTCGTTTTGTAGTTTAGCTTATAGGTCCTGTGCATGTTTTGCTAGTATTTGATTTTTTAAGTATTTGATTTTTTTTGAGTAACTGTAAATACTGTTGTATTTCTGTCCCCATGTTCATTATCTGAAAATATGATTGGTTTTGTATGTTTATCTTCTGTGATCTTGCTGAAGTCTTTTTTTCTTTTCTTTATTTATTTTTTTTTTTTGAGACGGAGTTTTGCTCTCGTTGCCTAGGCTGGACTGCTGGGCTGCTATCTTGGCTCACTGCAACCTCTGCCTCCCTGGTTCAAGCGATTCTCCTGCTTCAGCCTCCCAAGTAGCTGCGACTATAGGCATGTGTCCCCACACTTGGCTAATTTTTGTATTTTTTAGTAGAGACGGGATTTCACCATGTTGGTCAGGCTGGTCCCAAACTCCTGACCTCAGGTGATCCACCCGCCTTGGCCTCCCAGAGTGCTTGGGATTACAGGCGTGAGCCACTGGGCCCAGCCATTGAAGTCCTTTTAAGATCCCTTGCAGTTTTCTACATAGCCAATCATATCATCTGCAAATAGGGACAGTTTTATGTTTTCTTTTTCAGTGTAAATGCCTTTGATTTCCTTTCTTGCTTTATTGCATTTACTGTAGGAACTTTCTACACTAGGTTTGAATCACAGTGACAGTGGACACCTTGCCTTGTTTCTAATCTTAGGGAGAAAGCATTCAGTCTTTTACGATTAAGTTTAGATGTAGGTTTTTGTAGATGTTCTTTATCAAGCTGATGAAGTTTTCTCTAGTCCTGCTTTTCTGATCCTTTTTATCATGAATAGGTGTTGAATTTTGTCAAATGCTTTTTCTGTACTGATTGATATGGTAGTGACTTCTTTTCCTTTAGTGTGTTAATTTGGTAGATTACATTGTTATTTTGAGTGGTTAACCAGCCTTGCATTCCTGAAGTGAACTACGCTTGGCCATGGTGTATAATTATTTTTATGTATTGCTGAGCTCTATCTGGTAATATTTTAATAAGGATTTTTACATAAATTTTCATGAGAGATTTTGGTCTGTAATTTTCTTTTATACTGTCTGTGTGTGGTTTGAGTATCAAAGTAATATTAGTTTCATGAAATGAATTGGGAAGTGTCCCCTCTTCTGTTTGCTGGAAGAGAAATTGTATAGAACTGGTGTTAATTCTTTAAACATTTGGTAGAATTCTCCAATGAAAACCATCTGGACCTGGAGATTTCTTTTGGGGGAGTTTTAAAGGTATGGTTCAGTTTCCTTAATATTTATAATTGAAGTCTATTCAAATTGTTTCATACTGTGTTTGCATTTTTTAAGGAATTTGTTCATTTTGTCTACACTGTCAAATTTGTACGTGGAAGTGTTCCCGGTATTTTCGTGTTAGTGGTGTCTGTAATAATGTTCCCTATTTTATTCCTGATATTGGTAATTTCTGTCTGTCTGTATTGTCTGTCTCGCTACAGGTTTGTGTTTTATTGATCGTTCCAAAGAAATAGGTCTTTGTTTCATTTTTTTCCTGTTTTTAAAATTAATTTCTTCTTTATGTTTACTGTCTCTACTGCTTTTGGGCATTTTTTTGGTCATTGATTGGGGGGTTTTTTTTGTTTGTCTTTTTGGTGGTTGGTTGGTTGGTTTTTTAAGACAAGGTCTCCCTCTGTCATCCAGGCTGGAGTGTAGTGGCACAATCATAGCTCACTACAGCCTTGTACTCCTGGACTCAAGCAATCCCACCTGCTGAGCCTCTTGGAGTAATTGGGACTACAGGTGTATGCCACCACACCTGGCTATTTTTTTTTTTTTTTTTTTTTTTTCTGTAGAGATGGGGGTCTTGCTATGTTGCCAGTCTGATCTTAAACTCCTGGCTTCAAGTGATCCTCCCACCTTGGCTTCCCAAAGCACTGGGATTACAGGCTTGAGTTGCCCTGCCCAGCCCCAGTGTATCTTTTATTTATCTCGAAACTTCATCTTGAACTCATATTATTTAGAAGTGTGCTTTAGTTTCTGGGTGTTTGAAGATTATTAGTATTTTTTCTGCTACTGATTACTGGTTTGAGTCTATTCTGGTCAGAGAACAGCTTCTGAATCACATCAGTTCTTTTAAGTTTGTTGAGGTTTGTTTTATGGCTCAGGATGTGGTCTTGGTATACATTCTCTTGGCACTTGAAAAGAATGTGCCTTGTCTGTTGGGTCAGACGATCTATAAATATCTAATAGCTCCTGTTGGTTGGTGATGTTGTGTTCTATCCTCGTGCTGATTTTATATCTCATTATGTCAATTGTTGAGAAGATATTAAAGCCTCTATAATCCTAGGTTGTTTATTTTCAATTCAGTTAGGCTTTATATTTTGCAGCTGTGGTTCATGCATATTTAGGATTGCGGTGTCTTGTTGGGTTGACTCGTTGTCATTATAATGTCCCTCTCTTTGGTGCTTTTCTTTCCCTGTAATCTGTTTTATCTGATATTAATACAGTCACTCATTTTTCTTAACATTTACATATTTTTCCATCTTTTTACTTTTGGTCTATATTGTTATACATAAAATGAGTTTCTTATAGATACCATATATTTTGGTAAGGTTTTTTAATTCACTAGGACAGTCTGTCTTTCAGTTGGTATACTTAGATAATTTACATTTGATGTAATTGATACTTGAGAGTTTATGCCATTTGTTTTGTTTTCTGTTCTGTTTATTTTTCCTGCCGCCTTGTGGGTTACTTGAATAGTTCTGTAATTTTGATTTTTATCTGGTGTTTTCAAGTGTGTATCTCTGTATACCTTTTCCAGTGGTTGCTCTACATACTACATCATGTATACGCAACTTATGACAGTTACCATTTTACCAGTCTGAGTATAGTGCAGACACCTTAACCTCCCCGTGCATTTCTTTACCTTCACCCGTTTATGTCTTACATATTCTATCTCATAGATTTACAACTCCTTCAGACCGTTTGTCATTTTTGCTCAAACTCTCAAACGTAATTTAGAACACTCAACAGGAGAAAGTCTATTGTACTTACTAATATGTTTCGTTTATCGGGTCTCGAACTCCTGAGCTTAGTCCTCCCACCTCGGACTCACAAAGTGCTGGGATTACAGGCATGAGCCACTGAGCCCGGCCTGTTGTGTTTTTCTTCTCTATTTCAGTGTTCCTGCCTTTATCATTTCTTTCCTCTTTAGAGAACTTCCTTAGGCCATTATTTTAGGATAAAGCTGCTGGTAACAAATTCTCTTAATTTTCTTTCATCTGAAAAGTCTTGATTTCCCATTCATTCCTAAAGGATATTTTCCTTGGATAAGTTTCTCAGGTAAGTTTTCTTTCAGAACTTGAAAAATGTTTTGTCACTTTCTGGCTTCCACGGTCTCTAATGAGAAATCTGTCTTTTTAAAGACACCTTACTGCCATGTTGCTCTTCGGGTCTCCAGGTTCCTAGCCAGCCCACCTCCTCCTCTCCTACTTTCAGCGTCACCTTATGTTTGTTTTATATAGAAGTTCAGGGTTTTAGTTTACCTTAATAGAATGAATTTTAAAAATCCTCCCTCCCCCATACAGGTAAGGGATTCTTTTCCTCTTTCTGCTTTCAAGCTTTTAATTTTCAGAATTTTAAGATGTGTCTTGGTGTTTAGTCTCAGTTTACTCTGGGCCTCACTCAGCCTCTTAAATTAGTAAATTTATATCTTCTGCCAAATTTGGAAGTTTCTGGCAGTCTTTTTTTTTTTTTTTTTTTTTTTTTGGAAACAGAATTTGACTCTTGTCGCCCAGGCTGGAGTGCAGTGGCGTGATCTCAGCTCACTGCAACCTCCGCTTCCTGGGTTCAAACGATTCTCCTGTCTCAGCCTCCCAAGTAGCTGGGATTACAGATGCCCTCCACCACACCCAGCTAATTTTTGTATTTTTAGAAGAGATGGGGTTTTGCCACGTTGGCCAGGCTGGTCTTGAACTCCTGACCTCAGGTGATCCCACCAGCCTCAACCTCCCAAAGTGCTGGGATTACAGGCATGCGCCACCGTGCCCGGCCTCAGCAGTCATTTTTTGAGTACTTCTTAACCCTACCTTCTCTCCCCTTTCTGAAGACACAAATGCTAGATCTTTTGTTACAGTCCCACAGGTCCCCGAGACTATTCATTTATTAATTCATTTTCATTCTGTTGTTCAGATCAGGCGTTTCTGTGGTTCTGTCTTCAAGTTCACTGATTGTTACCTCTTTTCCCTCCATTATGCTAGTGAGCCTGCTATTGTGTTTTTTATTTTGGTTGTACTTTTCAGTTTTAAAATACCCATTTGGTTCTTTATATCTTTTATTTCTTTAGGGAGACTCCGTATTCATTTGTTTCAAGCCTATTCGTAATTGCTTGTTAACGTATTGATGACCGCTTTAAAATCTTTATAGATAAATGAATGTTTTTATCATGTTGATGTTGGGTGCTTGATTTTTTTTTTTTTTTCCGGCATTCATTTGTGATCTTCCTGATTCTTGGTGCAGTGAGTTATTGTCTATTGAATTCTATTGAAACTGGGATATCTTGGGTATTATGAGACTTTTTTTTTTTTTTTTTTTGATTCAGAATCTCGCTCTGTTGCCCAACCTGGAGTACAGTGGCGTGATCTCAGCTCACTGCAGCCTCCACCTCCTGGGTTCAAGCGATCATCGTGCCTCAGCTTCCTGAGTAGCTGGGATTATGGGCATGTGCCACCATGCCTGTCTGATTTTTGTATTTTCAGTAGCAATGGGGTTTCGCCATATTGGCCAGGCTGATCTCGAGCTCATGGCCTGATCTGAAATCATCTGCATGCCTCATCCTCCCAAAGTGCTGGGATTACAGGCGTGACCTACCACACCCAGCCTCTATCTTATTTAAACTTCCTGTCTTAGCTGGCTTCCTCCGACACTGCTCTGGCTGCTGGTTTGTTACTGCCAGGTTGGGGGTATATGTCCAGGTTCCCTACTCAGCCTCTGATATTCAACTGGGGAGCTCTTTCTTTTGGGTGAGGATGGGAGTTCCAGCTTCACAGGAGGCCTCAACTGATTGCTTTCTGGCTGACAGTGGTGAGTGCCTCATTACAGCTCCCCATTTGGTCTGTAGTGACACGCATGGAGAGAGGGCCGACTGAAAGAGAGGGTGTTAGGAGGGATTAGTTTGTATTGAATTGTGGTGGAAAGTCCGGACTCTCCACTAGGCCTTTTCTGACACCACATTGGTGGGGATGGGGGCACCTCATTGCTGCCAGGTGGAAATCCAGGTTTGCCATGTGGTCTCCATAGGCAGGGATGTCATCCTTCCACTTCAGGGATGAAGTGCTGGCATCCTATTCTGTTGGCCTTCTCTGATACCATACTTGTGAGCAGGTTGGGGCACCTCACTGTAGCCTTGTGAGGGTGGAAATCTTGGCCCCACACTCTCCCTCTGTGGGTGGGAGTGGGGCCACAGTTTTGTCTGTGGTGTTTGGAGTAGAGCAGTTAATGTTAAGTTTTCTGTCTTTCTGGTCTGCCTTTTTTTCTAGTCCTTTGGCTAGACAGAGCAGGTTTCTAAATTTTTTTTTTTTTTTTTTTTAATGATGAGGGTCTCACTATGTTGGCCAGGCTAGAGTGCAGTGGCCATTCACAGGCACTATCGTAGCTTGCTACAGCCTTGAGCTCCTGGGCTCCAGTGTTCCTCCCGCCTCAGCCTCGGAAGTAGCTGGGACTGCAGGTGCCCGCCACCACACCCAGCTCGAGAGTACAGCTTTTCTTGTTGGAGTTTTTTATCATCTCTGCCTTCTGGTGTTTCTGGGTTGCTGGCTTCTCCAGCACCCAGTCTGGTATATATGAGGCAAAAAGAAAACCCAGACACCTTAGTGCCATGTCGTTCTTTGGGTCTCCAGGTTGCCAGTCAGCCCACCTCCTCCTCTCCCACTTTCAGAGTCACCTTATGTTTGTTTTATATATAAGTTCAGGGTTTTAGTTTACCTTAATAGAAGGAATAAGGAAAAGTACATCTACTTGATCTTGTCCCAAATCTAGTATTTAAATGGAAAAGTTATTGCCAAATTCTAACATTGCTCTACTCTGTTCTTAATAGAAGCCCGGAAATAATGTACGTCCTGCAAAATCAAAAAAACTAAACAAGTTGGTCGAGAATTCCTTGTCCATAAATAATCCAGGGCTCTTCACCTCCTTAGGACCTCCTCTTCGGTCCACAACTTGCCATCGCTGTGGCCTGTTTGGTAAGCATATTGTTCTTAGGTGTCTGAATTTTTCTACATATTTGAAAATCATTTTTATTGTGGCAGATGATAAACATTAAATGTAATTAGAGCAGTGTCCCCATGCCACACACCCGTCTCAGCCTCAGCCACCGTCAGCATCCTGCCATTCCTCTTCACCCATCCCTTCCCATTTTTCCTGCTTCCTCGGTGTACGTTTTCCTCAGTTTTTTTAGGGGAAGCTCACATGCATTGAAATGTACAGACTTACATCCTTGTCATAATATAGGATGTTTCTGTCTCCTCAGGAAGTTTTCTCATGTCCCATCCCGGTCCCTACTTCTGAGAAGCAACCATTGATTTTCTAATCATGAATAAATTTTGCCTGTCATAGAATTTCACATAAGTGGAATCACACAGCATGGACTCTTTAGTATCAAGGTTATTTCATATACAATAATACTTTTGAGGTTAATCCATGCTGTTCCACGCACCATTATTTTTTGTTTATTGCTGAATAGTGTCATTGTATGGTTATACCATGGTTGAACTGTTCTCCTATTGATGAACATTTTGGCTGGGTCCAGCTTTTGCCTGTTAGGAATAGAGCTCTCTAAACATTTTTATACAAGTGTTTGTGTGGACATAACGTTTTCATTTATTGTGGGTGCACAGGTAGACACAGAATGGCTGAGTCAAAGGGTGGGTGTTTGTTTAACTGTATAAGAAGCTACCAAACCATTTCCAAGGTATTGTCCCATTTTCTATTCCCCCTGGGAGGGAGAGTTCTGGTTGTTCCACATCCTCGTCCATGTTTGGTGTTTGTGTTTTTATAGCCCTTTTCGTGGATAAGTTGGAATTGTCATATGCCTCTTGAGTTCTAATTTTTCAATATATAAGTCTTACTTGCATGGCATTTACCAGTTTAGAGTTAAATTTGCAGTGCTCTCGTGATCAATGATCTTGAGCAGTTTTTTCTGTTTATTACTGGCTATTCGGATATGTAACTTTTTTTTTTTAAGTTTCTTTTAGGGTGGAAACATTTGAGGCCAGACTGGGTTGGTGGTTACTACTTTGTTGTGCGGTTTTTTGTTGTTGTTTTTGTTTTTTAGATAACCTGTTTCTTTAGCATGAACACTGATAGAATTTTTTTTTAAATCCTTTATTTCAAAATCTCCCTGGGTTTTTCTAGATAGAATTCTCGTTGTTTTTTGTTGGTTTTTTTCATGATATGCAGCCATTTCAGTCACTGGTACAAGTCTGTTTTCACTACAGGAAAGTTTTGTTTACTTTGCTTGATCTTGCCTCACTGTAACCTCTGCCTCCTGAGTTCAAGTGATTCTCCTGCCTCAGCCTCCCAAGTACAGATGTGCACCACCACACCCGGCTTATTTTTTTTATTTTTGTAGAGACGGTATTTCACCATTGTTGGCCAGGCTGGTCTCAAACTCCTGACTTCCAAGTGATCCCTCCACCTTGGTCTCCCAAAGTGCTGGGATTACAGGCATGAGCCATGGCACGTTTTGCACCATTGCTTGCTTTTTTTTTTTTTTTTTTTTTTTAAAGACTAGAGTCTCGCTCTGTCACCACCCAGGCTGGAGTACAGTGGTGTAATCTCAGCTCACTGCAACCTCTGCCTCCTGGATTCGAGAGGTTCTCCTGCCTCAGCCTCCCGAATAGCTGGGATTACAGGTGCCTGCCCCCATGCCCGGCTAATTTTTGTATTTTTGGTAGAGACGGGGTTTCACCATGTTGGTCATTCTGGTCTCGAACTCCTGACCTCAAGTGATCTGCCTGCCTCGGCCTCCCAAAGTGCTGGGATTATAGGCGTGAGCCACTGCACCTGGCCGCTTGCTGCTTTTATAACATATATTCGGAGGTCTGTTTTAGGAAACTCAGTTATGTGTCCCAGTCTGATCTCCCTTTTTAAAATCTTTGTAGGCCTTTTTTCTCTGTATTCTGAGAGTTTAAAAGTATAATCTGAATACCTAATCCTAAATAGCACAATTCTCTCCAGATAGTCTTCTTGCCATGGTTAATAGAATATTTGATCAAGTGTGGACCTTGAGAATGCCTTGATCTTCATCTGAACTATTTTGTGGGTGGTGTTCTTTAGGATCGCTGAGGTGCTCTCAGTGCAAGCAGACCTACTATTGCTCCACAGCATGTCAGAGAAGAGACTGGTCTGCACACAGCATCGTATGCAAGCCTGTTCAGCCAAAGTAAGGATTTATGGTCTTTTTATTCATTATGGATTGTGTATAAGGTCTTTTTCTAATACAGTAAGCATCCAATAGTTGAGCAGACCACAACCAAGTAGAAGTTACTTTTTATTAAGCTCTATAACAAAAGTGTACAAATCTGAAGTGAACAGCTCTATGAACTTAATTTTCATGTGTATTGTTTTACTGGGTAGTACATGTGAAGATTTATAACCTTCAAAGAGTTTTTCTTTAATGTTTAGAGCTTTAGAATGCCTTACTTTAATCATGTATTTTCCTGGATCTTAGTAAGTTTGGAACTCTTACATGCCTCTTGAGTTGTGTTTTTATTTGTAAATACATAAATTGTACTTACATGGCATTTACCAGTTTACAAAACAGTTTCACATATGACCTCAAAATTCTTTGTAAGTAATGTAGGGAATTATCTCTGTTTTTTTTTTTTTTTTTTTTTTTTTTGAGACAGAGTCTTGCTCTCTCGCCCAGGCTGTAGTGCAGTGGTGCGATGTCGGCTCACTGCAAGCTCAGCCTCCTGGGTTCACGCCATTCTCCTGCCTCAGCCTCCCGAGTAGCTGGGACTACAGGCACCTGCCACCACGCCTGGCTAATTTTTTGTATTTTTAGTAGAGATGGGGTTTCGCCGTGTTAGCCAGGATGGTCTCGATGTCCTGACCTGGTGATCCACCCACCTCAGCCTCCCAGAGTGCTGGGATTACAGGCGTGAGCCACCACACCCAGCGAGGAATTATCTCCATTTTACAGATAAGAAAACTGAGGCTTGAAGATATTCTCTCACTCTCGTCTCTGTCTCATTAGGTGGCTTTTGGAAGAAGCACGCCTATGCGCACACAGGGTGTGGACCATTGTGTAGCCAGCAGTGGGGAGTTTGACTTTACCACTGTGATTCTGGAAGAAGCTGTTTTGCTCTTTCAGGATTTTGTTCGTTGAGAATTTACCATAATTGTGATTGATAGCACCTATGTTCATTGCCTCTACAGTGTAAATATTGTAATCTGTTGCTTTATTGCAGTTTCCACAAACTTGAAGATAATAAATCATCTATTGAAACAAAGGATGTGGAGGTAAATAATAAGGTATGGTATACTTTGTCTTTAAATTTTGAATGACTCCTCTTTATTGAATTAAGAGGATGTGAGATAAATAGTTTGGGCTTATTTCTGCATTTTATCAATATTTAAAAGTAAGTTTCCTATTTAAATATGTACACCATAGTGATACAATCAGGGGTTTTTGAAAATTACTTCATCTTTTTTTCAAAAAGGATGTGGTAGTATCTCAGCGTAAAATCATGTGGATTAAAGAGTCCCTTTAGCCTCTGCGGGCACAGGTTTGAGCTTTATGTGCTGTACTCTAATAGGGCCTAGTTATCTAAGGAGGCTTTCTGATAGCAGTTCCTCATTTAGACAACAACATGGGCTGAATTATTTGTAATCTGAAAAACATCTGTCACGTCCAGCTCATATTTGTGAATAATTTTTAGCTTTCTTTAGCTGCTTGTAGCATCTACTTTAAAAAAGTGAATTCAAGTATTCATTCTTACAGAAAGCATTAACAAGTGCGGATTTAAAATAGTAACCTCCACCACCACCACTTTCATTTTTTAAAAATAAAGTCAACCTTCTCTTCACCCGCACGGCCTTATTCTTGGGTTATCCCCAGTGCTGTGCACACTGCCTGTGGACAGTGGGTTTTAGTGACTCTTGGAGGCCTTCCCTATTTCTGTGTTCTTTTATTCAAGCCGAAGAGTCAGGATATTGTGGTTGCGGTTCCGGCGTGTAGTGGCCATAGAATCATTGAAACATGTGCTTTTAAGTAACTCGCTTCTGTGGTATTTTTCAAACCAGAATGACTGTCCACTTGGAGTTACTAAGGAAATAGCCATTTGGGCTGAGAGAATAATGTTTTCTGATTTGAGAAGTCTACAACTCCAGAAAACCATGGAAATAAAGGTATTTGTTGTTCTTCAATCTCCATAGACAGAGATCCAGAGAACTGTATTTATTCTCTTGTTTCCTACTTGAGTTCATGCGGTAGCTGCAAAACATATCTGATTAAACTAATAAACATTGCAAAAACTGTCTATGATGCTGTTTGTATTTTAGTTACAAAGCTTTAAGAAATTGATGTTTCCTTTTGTGCCTTAGGAATTATTCCTCTTTTTTTTTTTTCTCTTTGAAAGGGTACAGTTACCGAATTCAAACACCCAGGGGACTTCTATGTGCAGTTATATTCTTCAGAAGTTTTAGAATACATGAACCAACTCTCTGCCAGCTTAAAAGAAACATATGCAAATATGCATGAAAAAGACTATATTCCTGTTAAGGGGGAAGTTTGTATTGCCAAGTACACTGTTGATCAGGTAACCCATAATGAAATGAATTATTGAAAACGTTTGAGCTAACTTTGGTAGTATGAACTGAACACCAGAGCTTTTAATGATGCATGGCAAGGCTTAAAACCAGCCTCTGATCACTCTGATCCTCTTCAGTATCCCATGCTCTGTTCAGCTTGCTTCTTCCCTGTCTTACCCCCCTCCAACTCTGTTTAGGGGTTCCTGAATTGCTGCTTGTAGCCGAATGGCTGGCTAGTCTTAGAGCTTGTGTTTTATTTGGGTAGCTGAGGCATTAGTGTGTGATAGTCTGATGGGATAGAAATAGCTTTGGAATAGTTGTGTATATTATTAATAACATGTCCTAACTAGACAATTTTAGGGATTTCTTAGCAAGATTCTTAGAAAATTAAGTTGGCTTTTTGCATGTTCTATAGATCGATTGAGGGTTTTTAAAATCTAAGATTGTGAAATGCTGTTTATATTTCACTTTCAGACCTGGAACAGAGTGATCATACAAAACGTTGATGTGCAGCAAAAGAAGGCACATGTCTTATATATCGATTATGGAAACGAAGAAATAATTCCATTAAACAGAATTTACCACCTCAACAGGAACATTGACTTGTTTCCTCCTTGTGTGAGTCTCTTTTCCTTTCTAGATATTTAATAGTGTCCCAAAGGAGCTGTTTTCAACGTTTTGATGGGCACAGTGTTAGTTCTGTGTTACTGTACCTGTACTATATAAATGAACACTCATTGGCTATCTTGACCTTATTTAAGTACTGCCCAAGGTGAGAAACTAACATTTTTAGGCACATCTTTTCAATTTGCTCTTCAAAATAATCATTTCTGTATTTATTATAGTATCTGAAAGTGGTCTTAATTTATGTATACTTGAAGGATAATTATTCTTTCACGAAGTTCTTAAGTTTCAAGTACCAAAAGTAAGCATTATGAATACAGTACTAGCAGAGGCTAATAATAATTATACATAAAATTGTCTGTCTGATTAGTACTTGAAGATTTGTGATAAGTTTTCAGCATGAGATACATTCTTTTATATACAAATAATTAGAAAAAATCATTTTTAAATGGCAATTTTTGTAAGTAACCTGCATAAAAATTTTCAGGCCATAAAGTGCTTTGTAGCCAATGTTATCCCAGCAGAAGGGAATTGGAGCAATGATTGTATCAAAGCTACTAAACCACTGTTAATGGAGCAGTACTGCTCCATAAAGATTGTTGACATCTTGGAAGAGGAAGTGGTTACCTTTGCTGTAGAAGTTGAGCTGCCAAATTCAGGTAAGATCTTTTTAAATTGAGTACTTAATAGGAAAAGTAGTTTCCACCTGTTACTCAGAAGAAACGGAAACATCAAGTGAGGCCAGGTAAACTGCCCTCTGGCGTCATTCAGATTGTGACTGAACCCATTCTTGAAATTGGCAGTTTGTCAAAGACGTGGCACAAATTCATAGAATTAGGTGGCTGGCTAGATTTAGACTTCATGTGAGCATAACTATTATCCCTTTAATAGAGCCATTATAATATCACTCCTGAATGTTGGCCCCTTTATTGAGAAAATTCCTGAAGTTCTCCGAATTCATTCATCCTTATCAGTGCTTTTTCTTGGAGTAACCGTCACAGAACTGCCTTTGGCTAGTACATAGTAGCTAAGCTGTGGAAATGGAAATGCTTTAGAATTCTCTTCTTCCCTTCTGGCTTTTCACCTGTTTGATAAATGACTTCTCGCTGTGTGATGGGTGCCTCCCAGTTTCCAGGGTATCACCCCTCTGCTTTCAGAGATCTGGCATCATGGCTGAATTGGTAGAAAATTAACTAATCTCTTGCGAAATTAAGTAAAAAACCTGTTGTTTGCTGTGTTTCATGTTATGATCTCAGCTTTTGGATGTTATTTCAGGGAACTTGAAGTTTGGGTCCATGCTGACCCTTGTTTCAACCATACTTATGTCTTAAATTTGTTTCCCATAAACAGTGGTCATTCTAAGCATATTCGTGAGATGGTAAAAGAATCTTTCGTGTTCTTCAGGATTTCAAAGTGAAACCTTTTCGTTAAAATTTCTGTCAAATAGAGGGTAGAAGACTGGTTACCAGAGGCCAGGAAGGGTAGTCGAGGGCTGGGAGTAGGTGGGGATGGTTAATGGGTACAAAAAAAAAATTGTTAAAAAGACTGTATAAGACCTACTATTCAGTAGCACAATAGCGTGACTGTAGTCAATAATAATTGTACGTTTTAAAGTAACTTAGACTGTAATTGGATGGTTTGTAACTCAAAGGATGCTTGAGAGGATGGTCACCTCCTCCTCTGTGGTGTGTTTACTTCACATTGCATGCCTGTGCCAAAACGTCTCATGTAACCTATAAATATGTACACCTACTGTGTACCCACAAAAATTTTAAAAATTAGATTTTAGAGAAAAAATTCTGTCAGGTGACTATGGTGATTTTGCCTCAGTTTTTCAGGCTGGGCATTACCATAGCTTGCCCATAGGAATTGAATTGGCAAAACATGTCAGCCTATTAATAGCTATGAACGTGGGTCGTATGATTGACTTGTTTCTTCTTTATGCTTTTCCCATAATTCTTTGTATAGTTTCTCAATGGAGGCATATTTTCTTACTCACTTTTTAGGAAAACTTTTAGACCATGTGCTTATAGAAATGGGATATGGCTTGAAACCCAACGGACAAGATTCTAAGAAGGAAAATGCAGATCAAAGTGAGTATAGATTGATATTGAGCAGTATGAAAGCTTCAGTTATTGAAACCGTCTACCTATTAAACAAAGGCACAACTTTATCACTGTTAAGACTTGTTAACGATAAACATTCTATGAAAGATTTAAATAGGCTGTTTTATATTTAGTATATCATTTCTAATCTCAATCTTTCCTGCCTGTTCTCCTCCTCTGTTTTGCACACGAATCCGTAACATGGTAATCATCAGAGATTATGACGTATTAAATATTATAACACTTTAGAGTAAGGGCTTTTTTTTTTTTTTTTTTTTTTTTTTTTTTCTTTGAGATGGAGTTTCACTCTTGTCCACGCTGGAGTGCAATGGCATGGTCTCAGCTCACTGTAACCTCCACCTCCCTGGTTCAAGTGATTCTCCTGCCTCAGCCTCCGGAGAAGATGGGATTACAGACAGGCGCCTGCCACCACGCCCAGCTAATTTTTTGTATTTTCAGTAGAGACAGGGTTTCACCATGTTGGCCAGGCTGGTCTTGAACTCCTGACCTTAGAGCAGTTCATTGGCCTCAGCCTCCCAAAGTGCTCACTCCTTACAGGCGTGAGCCACCACGCCCTTCCAAATTAGGGCTTTTTAGCTCACATTTTCTTAGTTTGTTTTCCTTCCTTCTTGGGTATTCCGCCAGTAATTAATAGGGCTGTAAAATTCTTTTCCAGCAGGACGGTGTTTCTGATGGTTTTTTACTTCTGTAAAAACTTGTGTGTGTGGTTTATTTAGATTAACAAGAGAACCAAGAAATTCTGCTTTTAGTATTTTATTTCCTCATTGCCTAGTCACCTGTATTAGTATTGTCTTTTTGATCCTTTACTTTGCTCCTGTACTGATTGCTTTAGGAGTAGATATAATTCATTGCCTCTTGCTCATTCATTCAGAGGTGATTGCTAGATTGACAGTGCCATGGTTGGCCACACCGTATCACATGAGCACACTTGAATCATCCTTAAATCTGCCTCCTCCTTACCTGCCATCCTTTGCCCTATCTGATTGGTTGCCAAGTCTTTATTGATTCTTCTTCCCAAGTATCCCTTGTATATGTCTTTTTTTATTTCTCCACTACCATTTTCTTAGCTCAGGAATCCTCATCATTCATGGACAATTGAAATAATTTTCCAGTGTCATAGTTTACCTCCCTATCTCTATTCTTAGAGTACTTGCCTATGTGATATGCCTGAGACACAAATCTTGGTGGAACAGCTCTGATGAAAAGCTTTCAGTTCCTTGTCATTTGGTGGAGGAAACCAGAAGAGTTAGTGGTCTTGCGATAGTCATGGTTGAAACCGTAAGTTCTGGTGCAATAGAGTGAGGAAGAATAATGAGGAAGAGGAAGCTGGGGCCACCTGCAACGTGGAGTGAGGAGCTGTAATGAGAAAGGTGGGGACAGAATGGGAAAAACCTTGCCAGAGCAACAGAGGGTAAATGCTTCCAGGAGCGGGAGTCATCAGTAATATCAGATGCTATGAAGGTGTCCAATGGAAGCAACAAGAAATCCACTGAGCAATATCTTCTTCACTAAGGCACTATGAAGGTACCTTCATGAAGGCTAAGACCAGTACAGAGAAGCAGAAGAAATTATGTGGGATAGAGAAATTAGGTGTGATAGAGAAAGTGCAGGGTGCAACGGAAGCAGGTGGGAGGGTACCTAAGACTTGGAATGAAGCCATCTGGAAGTGATGCCACACGGAGCAGGAAATAACCAGGTGCTGCGGGTGGGGAGTATGTTGCAAGAAAAGGAACATGTGTTAAGGCCTGGAGATGGGAAAAAGCATGATCAGGCCTAAGAAACTGAAAAATAAGTACGGCTAGATTTGACCGCTGGTGAGGAGGTGTATGTAGGATGGGGAAAGTATAGGTTGAGAGGTAAGCTAGAGCAGATCATTAAAGGTCGCAGGAGCTATGTTAAGGGGGTTGGATATGATTCTGAAGCCAACATACAGAATGAAGGCTTGAGACACCTCTGTATTCAGCTTTTTGGATTCAAGTAATGTTGGTGGGTATGGGAGAATCAGATTTGGAAGTCAGAAAAGATGAGAGATGGGATATTAAGAGTTCCCTTTAAACCACCTTCTTAAAAATTTAGCTGTGCCTCTGTCACAGAATTAAATCAGTCCTCCTGTCCTGCCCCTTTTTGGCCTAGCCTGGCTGAAAGCCTTTACAACTTGGTCTCTAATGTCAGCATACGGAACCAGCGACATCACCATGCTTTTGTCCCCTCTCCTCCCCCCCAGCTGCACTCAGCCTGGCATTATGATTGTGCACCCTCTTGTGATGTTTATCACACTGTAGCTCCTGATTGAACATCTTCTGTCTCCTACAAGATTTAGAATATCTAGATGAAAAGACTGTGACCTTTTACTTAACTGCTTCTCCCCATTGCCGAGTATGGCATCTGACATACATTAGATGCTTAAGATATAATTTTTTTTTTTTTTTTTTTTTTTGAGATGGAGTCTCGCTGTGTCACCAGGCTGGAGTGCAGTGCTGGCGATCTCAGCTCACTGCACCCTCTGCCTCCTGGGTTCAAGTGATACTCCTGCTTCAGCCTCCTGAGTTGCTGGGACTAGTAGGTGGGAGGTGTGCGCCACCATGCCCAGCTAAATTTTTTGTATTTTTAGTAGAGACGGTGTTTCACCATGTTGGCCAGGATAGTCTCCATCTCCTGACCTCATGATCTGCCCGCCTCGGCCTCCCAAAGTGTTGGGATTACAGGTGTGAGCCATGCCTGGCCAGATACAATTTTTAAAAGCTGGCACAGTGGCTCTCTTCTCTAGTTCCAGCTACTCAGGAGGCTGAGGTGGGAGGAGGGCTTGGAGACCAGGAGTTTGAGGCCCCCAGTATGCTATGATTGTACCTGTTAATAGCCATCACACACCAGCCTGGGCAACATAGCAAGACCCTGTCTCTTAAACAATAACTCATGGAGGGTCTTTTCCTTGCTATTAAGTTTTTATCTTCTCCCTTATTTATGTTTTGATTTCTTTTGGAAACATTTTAAGAAATGGTTTTTAATTTGAGCCTATCTCTTACCTTTTACACATTAAATTTACTTTGGCTACTGTTTTGAGCCAGTGATCCATTTCAGTGGGATTTCTAACATCAGGAATCCATTGTAATACATTCTGAGAAGTCATTCCTAGAGAGCAAATTCCCTTCACTTTTTGTGGTTTGGTCTTCAGAGTCAATCTATAGGTTAATGATAAGAACCATTTCCTTTAATAAGTCTATAATCTAGATAATTATTTTCTCATATTTCTGTGTTTAAAACAATGAAGTAAGCCTTAGTTTTATGTGAATGGTATCTTATCCTTTAGTTCCTTAAAACAGTAGTGGTTTTTGTCTTCCAGGATTGATTTGTTGTCATAATGTCTCTAAATCTTGATGCTAAAAATATATTGCTTGAATAGTTGGAATTTTATAAACCATGTACTTTTTTCATTTCTGTGAGTTTTCTCTTCTGAGTTATTTTTCATTGTGCTTTTGAAGCCTTTCCTTCTTAAACTCTTAGGTTAGCCCTAATTATTTTTCTCTTGACTTGTTACTTACGTTGCTTGTATCTTTTTTGAACTGTTGAATGCATTTTAAATTTCTAACAATTTTATCCTAATAAATTGTTACCTATGGGATTTATCATTTTCACTTTAGAGTGAGTAGGTCCTAATCTAATCTGATGTGTTTCTACTTGAGTATAATGAGAGGATATCTATTCCAAATTACATTTTCTTGAACTCTATTAGGGACTATAAAGAGTGTATTATAGAGCATTTTAATTAGATCTGAACTTGTCTTTTATAAGTCACTGATTTTCTTCCTTGGACCAGTCTAGCTTTTGGTGACATTGAAGACTGACCTTATAAACATTTATTATTGGGAAGAAGAAACACTATGACCTCTCAGACTGCCATCTTCCAGGAACCTTGCAGTCGTGGTCATACTCTTTTTAAAATGATTAAAGCATGCATAATTTTTTTTTTTTTTTTTACTTTGGATGAAAACAAAATGCCTTACTTTTCCGTTTTCTTCTGATAAGGTGATCCTGAAGATGTTGGAAAAATGACAGCTGAAAACAAAATTGTCATAGACAAAAGTGACCTAATCCCAAAAGTGTTAACTTTGAATGTGGGTGATAAGTTTTGTGGTGTGGTTGCCCACATTCAAACACCAGAAGACTTCTTTTGTCAACAACTGCAAAGTGGCCGTAAGTCAATTTTCTTGATTTGCTCTATCAAGCTAAAGTACTTCGAGAGATGACATGTAGAAATAATGTATAGATGCTGTTTCTTTAAAATGTCATCTTTATCTTCAGGAAAGCTTGCTGAACTTCAGGCATCGCTTAGCAAGTACTGTGGTCAGTTGCCTCCACGCTCTAATTTTTATCCAGCCATTGGTGATATATGTTGTGCTCAGTTCTCAGGTAAGGAAAGAGTATTACTGATTTTTAAAATTCATTTTTATTTATTTTTTACTTACAATTGAGTAAAAACTGTTGAAACAGAGTCTTTGGTTTGCACTGATGGCTGGACTTAAAGTTTGAATATTACAGTGAACCAATCATGTTTTTAAATAGATCAAATTAAACTGGTTGAAAGGAGTGTGGTCTGACCTGGGTAAGGGCAGAGGGCCTGTGTGTGTCAAGAAGGTGGAGATATAAAGGAGATATTTTGGGTTATTTTGTCAGCCTTTTGGCTTTTGGGGACTGGTGAAGATAATTCTGTTTAAGCTAATAGGTGGATGTGGAACCTCCCAGGTTCATATCTTCACCGGTTTTATTGAAATAGCAAAAGGGCCTGGAAGTGTGGAGCTGTCATGGTGCAGCCTTTGGACGGCACATGGCCTGCCTTGTGATAACCAGGTTCTGTTACTCTCTTCCGAAGAGAGGCCCAGTGGCCTCATGGAAGGGGAGATGCAGTAATCCTTCAGTAAACTCATTACTTGGTTAGTGGAGTCTGGTTGACCCATGTTTGCCAGGTGTTTTAAAACTAGTCTTGCTATTGAATGCTTCATGGATTGAGACCTTGTAATTCACATGATCAGGATATGTTCTCTGTCCTAATGAGCTAACTACTGGAGAGACAAGACATGTAAACTAATAATGACAGCATAAGACATAATTACTGTAGTAAGCTATTAATAAAGGTTACGTTTTAGGAGTTGAAGGCTTCTGGTAAGCAAAATTAGTAAACATACTGTTCTATAAGCTTGATATCTATCAAAGAAAAATCTATAAATGACCATCTCTAATTTGAGGAGGAAAGGTTTTTGTTTACATCTGCAGTGGAAAAATCATTTGAGATTGAGTCTCTCCCTTTTTCAGAGGATGATCAGTGGTACCGTGCCTCCGTTCTGGCTTACGCTTCTGAAGAATCTGTACTGGTCGGATATGTAGATTATGGAAACTTTGAAATCCTTAGTTTGATGAGACTTTGTCCCATAATCCCAAAGTTGTTGGAATTGCCAATGCAAGCTATAAAGTGTGTGCTAGCAGGTATGAAATTTTTATAGCCTCCATATTCTTTAAAAATTCTTAAGATGAAGAAACATGAAAACATGAAGAGATAAATGAAATAGGGAAAAGCTGCCTCTCAAAACAACATGATCAGATGCTTAAAAGTTACTGTATATGTCATTTATCCCACTAGGATCAGAGATTTCATTCCATGTCAGTTGACTTCATTCAAACATACCGTAATTTAGAAAGAATATCCTATCTCAGAAGGTTATTATTATTACATCTGCAGCATATCCAAGATATTTTCCTTAGGCTATGTTGCAAAATGTAGTTATATCCCAAAATACTTACTTAGGCTACATTCCCACAAGTGGAACAAGTCAGTAAGTCTCCTCCTTTTCATGTTTGTAATACATGTTGTACATTTTCTTCCAGAAAGGGTTGACCTAGTTTACATACCCAGCAAAAAAGTATGAGAGAGTCAATTCTCGTACACATTGGTGCATCAAAGGGATGCTTCTATATTATTTCATCCTGACCAATTTTGATGAGCTAAAGGTGAAATGATTTCAATTCACCTTATTACCAGTGAGGCTAAACTTTTTTTTTGTAAGTTACTTGGCCCTTGCATTTCATAAACTGACTGAAGCATAACTGCTGGATTGCTGATTTGTAAGTGCTCTTTCAGGGTCTAGTTGTAAGTGCCACCAATGTTTCGTATGTTTATAAGGGACCAGTACTACTTCAGAGATGGTTTCGTACTTTTGTTTGTGGCTTTCTTTATTTTATTGGGCTATAATTTACCTACCTACCATAGTGTTCACTTTAGATGTTAACTATACAATTCAATAATTCTCAGTAAATTTACTGAGTTGTACAGACATCACCATAATCTGATTTAGAACATTTTCATCAACCCAGTATGGTCTCTCGTGCCTATTTATGGTTAGTCCTTGCTCTGCAGGTAATAACTAATCTACTTTCTGGCTCTGTAGATTTGTGTTTCTGGACATTGTATATCAATGGAATTAACGTGGTTTTTGTTTTACATATTATAGAAGCTTTTTACAAGCTTTTTCTTTTTTTTTCTTGGTAGAGATGAGAGTCTGGCCATGTTGCACAGGCTGGTCTCAAATCTGCCTTGGCCTCCCAGAGTCCTGGAATGAGCCATTGCACACCAGCAGGCCTTTTCTTTGTTAATTATGTGTTCATTTTTATGTTCCTCTTAAGTGACACATTTCCTTTCCAGTGTTTGCCGTAGGTTTCTTAAGTTTAACGTGGGGAAGTTAGGAGCTAAATTTCTAAGTGCTTTAAGAATAATTGTAACATTCATTCAAAATTCTTTGTTAGGAGTAAAGCCATCATTAGGAATTTGGACTCCAGAAGCTATTTGTCTCATGAAAAAACTTGTGCAGAACAAAATAATCACAGTGAAAGTGGTGGACAAGTTGGAAAACAGTTCCCTGGTGGAGCTTATTGATAAATCCGAGATGCCTCATGTCAGTGTTAGCAGAGTTCTCATAGATGCAGGCTTTGCTGTGGGAGAACAGAGGATGGTGACAGATAAACCCAGTGACATGAAAGAAGACAGTGGTAAGTCAGATGTTTACTGGATAATGCCTGTTCTGGAGTTCAGACGGTTCTATAAATAAATAGTTTTTTGTACTTATAAAAAGAATTTATGTTGAAAGCCTTTCATCTTTTTAAATCAAGCATTCATCTAAGTACCTGTAAGAATGTTTGAAAAATAAAATTTTATGGTGAGTTTTATAGGTTGTCAGCAGCTGATGATCAGAAACGTAAATCTGAAATCACTTAGATAATTAATTGTAAGACTGACTTTAAGGTTAGTTTTCCTATAAAGTCACTTAAAAAGTCAGTGGAAATTCAGTTCTTCAAAAGCGAATTCCTCAGCCACCCCAACCTTGCTACATCCTTCCTCCACTATGTCCATTTAATGTTTAATTATTTTCACAGTTCCCTTGGGTGTGGAAGGAAAAGTAGATCCATTGGAGTGGACATGGGTTGAGCTTGCTGTTGACCAAACAGTAGATGTTGTGGTCTGTGTGATATATAGTCCTGGAGAATTTTATTGCCATGTGCTTAAAGAGGATGGTAAGTTGACCCTTGTCATTTGTTTCTTTTTACAAATACATTGGCATAGATAATAACTTCACAGGAGTTGGTTACTGAGTGATAAAAGTACCTCTTTCCAAGAAGGGCCAAATGGGTATTTGTATTTCCAAGAAAGATTTGGTTATACGTAGTTAGCTTTTGTTCTCTTTTAAGCCACTATTTCTGTTTTCAACAATGCCTCTTTATATTTAAACTAGTTTACATGTCATAGAGTATCTCCTAAATTCATTTACAGAAATTAATTCGGCCTAGTATAGTGGCTCACTCCTATAATCCCAACACTGGGAGGCTGAGGCAAGAGGATGACGAGGCCAAGAACTCAAGGGTGCAGTGAGCCTTGATCATACCAGAGCACTCCAGCCTGGGCAGCAGAGCTAGACCCTGTCTCTGGAAAACAAACAAACAAAAAAACAAATTTAACTTGTATTGAAGTATTAATGTAACATATAGATACATGTGTATATAGGAGTACAATATAATGAATTATCACAATCTCCACACACTTATATAACCAGCCTCTAAGTCAAGCAATAAAACATTACCAGTATCTCAGAAGTTTCCCTCCTATCCCCTCCCACCATTACCTCTTCTTTCTTTTTTTTTGAGATGGAGTCTGGTTCTGTTTCCCAGGCCTGAGTGCAGTGGTGCAATCTCGGCTCACTGCAACCTCCGCCTCCCAGGTTCAAGTAATTCTCCTGCCTCAGCCTCCTGAGTAGCTGGGACTATAGGAGCATGCCACCACGCCCAAGTATTTTTTTTTTTCTTTTGTATTTTTGGCAAAGACGGGGTTTCACCATGTTAGCCAGGATGGTCTCAATCTCCTGACCTTGTGATCCGCCTGCCTCAGCCTCCCAAAGTGCTGGGATTACAGGTGTGAGCCACCATGCCCAGCCACCTCCTCTCTCTTTCCCAAAAGTAAACATCCTGCTTTCTAATAGCGTATATGAGTTCTTCCTGGTTTTGAACTTTCTAGAAATGGAATTACACACTGTGTGAGCCTCTGTGCCTTACTGCTGCCTCTTCCACTGTGAGATTGTTACATGTACCTGTACCTTGTTTTTCCTTGCTGCATAGCGTTCCATTGTATGTTACGTGTTATCTGTATCTTATTTTTCCTTGCTTTGTCAAATAAGGACATTAAACTAGATAACTAAGGCCCTGTCTGACCCCATGGTTGTGAGATTTGTCATTTCTTCTTTCAGAATCATCTGGTGGGTAGGCCACCAATTCCATATAGGATAAAATTTACAATTTCGAAGTTCCTTTTGATTTTTATAGGTGATTATACAAACATAATCTAAAAATTCTAAAGATGAAGAAGGAAACATGAAAACATGTTTCAAAAGTTACAAAAGTGTATATAGTGGAAAGTAAGTTTCCTGGTTCCTCTTCTCAATTTTCCAAATATTTTTTTCAGAGATACTCTATACATATGCTTGTATGAGTACATATAATCCTTTTCTATATCTATAAATAGTATAAAATGGTAAGTTTTGCATTTTTTCTTCCACTACATTTTGGATATCAGTTCACATACTGTTTTCTGTAGTCTCTTTTTAAATAAGTTTTTATTTTGGAATAATTTTAGGTTTACAGAAAATCACAAAGATGGTACATAGAGTTCCTGTATGTCCCTCACCCAGCTTCTCCTGTAGTTAGCAGGTGATCGTGGCACATTTGTTGCAACGAAGAGACCAACAGTGGTATATTGCTATTAATTGAACTCCAAACTTTATTTGGTTTTTGCTAGATTTTCCACTAGTGTCCTTTTTCTGTTCAGGAGCCACTCTGTGATACTACATTGCTGTTTAGTCTCTCTTCTTTTTCATGGCTACATGATATTCCACTGAGTCGGTTTATCCTAATTTAATTAACCTACGTTAACATCTAGTTGCTCGGTATCCTCACAAACCTTGTGTGTTTTCTTTTTTGTTTGAGCCATTCTGGTGAGCATCATTGATCTTAACTTTTCCAAATCTTGGTTTTTCTTTGTTAAATAAGGACATTAAACTAGATAATAAGGACATTAAACTAGAGATGGGGTCCTGTCTCACCCCATAGTTGTGAGATTTAACCTAAGTGTGGATAAATACTACTTGGTGTGGATAAATAACACACTAGTAAGTGTGGATAAGTACAGAATTAGTGGTTTCCAAGCTTTTATTACTAAAACAAATCCTTGTACTGTGATTTTTACTTTAGGAGTAGATCCCTGGGACAAGTTGCTGAAATTGTAACTAGAGTATTAGGTCAAAGGAATATGTGTGTTAGTGCTTTTGAGAGCTAGTGTTCTTCAGAGGCCAGGCAAACAATCCCCCAGCAACAGAGTGTATCATTGTCTATCGCGTGTCCTTAAACTTATTTAGGCTAATCTGAAAGGCGAAACTTCTGAAACATTAGAATTTGTTTTCCATTTTAGTAAGTGAGCCTTTGTTACACACTTAAAAGGCATTTGCTTTTCTTTTACTACTACTAAGTGATTCAGATCCTTTCTGTATTCAGAAGCTCTCCGTGGTCTGCATTTTGCAGGGACAGCTCCAATGTCACTCTCCAGTGGCCACTTTTCCACTTCTGTGCTTCGCTAGCCTGCTGCCCACTTTTGGTTGCCTAATTTCATAATTCTGTCCTTTGTCTGACAGCCATGTCTTCCTTCTGGAAATACCCTCTCCTTCAAATGTGGTGTACTTCGAATTTCTTTATGAAACCTCCAGCATGCAGAGCTCGTGAGCTCTGACTTAACACATTACCTGTGCCATCCATTTTGTGATTATAGTCACTTTCAGGACAGCTTTTATGTAGCGTCTGTATGGGCTTGTATGTGGTTTTCTTATCTCTCTGCAAAGTTCATGCTTGAGTGTACTGATAATCATGCTCTAATTGTTTCTTTTTGCCCAGTAAATCATTGGTGTTGGGTTTATTGGGAGTATTAACTAAGTAACTTATTTGCCCAATGGTTTTTTAATAAGGAAAAGCATTGGGTAGACTTAATAGTAGTTCGGGGCGGTACCTGTGATTTTTATGATCAAGACATTTTCTGACTTTAAAGGAAAATCTATGTTGTTTATTTTTTAATATGTTCTTAATTTTTTAATCCTATATGTATTTTATTTTCAGATTTAAAGAAACTGAATGATTTGAACAAGTCATTAGCAGAACATTGCCAGCAGAAGTTACCTAATGGTTTCAAGGCAGAGATAGGACAACCTTGTTGTGCTTTTTTTGCCGGTAAGTTGCAGTTGATGTAATCTTGACTTTTAGAACCTTACATTTCTTAACATTCAACTCTTATTTCTAGTGCACATTTTCTTAATGTTTAAGCAAATATTTTTCATGGCCAAGACCAAATGAATGCTTACGATGTCATGTGTTTTTCCTTCTCTTTGTAACAAGGAATCTCCAAGGGATGCTTTGTTGCCTAAACTTCATTAAACATTATTTTAATGCTTTTCTTTCCAGAATTTCTGGTAATATTAAAATAAGTTAGCTCATGGAAGAGCTGTTCACTGCAGGGTGTTTCCTGTCACTCTAAGTGTTTACAGTATTTTGGAAATCTATTTGAGACATCTTCATTACAATAATTTTTTTACTATTTAGTACTTATTTTACCACATAACAAGTAAAATAATCTGAGCCATTAGTGCTAAGAGTATTACGTGTCTCCAAAACTGACAAGTATATTCAAGTCTTACCTTCACCTTCATATTCTGTTTATTGGATAGGTTATGAATGAAATCTGTAATTCATATCAAATGTAAAAGTATGGTACTACACATTTTGGAGATAGTCTAAAAATAGATTTTGAGAATTTCATTCTAGAGATTTTGGAATTTTGAAAAATGAAAGGCATGACTTGGGGAAGTAAGCAAATTTATTACCTGCTTTTAGACAAAGGGTGGCTTTTTTTCAAGATAAGTATTTCAAGTGCCAATAGAAAGGAAATGTTCCATGTCACAAACTGTGTGTTAAACCTAGGTGATGGTAATTGGTATCGTGCTTTAGTCAAGGAAATTTTACCAAATGGAAATGTTAGAGTACATTTTGTGGATTATGGAAACATCGAAGAAGTTACTGCAGATGAACTCCGAATGATATCATCAACATTTTTAAACCTCCCCTTTCAGGGAATACGGTGCCGGTTAGCAGGTATGGTATACCATAAGAAACTTTCTCAACTACTTTCTAATACTTGCGGCATATAATGTAAGTGTTAATATCTACAATGTTAACATTTTGTGTGAGTTAGAAGATCCTGCTTCATATTATAATAAAACTTAGAAATTTATTTACCATATTGGCCAAAACGTCCAGTGTTGTCAGAGTAGGGAAGTGGCTGCTTTCCTGACCATGGGAATAAAAACTCCTTGATCCTCTGGAACGCATTGGCAGGATTCCTTAAGAACATTCCTCCAGTGTTCATACCTTCTGATTTAGTAATTTTCCTCCTAGTAATTTTTCCCAGAGAAATCCGGGAATTGCACAGAGTAGGTTACAAAAATAATTATTACACTGCTGTTAATAATGACAAAATAACAAATAGTCAATAATAGCAGATTGGGTAAATGATCCATAAAATGAATAATGATAGTACTTATTTCGTAGGGTTGTTGGGAGGATTAAATGAAGGCTTAGGGACAGGGTCTGGCACCCAAAGTTCTGCGTGTTTAACTGTCTATTGCACAGTCATTATGGATGATGTTAAATATGTGTTATTGATATGAAGAATTGTTCATGATTTAAGTGAAGAAAACAGATTATAAAAGTGTTGTGATGAAGACAACAGACTTCAGAGCCAACTGCTGCTAGCTGTCTATGAGATGTTTAGACAAATTATTTAAACTTGCTGTGCTTCTGTTTCCTTATCTGGAAGTTATTCCTACCTTCCTCAACGAGTTGTTAAGAGAAAAATATAAAGCACTTAACAGTGCTTGGCATTATACCTATAGTAGCAACATTATACCTATAGTAGCAGTTTATAATAGATTATATGAGAAAATATGTGTATATGTGCATGTGTGTATTTTGGACATCTGCACGTAAAAAGTGTGGGTGGTTGGATTCCAAAATGTGAACAGTGGTAAAGCCAGGCAGCACAGATGGATTTATTTCTTCTGCTAATCTGTTTCTATTTATTTTACAATATGTTTCAGATTATTGGTTTTTTTTTTTCTTTTTTTTGTGATGGGGTTTCACTCTTGTTGCCCAGGCTGGAGTGCAATGGCGCAATCTTGGCTCACTGCAACCTCTGCCTCCCGGGTTCAAGCGGTTCTCCTACGTCATCAGCCTCCTGAGTAGCTGGGATTACAGGCATGTGCCACCACACCTGACTAATTTTTTGTATTTTTAGTAGAGACGGGGTTTCTCCATGTTGGTCGGGCTGGTCTTGAAATCCTGACCTCAGGTGATCCGCCTGCCTCCACCTCCGGAAGTGCTGGGATTACAGGCATGAGCCACTGTGCCCGGTCCAGATTATTGTTCTTAATTACCATATTTTATTCCAGTGCTGCTTAAATTATGGCCTCCAAACCAGCAACATCAACATGGGAACTTGTTAATAACTGCAGATTCTCAGCCCCCACCCTAGACCAGACCTACCAAAATTAGAAACTCTGGGTAGGGCCCCACAGTCTGTGTTTTAACAAGGCCTCTGGGTGATTGAGATACATGTTCAAGTTTGAAAATCGCTGCTAAGAAAACAAGGGTGTAAGCCAAAGTTATCCGAGAAAAATGATTTTTGCTTACATAATGAAAAACATTTTGATGTTACTAGAAAACTGTCCACAAAAGTGGCAGTATATCAGCTAACATCTTCTACCAGCATAATGGTTAACTCATGATTTTATACATAACAGAACATGATGGTGAATTCTAAAACAGTATTCCTTTTTCTGTTGGAAAATGCCAGGTAAAGATATGTTAGCAGAGAAAGTAAGGAAAGATCCTGAGCCTCCTAAAACCCTAGAGTGTATTAGTAAATGCATTATCCGTAAGTCAGGCATGCAGGATGTAGGTGTATAATTGAATATTGAAGATACTCAGGTTTGCTGACCTGAAAGTAAACTTGGCAAAGACCTGGTCCTGGGTACGGGTACTACTAAATCAAAACTGAAGCTTGTGCATAGGATTCTTTTTACTGCTGTCCTTATTTTCCAGATATACAGTCTAGAAACAAACATTGGTCTGAAGAAGCCATAACAAGATTCCAGATGTGTGTTGCTGGGGTAAAATTGCAAGCCAGAGTGGTTGAAGTCACTGAAAATGGGACAGGAGTTGAACTCACTGATCTTTCCACTTGTTATCCCAGAATAATTAGTGATGTTCTGATTGATGAACATCTGGTTTTAAAATCTGCTTCACCACATAAAGACTTACCAAATGACAGACTTGTTAATAAACATGAACTTCAAGTTCATGTACAGGGACTTCAAGGTAACATTTTAAAACCATTTTATTTGTTTAAATTTGTTATTCTTTGCTCTCAGAGACTATGAAAATTTTTCCATCATAAATGACAATTTTCCTGTGAGATAGGCTTTACGGACATAGATTAGTAGGTTAATATCGTATTATTGAAAGATAATTATTTTATTGAACAAACATTCACTTCAATGTAATTATCAGATAAACATATGCAGAGATAATCTCCCTTAGAAGCTTGAGTAAATTGTAAGAATTATATTAAATATTTGACAGAGATGGAAATATAAATACACTACAGGAATGTAATAGTTCAAGGATTTCATTGTAGACTGAACTTTTTTGTACTGCCCACACAATCCCTCAAATGGAATACATTGTTTTGTGAAAAGACAGATTTTTATTTTGGGGATTTGGAAATGTTGATAATCAATTGATGAACAAATGATTGAATTAAATATGTTACTGAGGAAAACAGCAGTACATTTTTTTTTATTCCATGTGTGAGACCTGTGTTTTGTATGCTTCCAGCTACTGTTTCAGCTCAGCAATGGAAGACGATAGAATTGCCAGTTAATAAAACTGTGCAAGCAAATGTATTAGAAATCATAAGCCCAAACTTGTTTTATGCTCTACCAAATGGGATGCCAGGTAAGAAACCAAAATTTGAGATTTATGCTCATCTTTTAAACTGTAAAATGGAAGTGCCGGTCTTGAATTCCTTAGGAAATGAAGGGGAGAAGAGGCTCACTGTTTTAAGGAAGAACTGATCATAACACTTAAGGCCAATTTAGTTACGAAACACGAGTGGGAACATGAAGGGAAGCCCTACTACAGTCAGCACCTGCCTGCCCAGTGGCCTGGTCTACAGCTTTTTATAACAAAAGTGTCCTTAATTACTGTATAATTTCTTGTTTAAAAACACGTTATCTATATTGAATCATATTTAGTGCTTTAGATATATCAAAAGACTTTGTAATCCATGCGTAATCATAGCTTTACTACACCTTAGAGACTTAGAGAAATGTTTCATACTAGAACGAATCTTGAAGAAAAGCAGCATATAAAAATTTATTTTTAATTTTCTTTTGTTCTTTCGTGGAAGTTACAATTAAGGAATCTCTTAAATGTATATGACTTTATCCTTGTAGTATCTGAAGATGAGTTAGTACAAGTTGAGTGCTTTTTAGAATAATTTGCAGGCACTTTTAAAGCTGAAAAAAATGAACCTTTTGTTTCAAATTTTCAAAGTTAGAACTGTGGTAATGCCAATAACTGCTCTTAAATTTATCTCTAATACTACAAAATGATCTTTATTCTGTGTACTAAAAAGCAGGAGCTTAGGGTTATTTGATTCTGACAATGTGGTATGATGAATTGGAAATGCTATTGAGGATAATTTTATTAAGTATAGCACTCACGTGAAAAGTACACTAAACAATTGTAAAAATACAACTTTTAATAAGTTTTCACAGAGTGAACAAACCAGTATAACCACCCTGATCAAGCAGTTGATCCACTGGAGGCTTCCTCCCTACCGCCTCCCAGTATTGATTGCATACCTTCTGCAAATGGCAACCAATAGTGGGTGTATTTATTTTCAAATATCATATATATTTTATATACAAGTATATATTTTCAGTATGCATATTTTAATACACAGAGGGTTTTTTGATTAGACTTGCCATTCTTTTGTATACTGTTAATAGTAGTGTTGGAAATTTTCTTCACAAAAGATTGCTTTTGTATATTTTAGAAAATCAGGAAAAGCTGTGCATATTGACAGCTGAATTATTAGAATACTGCAATGCTCCGAAAAGTCGACCACCCTATAGACCAAGAATTGGAGATGCATGCTGTGCCAAATACACAAGTAAGGTTGTTTTAGGAAAAATATTAGAGGAAAGGTATTTAGTCTGTTTTCTTTTACATGATACGATGTAGATTTTGGTATTTTAGCTGCTTATTTCATTTGGTTTAGGGAGAGAAATTAAGGAAGGCAGTCTTGTGGATTTAATTCATGTATTGGTCATTCAGCTTTTCGATTCTATATAGATTATTTTTAGGCAAGGATATAGGTAGTTTTCTACAAATCTGTCAGTACTTACAGATAACCAGCTCGAGATAACCACGCTATTCTAATGGATCAGTCACATTACATTTATTTACGGAGGGGTTGCAAAGAATTCATAGGGTTCCATATGTGAATGTACTAAAAGAAGGATGAAATGCCTCAGGGAGTCAGGCTCATTGATGAGGGTATACTTTGAGCATTCTCTGTTTTAATATCTCTTTTTAACAAATTTCCTATGCTAATATAAATAACACTTGGATTTGCTTCTGGGATCAAGGTTAATTGGGAGCAGAGCCAGGTTACAGTGCTGCTTCATGGTCCACACTCAGGTCCAATTGGCAGGCCTGTTACTGGGGGTCATGGATAAGCATGGCTCCTGCCAGTCCCTGGGCAGAGGTGGCTAGTGGCAGAATGGCTAGTGGCAGGATGGCAGCCACATGGGGCAAGAGCTGAGATCACTTGGGGACAGGGCTGCTTCCAGTCAGTAGCTAGGAACAGGGTCTTAAAAGTCTGCCACTGGGGCATGAGCCTGCCTTCTCAAAGAGCCTTCCTCAATCTTGGGCTCCATTGGTGTTTCAGAACCCCCATCTGGATACCAAACCTCTCACAAAGGCATTTTTGTGGTTAGACGGGCATCAAATTGCTTTTCTTTGGGGGGCACAAGTTGGGGACCTTCAAATTTCATGGGCTTGCAGATATCACGCATAGTTTTGTTTTTCTTTTGTATGAGAACTGGATCTACTCTTTCCCTTTCTTCCCAGGATAAATCATAATTTTTGGTTCTGTAAGTATTCTGCCTTACTGCATTAGGACTGCATGAGCACTGTTCACAGCCGAGCTGTGTAGTGTATTACAGTTACATTCTCTTTTGCCACTTTTGTTGTTAGTGTTCTATAGACTTTCACTAATTATTTCTAGTGCTCTGCATTAGTGCAAATTCCCGCAAAGAACACAACATGTACTTTATCAACTATTACCATATTGGAGGCATCTTCAGCCTTCCAGTCTGCTTCTGCACAGGCTGCTTGTCCTCCAGACCTGAACTGTTATCCTAGGTTTTCCCTCACCATGCTGAGATCGTTTCAGCCCTGACCCCCTTATTTCCTGGATGGTGCTTCTGCCCCCCACACCATGTTAGCTAGATTTCTTCCTCCCTCTTCCAACTTTGTTTTTTGGATCCCCGGCTTCCCTTTTGATTTACTCCAGTATTTGGGCGGATCCTGTCCTCCAGAAGCTGAGAAAAGGTTCATGTAACAAATTTTCTGTTACCTCCCATGTTTGAAAAAGTCTTCAGCCTAATCGTTAATTGATAGGTTGCCTGGATACAGAATTCTAGATTGGAAATGGTTTTTCCCTTACAATTTTGAAGGCATTGCTTTTATTGTGTTTTAGCTGTTGGTGTTTCTGGTCAAAAGATTAATGTTATTCTGGATTCCACAAACTTCGTATGTTTTTTCCCCCTTTCTGGAACAGTTAATGTTCTCTTCACCTGTTGTGAAATTTATGATGTGACCTTAGTATGGTGTTTCTTTTTCTACTATTTACTGGGCCGCTTAAAATAGTGGGTGGACCCCTTACATCTAGAAATTCATGAGCTTCAGTTTGAGAAACTTTCCTGAATTAATGCTTTTAGTTCCTTTTGTTTTCTGTTCTGTTAGGAGCTCCAAGTCTTCTAATGCTTAATTTGGACTCTTCTGCTAAATGTCCTCTTCTCTCTTTTATCTTTTTTGTTTTTAAAGAGATATCCTCAATTTCACCTTCCAACTTTTTAAATTTAGGTTTTCATTTCTATCACATTTTAAATTTTTTTTACTTTTCTTTTTTCCTACATTACGTTTTTTTTTGGTTTTTCATGTGTATGTGTTTTAATACTACCCTGTTCTTTCAAGCGTGGAATGTCATTTCTCCAAGGATATTACTGTCAGTCTTCTAATGTTCATTGTCATCTTCCTCCTTTGCCTTGGTTTCCCTAAGGTCCTATTTTGTTTTGGTCTCCTCTGTGATGTTAGAGGCTTTCTGCAAATCTCTGGTGATCCTGTGCTGTTCCTGTATTTAAGATGGGGCACTGAGAAGTTACTGGGAAGTTGCTTTGAGAGTGGGCAGGGGCTTACCCACTGGTGGCCTTCACTGTGGGTGATCTGGCTCTGCCATTTCACTGCAGACTCCCAGTGTCGCCATCTTGATGGGCTGTCACATGGGCTGGTTGCCTCCTGCCTGGAGTGCACAACTTGCCCGCCAGTGTTAAACTCTCCCTGGTCTGCTCTGCCTCACGCTCTCCAGTCCATGGCCACTGTGGTTCATTGTCTCCGGAGAGGAAACCTCCAGTCTTCTGCCCTCAAGTGGAAGCATTATTAAAACATGGGAACATGAAGCTCACCATTCTCTTTAGCAACTTAAAAATAGGTGTTATATGTAAATAAGTGTATGAACCAAAACCTGTTCAGATGTCTTTGCAAGTAACTCTGCTTCCTTGGCCAATCTTCATTTCCAACTCCATCTTAACTCCTAATGTTGAATGAGTAACACCAACCGTTGAGACTTTAGGGATTGGGGATTTGTGATGCGAGCTGGGATGCTTCTTGGCTTCCCCATTGCCAACTTTGGTTGAACTACCATGGCTGTATTAAGTCATTTTCATTCAGGCATCTGCTTTCCAGCTTCCAGTATTCTGTGGTCTTTTCTCTTGTTCTCTATTCTTGTAGTTTTACGCATTAAAAAAAAAAAAATGCTGTTAGGGATTGGGCACAGTGGCTCACGCCTGTAATCCCAACACTTTGGGAGGCTGAAGCAGTAGGATAGCTTGAGTTCAGGAGTTCAAGACCAGCCTGGGCAGCATGGCAAGACCCTATCTCAAGAATAAAAAATTAGCTGGGCATGGTGGTGTACACCTGTAGTCCCAGCTACTCGAGAAGCTGAGGTGAGAGGATCACTTGAGCCTGGGAGGTGGAGGTTACAACGAGCCAAGATTGTGTCACTGCACTCCAGCCTGGGCTACAGAGCCAGACCCTGTCTCAAAAAGAAAGAAAAAAAATTCTATTGCATTTTTCATAGGAGTGTAGAGGTAAATGCTTATATTTAATTTGAAGTCTAACCAGAAATTTTGGCATGGATTTTTAAGTGACGTAAATATAACTATGAATAACCATCTTAAAGTAGGAGGAGTCACTGACTGTAAGTTCTTACCTGAGATTTCATTCTATTTTCAGGTGATGATTTTTGGTATCGTGCAGTTGTTCTGGGGACATCAGACACTGATGTGGAAGTGCTCTATGCAGACTACGGAAACATCGAAACCGTGCCTCTTTGCAGAGTGCAACCAATCACCTCTAGCCACCTGGCGCTTCCTTTCCAAATTATTAGATGTTCACTTGAAGGTAGACAGCTAAGTTACTTTCCAATTTAGGTGTCTGGGTTTTGGGGTTTTTTTTCCTCTTTGTGTTTCCTAGCTCTAAGTCTAAATCAAATGGGTATTTCCAGTAAGTGCCTTAATGTTTTTAAATATTAAGAGTTTTCAAATCAGTTTCATATTCTTTATTCTTTATCGAATTCTCACAAAAACTAGACTCAATCAGTCTTTGTTTTATAGATTAGTTTCGGAGGGCCAGGGTTCAGAGATTCGGTTTTGCCCCTGGTTGCTAAGTTAGTAAGTGGCAGGGCCAGGATGTGAACCAGGGTGTCTGGTGTCTGTGAACCAGGGTGTCTGACCTCTCATTTGGGGTCTTTCTGCTTTGTCACATCTCTCTTTAGGGACTAAAGGCATTCAGATGACACTATTTTTGGCTACCTTATGCGGAATAAATCTTCATATATTCAGCTCCTTAGTTGAAATTTGAATAAAGTGAACAAAAATACTTAAAGTAGCTTTTTACTGTCGCTCCTGATGTCCTTATGCAGAGGACTTGCAGATAATACCATACCAGTTGCTTCATGGTCCTGTTAGGTTTTGACTCAGAGTTGGAAAATTATCTTTGTTGTGTGTTTCTCCTGTTGGAATATATGAAGGATAGATATGTCTGTTTCATGCCCTCTAGTCCAAGATTAGTGCTTGATGTCTTGTTAGGTGATCAATAAATATGTACTGAATAAATTTGCCTTTTGTAATGCAACAGCAGTAGTACATCAAAGCATACCTAAATCCAGCTGAAGTCCAGTAAGCCTTTTGCTTATTATTCTTAGATAATTTATCCAAATTATCTTTTTAAAAGGGACTAAAAGACTATAATATCCATTTTTTCCAGGGTTAATGGAGTTGAATGGAAGCTCTTCTCAATTAATAATAATGCTATTAAAAAATTTCATGTTGAATCAGAATGTAATGCTTTCTGTGAAAGGAATTACAAAGAATGTCCATACAGTGTCAGTTGAGAAATGTTCTGAGAATGGGACTGTCGATGTAGCTGATAAGCTGGTGACGTTTGGTCTGGCAAAAAACATCACACCTCAAGGGCAGAGTGCTTTCAATAGAGGTATTCTTTTCAAGTGTTATTAATAACAGGTGTTAAGTGTGAGGAATAAGAGAGAATCAATTTAGTTGACTTGACCTTTTCTCACTCCCCGTGCCATACTGTCTCCTCCTGCTCCACAAATCCAGTGGTGGGATTCTGATTCCCATGGCTGCAGGGGAGGGCCGCCTTGATGGAGGCAGTCCTCTGAGTCCAGATAGTCCTTAGATCAGACTTGTCAGCACTGCTGTGGGAATTGTCACCAGGGGCTTTGAAAATGCCAGGCATTCTGCATGTCCTTATTTCCAATTTACTTTTATCCTGATCAGAAGGAGAAGTCATAGTTTTGAGATTCCATCTTCTTGGTGCTTCATAAGATGTATGTTTGACAGACCTGGCCTCAACCAAAAAGAGAGATGATAGACAGCCGAAACCTTGGAGACATGGGTTGTTAATGTGGTCAAATTCAGACCACGGTAGTAGATAGTCTTAAAGCCCAAATGGATCCATCCAGGTCTCTGTAGTCGGAACCCATGTGCAAGGGGGAGAGCTATCTGTATGTTTAGACTCCCAGGTTTCTTCTTTACATTGTATGTTACCTAATGGCTTATTTTTCTTGTGCTTTTAGAAAAGATGTATAGGATGAAGTGCTGCTGCACAGAGTTACAGAAACAAGTAGGTAACATTTCCTTTAAGTGAAATTATACTCTTAACGTTTTAAGAAGTTAAATCATACGGTTTCTTTTTCACCCACAGGTTGAAAAACATGAACATATTCTTCTCTTCCTCTTAAACAATTCAACAAATCAAAATAAATTTATTGAAATGAAAAAACTGTTAAAAAGTTAAGTAAGTTAAATTGTATGTTTTCGCCTCTTATGATCACCAATAGGACATCTTCAGGCATATTGTCAGGATAGAGCTCACGAAGTGAAACCTGTTGTAAGGCTGTACTTTTGTGATTTAATGACCTGAGGTTTGGTCTTAATGCTTCTGCTGTTTTTGTAGGTTTATCTGATCATTTTCCTTTGCCACTGCTAACAGAACTGAACCCCCAGGGGTATTCCAGTTGTGATAGCCTTCCTTACTGTTGTTCGATTTTAAGAATGCCTATGTTACTGATACGTGGAGGTACTTGTAAAACTTGTTGTGACATAAAGCTTAGCCTCAGATCTTTTGTCTAGATTTGAAATTAACTCAGCTCTCACTTGTGCACATTGCTGTAAATATGTTTAGCACTTTTTGTGAGGGGTATCTGAAGGGCCAGGAACAGAGAGTGGGCTGCACTGAGGGTATTTTTCATTTCAAAACAAAACATACTCCCTGCTTTTGGCTGTGGTGATTCTAGTGTCTGAAGAACATACTGGTGAGTTTTAAACCAGTGTTCCTTCCCCTCCACCCCCTTTTTTTAAATGTCTGGGATCCTTCGTTGCAAGATGGCTCTCAGAAATACATGTTTGGTTAAGAGCCAGTTAGAACTTGTGATCAGGGCTGGGGGTGGTGGCTTACGCCTGTAATCCCAGCACTTTGGGAGGCTGAGGCAGGCAGATCACCTGAGCCCAGGAGTTCGAAGCCAGCCTGGCCAACATGGCAAGACAGGAGAATCACTTGAATCCAGGAGGGTGGAGGTTGCAGTGAGCCAAGACTGTGCTACTGTACTCCAGGCTGGGCGACAGAGTAAGACTTTGTCTCAAAAAAAAAAAAAACAAAAAACAAAAACCACAACAAAAAGCAACTTCTAATCTCAGAATAAAGTTGTCCTCCTCACCACGTTGAGTTGTTATAGTTCCAGCCAAAAACAAAGGAACTTTTGTTGGTTAACAAGTTTATGTTAGACTGGAAATAGTTCGAGAGGTGGCTGTATTACTCTTCATGAATCTTCTATGGGTGTAGTGACTCTCAGGAACCAACTGCCAACTGTGTTAAAACGTATCTTTCAAGTGGTAATAGACGATTTCTTTGTTTTTTAAGAAAGGTCAACTGAATTATAAGCTAAATGTAATTAATACAAGATCAAGTATCTTGATTCTTAAGTTTCCTTTTATACATTTTGGGTTATTACAACTTTCAATCCTTTCTAATACATTGTCTTAATACTGTTTTGTGTGTTTGAGCTTAAAATCTTTTAATCTTTTTTTTGTTTTTGTTTTTGTTTTTGTTTTTTTGGAGATGGAGTCTTGCTCTGTCACCCTCTGTCACCCAGGCTGGAGTGCAATGGTGTGATCTCGGCTCACTGCAACCCCTGCCTCCCAGGTTCATGCCATTCTCCCACCTCAGTCTCCCGAGTAGCTAGGACTACAGGTGCATGCTGCCACGCCTGGCTAATCTTAAACTTAATGGTGATTTTAATTTCATAGATTAAGGAACATGCAATGACATGGATTTCTGGAATTTAGTCCTAGTACCAAGTAATTTTATATATATATATATGTGTGTGTGTATATATATATATTTTTTGTTGTTGTTGTTGTTTTTTCTTTTTTTTTGATGAAGTCTTGCTCTGTCGCCCAGGCTGAGAGTGCAGTGGTGTGATCTCAGCTCACTGCAACCTCTGCCTCCCCGGTTCACGCCATTCTCCTGCCTCAGCCTCCTTAGTAGCTGGGACTACAGGTGCCCACCACCATGCCCAGCTAATTTTTTTGTATTTTTAGTAGAAAAGTAGAGACGGGGTTTCATGGTGTTAGCCAGGATGGTCTCGATCTCCTGACCTCGTGATCTGCCCGCCTTGGCCTCCCAAATTGCTGGGATTACAGGCATGAGCCACTGTGCCCGGCCACAAAGTCGCTATATTTTTAACCAAGTTGGTTGGCCTGTATGTTCTTCTTATGTGTGTAACAGGCCTTTTTCCTAAGGATATTGAAAGTGCTTACACATACAACTTAAAGTGAAATTTCATTGTTTCTCGATAGATTTAGGATAGGGCTTAGTAGCTTTCAAATTAATTTGATATAAAGCATAGTAGTTGAACTGGATTTTTCCTTACTGTGGGAATAGATAGATATTTTATTTACATTTGAATACGGTGTGATACCTTGTGTTTGGGTAGTGCATATTTACAAAGCACTTCTACATCTATTCACATACTTAATCTTCACAATACCCGTGAAAAGAAAGTAGGACCCATTTTACAGTTAAGGAAGCTGAGGCTCAGAGAGGGTTACAAGACTGTCCAAAATCACACACAGGCTGAAACTAGGTCTTACGACTCAAAACAATTCTCTCAACTTCCCTTAGCTGCTACATGTGCAGTATCCTTTTAGATCAGATCACATCAGTTCCATAGGGCATGAAACTAGAGGGTTATATTATTAGGAAAAAAACGATGTACAAGGTTGCTTAAGCATTACTTCATTGTGGTGAAAATAGAGCTGAATATTTACTCCTTTAAATTATTTGAGGTAGCATGGGTGTAAATATGTATTTTGGCCAGGCATGGTGGCTCAGGCCTGTAATCCCAGCACTTTGGGAGGCTGAGGTGGGCAGATCGCATGAGGCCCAGGAGTTTGAGACCAGCCTGGCCCATATGGTGAAACTTCATCTGTACCAAAAAAAATACAGAATTAGCCAGGCAAGGTGGCACACACCTTTAGTCCCAGCTACTGGGGAGGCTGAGGCAGGAGAATTGCTTGAACCCAGGAGCCAAAGGTTGCAGTGAGCCAAGATGGTGCCACTGCACTCCAGCTTGGGCAACAGAGTGAGACCCTGTGTAAAAAAAAATAAGAGACAAACACATGTATTTCATCATCTCTCTGGAGAGATTTAGTTGTTAATTTGTTAATTTAATTGTAAAATTGCTAAAACAGAAGTGCGGTGGTGATAAGAACATAAAATCCTCTGTAATCTGTTGCTCAAGTGATGTTTCAACACACAAGTTAGTGTCAGATACATTTTATTTATAAGGAGAGCGTGAACAACTGTATGTTATATTTGTGAAGGAGAGTATAAACGGCTATACTTAGCATATATTATGCTATGTTATTGTGGGTTAATTTTCTTAACTGACAGGTCTGACAAATGCATAATTTCAGTTAAAAGTGAATATTTGGTTTGCTTGTATTTGAAATTAAAAGCCATAGCAATTGAATTTTTGTATAAGGCATAATGATAGTTGATTTTTTTCTTTTTCAGAAACAGCCTGTCTTGGAGGTAAACCCTTATGAGACAGGAAACAGCAAAGGCTAGCTTTAGGAAAGAAAGTACAGCACCTGTTTTTTTTTGTTTATGGGAACCTTTTTTTGTCCTCTTTCTCTGTAATGACCTTCTATGCCTCTGTTTTTGCCTGCCTGCCATTCTCCTATTAGGTTGGTGGTTTTTATTTTCCTCTAAGTTCCACCAAATAAGTATTACATAGAAAGTTCATACCAAATCTATGAGAATACTGGCAAGGAATACATAGGGGCTTTCTACTATATATGTAACTTTTTGTTACTTATTGAAGGCAGGGCCAGGTGTGGTGGCTCACACCCAGCACTTTGGGAGGCTGAGGTGGGAGGATCCCTTGAGGCCAGGAGTTGAAGGTTACAGTGAGCTATGATAGCGCCACTGCACTCCAGCCTGGGCGACAGATTTTGTCTTTAAAAAAAGAAAAAATAAGTAGTTAGTGGATATGAGTTTTATTTTCTGACCATTTGAAATATTTTGCAATATTCCCTGCATTCTCTATCTTCTGCCTCTTCCACATAATGTCCTTTGCTTTCATGTTTGTTACCCTCTCTTTTCCTGTTGACTCGGAGGTCATCAATTTCTTTCTCTCCGTCCTTAATTGGATTACGTTTCTTTTGGCCTTTGGGCAGAGTCTGACCTCTGGACCACTCTAACTGGAGAAGGAACTTTATGTTCCCTCCACTGCTGTGTCCACACAGTTAGAAATCTGTAGCTAGTTAGATTTTTGTTGTTGTAGATAGAATTTACTGTTTCTGAAACCCAAATACAGTTATCAGTTTAAGGTTTAAAAAAAAAAAAAAAGTATATATTTTTCCTGAAGCATATAAAATAATCTCAAATTCTCCTAAACCACACATACGCAGAATTATGGGCCGGCTGACTTTCCTGCCAACCCCAAAGTTTGAATTTTTTTATGATTTAACTCTCAGGCTATGAAACCTAAGATGTTTCTCACCAACTCATAGCAAATACTTAAGACACTTTTTTTTTGTTTTTTGTTTTTGCTTTTACTGGCAATGTATGTTGTCTAATCTGTTAAATGGAATATTTCCTCATGTAAAAAGTTGTTAAAACACTGATGTGCTTCTGTTAGATAAAAGTTCACGCTGCTTTGCCCAATAAAATTATTTCACTTCCCAACCAGCTTTCTCTTGTTTTCTTATTGCAGGCATTTTTGCCAATTTCCTTTTCTTTCTTGTACATACTGGGAGAGTTAGAGGCTTAATGTGTTCACACCGTCTGCTTTATTGTAACTATGGAGGAAGTGCAAAAATATGCAATCACACAATTGCCATTTTTATTAAGGAAAATTAGAGAAACAAGTCAAGGAACACAGAAAAATCAGGAGTCAATGTTTGTCTTCAAATTGTAGCATTTTATCCTATGGTACTAGACATTTGAATAGGAACTGTTTTAATTAAATGGAATTTAATATTATTTGCTGATTCAGCTAATTTGCCTTGTCCTCCAAAACAGACTAATATCGACAGCACTAGCCTCGCAAATAGAGATATGGGTTAAATGTCTCTTGGATTAATTAGACATAGTGGATCATCAGGTATTCCTTCTGAGTAGATTTAACATGTTTCCGATTTTAATGTGCCAGCTGCATGTTTCATTCAGTGAATATTTGAGCTCCCGCTATGATTTTGACATTAAGGTATGTGCCATATTTTTTATTAGGGCCAGCATAGCTCTATCATACCAGCTGATAGGTTCTTCAGATCCCCTCAAAATATATCTGATTTGGTCGTAAGTACAGTAGAACTTCAGTCTTGAGATCCCCTCAAAATACCTGGTTTGGTCATAAGTACAGTAGAGCTGAGACCATATATCTGAACAAATGATTCAGTCTTGGGTGGAGGCCTCGTAAATATTAAATCTTACCCAGTTTGCCAGGGAGGAGATTTCTATCATAGGAAAAGTGAACTCCTGGAGGTTAACAAGGGGAAAAGGGACATTTTTGATATGCTTCTTGTTTTGTTAAAATTCTTTTGCTGCAGCAGCTAGAAATGTAAAAGTCTCAAAATTGTGAATGAGGATGATTACTATTCTGAAATTGATCTCTCTTGCTATGTAATAACAGCTCCAGAAACCAACACATGAAGATCCTCACCAGCGGGGACCCTAAGCTGCCAAATTTTCAGAGAGAAATTAAGTCGTTGTGAGACTCACTGCTGAGAGACTGTCAGCCACCAGCAATAGATCGTTAATATTACCTAATAGGCTCCTCACCAACACAGCTGCCTGGTTTTGGCAAGTTGAGCTCTTCTGGGATCAGCCAAAGAGGACACCTGGGCTCCTCACCAGTAGGTGGTTTTGTGGCCCAACTTGCATCCAAATAGCTCTTAATACAAAATTGTCAGAGTGGTGATTTTTCCAGATAAAGGAAATTGAAGAGTAACCTGTGGTTCTAAACATGCAGGCAGTTAAGAAAGAATGGTAGAATGGTTTTGCTTGCCGGAATTAAGGTGGTGAAGTTCTGTTAGAAGTGAGGTTACCGCCCAATCTCACAGGGTGAGACCTGCACATGGCTCACCCAGAGAACCAACCATTAACATTCTGGTATTGCCCTATATACACGCTGCAGTCTGGTTTTCCTAGGAAAGTTCGTGCATTTTGGCTGTAGCTTCGGATAACCTAAAACTGGCTTCATTTAAGGTGTTAGCTAGCTGTGGAGCCGTAGCCATTTTTTCCATGCTTGCTTGCTTCCCTTAACACCCTGAGGGGATGCCGTTTTTAACACCTTGTGGTGTTAACCTTTTGATGAAGAGGCCCCTATCTCCTGTGATGAGAACCTTCCAGGAAGTGAGACAGACTCCGATGCTTATTATAAGGCAGGAGCCTACTCTGCGTCCAGGGTACACCCAGATGCCTCTCTGAATGTGTTCCACAAATACTTAGTTAAAACAGACATGTGAAAACTAAAATTCATGATACTGAGAATTTGGAGAGAAGGTGGAAATAACATGGAAGTACTGACAGTCGTTGAGGTAGAGCACTTACCAAATTTCAAATGTTGGCTGAGTGATTATTACACAAGCCCTGTGCCTTTGTTCCATGTTTACTTGATTCAGCCAGAAAGCACGTTTCCCAAAAGCAAATCCAATACAACTTTGTGCATAATTCTCACTGTCTTAAGTAGGAGCTGGGATGGATGCATTAACCCTTAAAACAATTGCTGCCTGTTTCACACCTAAGTGGCTTTGGCTTGGAGATGACAGTATTTCTGCTCCTCACGTCCTGTGTCTCTCTCTGCCCCCAACTTTGTTCTCCTTGTTCTTGGCTCCACAGTCAAGAGCCACAGACCAAATTAAGCTCTGGCTTAATTTGCTGCTTGTTGAGCACCTCTGAGTCAGGCTCTTTGTTTCCTCGGGGATGGTTTCTTTGCTGTTTAGTAGGTACTGTTTCCTGTTCTTTTATTTCTCAATAAGAAGGCTTTGATTAGTGGCTACTATGTGGCTTCTGGAAAATATACAGCTCTTGCCGCTCCATTAAGCATCCTCCTTTTTGTCTGTTCGTTTCATGTGTGCTTTACCTTTCATCATTTGAGGGACTGGATCAGAATTTTAGTTGGGATTCTACAGAGTTAGGAACTGTTGTACCCGTCACCCTTTATAGGTCAGGAAACTGAGCAATCCAAAGTTAAGTATCTTTTCTGTGTTTCAAAGCCAGTAGGCAGGAGCCCCCTAATCTCTGAAGCCACGGTCACTCTACTACAATGGGTGCCTCTGGATGATGCATGTCACCGAGTGTGGATGTCTCCATTTACCCCTGAATGAAATTCAGTCACCTCTGTGTTTACACTGTCTCAGTTTACACTGAGACTGTGTTTACACCTCTTGTGTTTACAGCTGAGACAGGGCAACTTGAGAAATACCATAAAAGGTGTCAACTGAAGAATGAGAAAGTTCATTAATTTGGAAAAGAGAGCTTTATTTTTCATAAAGGGTGGCCACTGGCAGGGTAGCTATTGCTATAGTCTGGGAAGTGTAGCCTCCAGCCGGAAACCAGAAACACACTTCCAGGTTTGAGAAAAATAAGACAGGAATTTATGCTGAGTGGAGTGGCCAAATAGTAAGCTATAGGAGGAGTCATAAATATTTATGAAAGGAGATGTGTGTGTACAGTTAAGCTTCATGCCTCTTCATGGGTTGCATGTACAAAAAATGGTATTAGCACGATTCTGGGGTGGAGTTTTTGGCCCTCTTAGGTCAAAAGGTGAAGCAGAGGACACAACCCTCATGGTGCATCTTCTGTAGACTAGCCAGAACCACTCTGTGGTCCATTGTCTCTTAGGAGTGCTGGTTGCTTGGTTTGTTGAAACCTTAAAAGGAAGGGGCAGCATCAAGTGGTTGGTTCATGTCAATAGTAGAGGCCAGGCCAGGCGCAGTGGCTCACACCTGCAGTCCCAACACTGGGAGGATCCCTTGAGTTCGAGGAGTTCAAGACCAGCCTGGGCAACAGAGCACCTCATCTCTACCCAAAACAAGAAAACAACCAGTGCAATGGTACATGCCTATAATCCCAGCTACTTTGGAGGCTGATGTAGGAGGACTGCTTGAGCCCAGGAGGTCCAGGCTGTGGTGAGCTATGATTGTGCCACTGTCCCTCAGCCTGGGGGATACAGTGAGACCCTCAAAGATAACAGGGCTGGAGCAAGTCTTTCCCAAAGGGCTGGTTTCTGTTTAACCCTTAAGAAGGAAGGTTGGTTACTGTGGCTCATGCCTGTAACCCCAGCACTTTGGGAGGGTGAGGTGGGCAGATTGCTTGAGCCTAGGAGCTCAAGACCAGCCTGGGTAACACAAGGAAATCTCATCTCTACAAAACAAACAAAAAAAAAACCTGGTATGGTGGCATGTACCTGTAGTTCTAACTAGGGAGGCTGAGGTGGGAGGATTAATTGAGCCCAGGAGGTCAAGGCAGCTCTTGGCTACAGTGAGCCAAGATCACACCACTGTACTCCAGGCTGGGCAACAGAGCAAGACCCTTTCTCAAAAGAAAAGGAAAAAAACCTAATGGCTGATAGTGAAGGAGCAGATACAACAAGCTGTGTCCCACCTCTCTTCCAGTCATATCTGGGAACTCTGCTTTTAAGATTTATCCAGATCATTTAAGGTCAGGAGTTCGAGACCAGCCTGGCCAACATGGTGAAACCCCATCTTTACTAAAAGTACAAAAATTAGCCGGGCCCGGTGGTGGGCGCCTGTAATCCCAGCTACTCGGGAGACTGATTCATGAGAATTGCTTGAACCTGGGAGGCAGAGGTTGCAGTGAGCCGAGATCCAGCCACTGCACTCCAGCCTGGGCAATAGAGCGAGACTAAGTCTCAAAAATATTTCTCTGGGGTCCCCTTGGACAAGAGGGGGTCCTTTCAGTCAGTGGAGGACATGGGATTTTTACTTATTTCTGAGGGCATTTACTGTGTGCAAGTTACCAAGCATTGGGCTGCAAAGATGAGTAAGGTAAGCTCCTGGGAAGCAAGAAGCTTACATGCCCCTTACGATGATGGTAATTCATAATAACTTTGTTTTTTAAATCCTTGTAAATCTTCACAAAGGAAGGGATGTCATGGATGACAAAAGTAGTTACCCAGCTTTCTGCATAAAAAGCCTCCACACCTGCTGGTCACCCACTCATCACTCACCAGGGCCTGTACCACCTGTCTTCCCTCCTGTCGGCGTGCACGTCCCAGACAGACCGATTATACATTGATGTGAAGTCTGAAGCAACAGGTATCTTCACTGTAGTTACACTTTCAGTTCTTCATAATCACGGAATGAAAATGTGAAATACTACCCCCACCCCCAAATTAAAGACATGCCAAATACTTCAGGAACAACCAGGGTTGAAATGTGGCTTCTCCAAGGTAAACCTGATTTAGGCCAAAGTATGCTGGTAACTGTTAAACAGCATAAGGGGTGCAGGAAAAGGGTTGTCATAGGTAGAATTTCCACTTTCTTGAGGACCTGGGGTTTGTCTTTGTTGGACATCTCCTCTGGAGCAGCACAGGCCACTCACCCCATGTGACTATTGAGCGCTTAAAAATGCAACCACTCCAAATTGAGATGTGCTTGTGAGTATAGAATACAACAGGATTGGCCAGGCATGGTGGCTCATGCCTGTGATCCCAGCATTTTGGGAAGCTGAGGCGGGTGGATTACATGAGGTCAGGAGTTCGAGACCAGCCTGGCCAACATGACAAAACCCCGTCTCTACTAAAAATACAAAAGTTAGCCGGGCATGGTGGCGGGCGCCTGTAATCCCAGCTACTAAGGGGGCTGAGGCAGGAGAACCACTTGAACCTGGGAGGAGGAGGTTTCAATGAGCCAAGATCATGCCATTGCACTCCAGCCCGGGCAACAGTGAAAATGTGTCTCAAAAACAAACAAATGGACTTTGAAGACAGTATAAACATTTTTATTGATTACATGTTGAGATAATATTCTGGATCTTTAGGTTAATACTGAAATCCTGCTTGTCTGTTTCTTTTCACTTTCTTTTCTTTTTAAATGTGGCCACTAGAACATTGAAAATTACACACGTGGCTTGCGCAGTATTTCTCTGGGGCATTGCTGATGTAGAGGCAGAGACTATCCCTCCCCAGCAGTTAGACCTCAAGACCAACTGCTGTCCCCTGTGGGGATGGCATGCTGGTGGTACATTATGTCTGCTGCTCTGGTGTGGCCCTGTTTTCATTTTTGGACGCTCAGTAAATGTTACTGGGATAAATGAATTACAGGAATAAATGAGTCCCTCCCCCAGCCTCCTTCAGTGAGGTTTGCAACGTTAAAGTCACCATGGGCCACTTTCACTAGAAGCTATCAATGTCGGGAGGCTTGGAAATTAACTGAGAACTACAGACAGGAAAGATGTAAAACAAATTATTTTCCTATCAAATTGACATTTACAAGAATAACAGGAAGGAGCATGGAAAAGAGGAAGTAGGTCAACCTTCCTTGAGGACAATTTGATAATATGCATCAAAAGTCTTAAATTGTATAAAACCTGTATCCTAGAAATTAACCTTTTTGTAGTTTATTCCAAGGAAGTAATTGGACAAAAGCACAAATACATCTAATTGTATTAAAATGGAAAGTTTAATATTCAACAATAGCAGATAGGTTAAGTATGTTAAAACATGTAGTGGCTCAAAACATAGACATTCAAAAAAAGGAAGTGGAAAATCTGAGTAATGTACATTTTGTGTCGAATGAACTAAAAATACATAAATTTTTGCATAGATAGAATGACATTAGAAGAACATACACCATAATGTTAACAGTGATTATCTCTGGGTGGTGGAAAATGAGTGATTTATCAGTTTGCTTACTTTCTTGTTTTTATATGCAATGAACAGGCATGCGCTGACAGTTTTTAAATGAAGTGTGGAAATTATAGATTGTGCAGTCATAGTCAACGTTCATTGAGAGCTTACTTTATATAAAGCATCATGCTGGGCATTGTGCTTTGTTTTTTAAAAAAATCAAATGCCCTCCAGACTTAAGGATGATGGCCAAAAGGTCCGCTTATTACCCAACTACAATAATAGGAAGGACAGGTAATCAAAGGCAATTGCCACGACAAATAGAAGAGATGCCAAAGTCAACATTTTTTCAAGGAGCTATAAAGCCCGCAGAGGAGTCGGCTGATGGCACAGTGTTCGCTGCTGCACCGCTCAGAGGCTGGGTGACCCGCGAAGAAGTAAGTACTTGTTTATTTGCAGACCTTGGCCGATTCAGCGTTAAAAAACGCTAGGGGCTCGATGCACCTCCCTGGCGGTAGTGCCTCCGACCTCCGCCGGGTCGGGTCGCGCCGCCCTCTCCCAGGAGAGACAAATAGGTGTCCCACGTGGCAGCCGCGCCCCAGGCGCCCCTCCTGTGGTGCCGTAGCGCCCCCTGGCCCGAGCTGCGCCCGCGCCTGTGAACAGAGCTGCCCCGGCACCTAGCGCTGGTCGCCGCGCTCCTCCCGGTGAGTCCCAGCTTCAAGTTGCCTCTGGCACCCGGGTACCCACCAGCGCGGGCTGCCGATGACTGATTCGCGCTCCCTGGACTGGGGACCCCTCTGCCCGTTCACCCCTACCCAGAGCACCCGGGCTGCGCGGCCCCGCCGAGGGTGCGGGCTTTGTTCGCATTGTCTGAGCGCACCTGAGTGCGGCCTTCCCGGGACGGCGGCGTCGGGGGAAGAGCGCACCTGGCGCGCGCCGGCCTCCTAGCCACTCGCAGTCCGGCCCGGGCGAGCTGGTGGGGTTTTGGGAGGGGTGCGGTCAGCAGGTAAGCGGGTAGCGGCTCTGGGTACAGGGGTGGAGAAGGGCATGTATTAAACCCAAGCTGCCCGCCTGGCACAGTCACGGGGCCTCCTTCCCTGGCGGCCGCGGAAAGGGACTCGCCCTTTGAATAAAGTATTTGGTGACATGCTCGCCTCCACCCCATACCCCATTACAGGACATGTACAGGTGTTAAGGGGACTTGGGGCAGTTTTCCCAGGCAAAACGAGTGCCCCCAGCGAGGTGTCTGCAAGCAGAACCTGAGAGGGGCCGGCTGCCCTGAGAGAGTCCTCGCGCTTGGGCAATGGAAAGTCCAGGGGTTTGTTGTTCTGGTGGCTTCCCCAACCTGGCTCAGCCCTGCTTCCTGCGTGTCTCCTTCCCTTCCAATAAGGCTAACAAAACTTTCTGTAGCTAAGCCGACCTTTCCCACACATCCTTCCCACCTTGGGCCCTTTGCCATCTGCTGGTACGGTGAATGGGAGCGTCTCAGAACTGCACCTTGAAAACTTGCTGGGGGCACCAGGCAGAAGAGAAGGGAGGAGGGCACCTTGCTGCTTTTGATTGTGGAATCAAGGGCTCCAGCTGAGAGGGGCCTTGCGATGGGGACACCATGCTATGCGTTTGATGTCTTGGAGATTGGAATAATTAGAATGTGTGCATTTTTCAAATTATAAGCTGCTTTAAGTAAAATCCCAGAACCTCTAAGTGTTTTATAGATTCAGTCCCAAAAATTCAAGGTCTCTTTTGCTCTCAAGGTGACACTATATTAAGAAATGTCGATTTATTGAAGAGTCAGGAAAGAGAAGGGAAGAGGTCAGAAAGGTACCACTAGAGTTGGCAAAAGCCACAGGCATGAATTTGTAAATGCTGCTGGCTTTCAGCAGACTGAAGCCATCCTCTCTTGTGACTGATGGGGGTACAGAGCTCCTCAGGCCTTACTCTTCTTTTGTAGAAATCCAGCCCACAGCCGTCTCCTAGTAGTATAAGAATTTCTCAGACTAGGTCCCCAGGCAAATCCCAGGTTGGAGAAGAGGATTGCTTGCCTCATCATCTCTGTCTGGCTGAAAACCATCAGTGTATTTTCTTTAAATCTGGTTTTTGGTCTACCATCCAGAGATTACAGCCACTGTTTCCCCTCTCTTCAATAGGCACAAGCCCCTGGGATGAATCATAGTCAGAAGCCCATGTTTTTACGGATGAGAAAACCGAGACCCAGTTTTAGAGTGTTAGGTTCAAAGCACAATTGAGCAGAAGGTACTGATTTCCCATATACCTCCTGTCCCCACCCATGCACAGCCTCCCCTATTATCAGCATCCCCCACTGCAGTGGTACATTTGTTCCAACTGATGAACCAACATTGGCACATCATTATGACCCAAAGTTCGCAGTTTGCACTGGGCTTTGTCCTGTTGTACATTTTACATTTGGACAACTGTAAAATGACATAAATCCACCATTATAGTATCAAACAGCGTAGTTTCACTACCCTAAAATATCCTCTGTGCATCCTGCCCTCCCTACAATCCATGGTAATCACTGATCTTTCTACTGTCTCAATAGTTTTACCTTTTCCAGAATGTCCTATGATTGGAATCATGTAGTATGTAACCTTCTCAGATTGGTGTCTTTTGCTCAGTAATATACATTGACATTTCCCCTCCCGGCTTTTTAATGAGCATCATGAACAACAGAATCGTTATTTGGCAGTGATGGCATCAGAGATAAGCTCCTGGTGAGAATGCCTTTTGATAATAACTCCCCTGGTGTGTGTGCATCTTACAAAGCATTGTCTTTGCATTCTCAGCACCTGGAAGGGTACTGAGCACAGGGCAGGTGCTTAATAATTTTTACTGGATAAATGAAATTTCATATAATTATAGCAAGGGGAGGGTCAGCAACACTACGAGGTTGTTTTAGAACAACCTCTCTTCTAGCCTCAAACTTTTGAGTTAACATATCAGTAAATGAAAACCTAGTTTAATTGGGAGGACTGCAACAGAATTGCTCATTTTAAATTTTATCCAATAAGGCTATTTTAAAATCAAACAAATCCCCACCTCCCATCATCGAGGAAGCTATTGGAAGTCTCTTGGTGACTGTGCATGTGCATTCCCTGCAGAGTGTGTCTGTATAACTCCAAGCCAGCACACTGGGACAGCTGAATACATTTGAAGTCCCTTCCTTTCTGTGCCATTTCATCTTCTAAACAGCTCTGGACTGCTTACTTTTCCTCTTCCACCCACAACATTACCTGCTGACTTTCCTTGAATGTGATTACTACCCTCAGTCCTCCCCTTCCTTTCCTGGTCATGAGTCTCTTCACTTGAACTGGATTTCCCTGCTCTCAAATTAGGAAACTTTGCCCTTTCCCTGGGAGCCTTCGCATCATGGTTACATGGGATCCTGGCGACAACCTTTCCAGGGAAATAGGATGGGTGGTGTTACCTCCATTTTACAGAGAAGGAAATTGAGAGACTGAAGTGAAGAAATTTACCCAGGAGGTTCGTGCTCAGGTGTCCTGACATCAGATGGTTGTTCTTTCCAGTGCATCTGCATACCGCATGCCTCCTAGTACCAGGTGCATCTGCGTGCCGATGCCTCTGTGTACCACGTGTCCCTGTGTGCCACCTTCCTCTGTGTACCACGTTCCTCTGCATACCGCAGTGCCTCTGCGTACCGGTGCCTATGCGTACCAGTGCATCTGTGTACCGTGTGCCTCTGCGTTCTGGTACCTCTGTGTACCGCATATCTCTGTGTACCACGTACATCTGTGTACCGCGTGCCTGTGGTCATAGCTGAGAAGCCCTGGGCTGGACTCTAAGCTTGGGGTTTTCTCGCTCTGTGGCCTTGGGTCTCATCTTCTCCAAGACCATTTCCTCATCTGTAAAAATGGAAATGGTAATATCTACCCTACAGGTTATGAGTGTTGTTAAATGAAATGAATATATTAAAGGTAATGATAAACTTTTAACATCATTCATTTAGAAAGCGTTTTACTATTTAGCAGAGACTTTTCTACCCTGTCTCACTGAATCTTTACAACCAACACTGGGGGAGTTTATGAAACTGAGATTCTCCCCATTTGACAGATGAGGAACTAAGGCAGGGGGAGGTTGTTGCTTGGAGTCCCCCAACTGCTAGGAGCAGAGCTAGGTTGGAATCCTGTCTCTCGACTTTGGGTCCTGTGTGTGTTCTCCCATACCTCAGGGCTAATCCCAGTGTCCCCCACAGTGAATTCGGATTGTGTACAATTTAAAGCATTTTCAGATATCATCCGTCAAAACAAACGTGAATTGTCTTCTGGCTAAAAAGGTCTCTGCCGATGCAGAGAGTGGGAGGGCTTGTGATCTGTGCCTGTCTTCCCAGCTTTTCTCCCTAACCCTCCAGGAAATTCGCATTTCCAGGGAAATGGCATGTAGTTCATTCCTTGCTGCTGACTTTTGGTTGTCAGGCCACTGGGTTCTGAAACTTGAATACTTTTAGAGGGAGCATGACTTTCCCCAAGCAGCTTTTAAAATGCTCTCTGCCATGTTAAAGTAGAAATGTGTCCTCCACATCTGCTGACACTCTGGGCCCGAGCCAAATGTTTTGCCAAAGGTTACAAGATGACTGTTACAGCAAAGACTTCCCCACCGGAGATTTTTACCTCTGATTTTAGCCTTCCAGTTCAGGTGTATGCTGTTCTTGTAAAGGGCTCCAATTTCCACCCTGCTGATTCGGAGGAGGCTGCCGAGGGCTAATCCATTTGGGACTGGAATTGCATTTTGTAAGGAGGTAGAAATGGTTTCCTCTTTTTCCCTACACTCATTTCATTTCCGACGGTAGAGAAGGCAGACTTTATCCTGCAAAACTGCCTTCCGCTATCCCCAATCCAGCTCTTCTTTTTTTAAAAAGTAGCTTTGTTTTGGCTTTTATTTCTTCCTGTGTCATGGGAAATGTAATTCCTGGGTAGTGCACAGTGGAAATTTTTGTGGCGTCCTGCAGCAGACTTCACATGCCTGCTGTCCCAAGTGCAGCTAGTGCTGCGTGGAACCAGGATCCGAAGGCCACACTGATGAGGAGATCGGGGGCGTGGGGAGCATCTACATCCATGGATGAGAACTCCAGAAGCCAGAAATAACGCGTAGGATTAGCGTGAGTAATGGAACAGAAGGGAACAAGGTGATGAGCGAGGTGTAATGGAAAAGCTTGGCGAGGTGGACCTGAGAATGGGTGGTCTGTTCCAGCCCCTGGCTTGCAGATCACTCCCAACTTCTTTGTAGGAAGCCAGAGGGCCCTGGTAAATCTCATCTTGTGCTGGATGGAGTGTGGGAGCTGCTGGCAGGTATTAGCCAGCGGGAGGGGGAGTGGGTGGGGGGACGGGACGGAATTGCCAACGTGCAGGATTCAGGGTGACAGATTTTTAAAACTGTGCTTCTGTGCTTCTGAACTGCCCTTAGTTCATAGCCTGTTTTCTGGAGCCTGGACTTCTGCCAGAGTGTCCCCTCTTACCGGCAGCCCCAGCACCTCTCCCTTGTTGAACATTCTGTGGCAGCTTTCCCCAGAACCGTGAAGGTGATGCTAGGAGGCCAGAATGGAATCTGATCCGCTGATTAGCTGTGTAAGCTGGGGCAGAACACTTCACTTCTCCGTGTCTCAGCTTTCTCGCCTGTGAAATGGGAATAATATACCCTCCCTGGCTGGCTGTGAGGATTAGGAGAGAAGACACGAAGGGCGGAGCCTGGTGGCAGGCACACAAGAAATGCTCATTACATGGTGGAATTCACCTTTTTTTTAAAAAAAAAAAAAAAAGCTTTCCAGGTGTAGGGCTGTATTTTGGAGGTCAAATTAGTATCGTAGGAAAATTTTGATATGAGAGGAGAATGAGCTGCGTATTTGAGATGACTGGGTGGGAATAGAGTGCAAACAATACTTCACCAGCATTGCAATAGCATTCATTTCATTAATCTTGGTATAAAAAAGAATGCAGTGAACACAGTGAGTGCAACGATGCCCTGGAAGTGTCCCTCTGGCCCTCCTGCAGGAGGTATTCTGGTGTTTTGTTTATCTAGCAAGCAAGCAAGCAAGGACCAGACATGTAGGTCTCTGGAGCTCCAGCAGAGACTAGATGCAGTCTGTAGTCTCAGGCATTTGCCACCTGGCAGTCAAGACAAACGTATCACTGGGCAGTTTCAGCATGGGTTGTGTGATGATAGGGGTTGTACTGAGGGGGACAGGAGAGGGAGATGCCGCAGAGGTTGCAGAGTCAACACCATCTGATTGATCCAAACAACTAGGAGAAGCCATTTGACCTCCTGTGTGCATTTGCAGATTGCCAACATACATTCTCTTTTAATGAGCAGAAACTTGGGTGACTTTGGAAAAACATGCAGCTGGGCAAGCAGAGGCACATAGTGGATCGAGATCAAGCTGCTTAAGTTGGTCTCATAGCATGGAGGGAAGGGGCCTGTGTTTACTGGGTGCCTTCCTATGTGGCAGGAACCTTCTGTACTTCCTTCCACTTTATCCTCACAGCAGCCTGGGGAAGTGGCTGCTAGGGTCCTTGTTTTATAAATAATTAACAGGCCTGAGCCTTAGTCTCCTGCCAGTGCCCAGGGTCAGAAGCTGTAACTCAAGAAGATCATCCTGAACCTAAGGACTAGAGACAGCATTGAGAAGCTCTTCACCGCATCCTCAATGCCTCGCCCCGGCGTGACTCACAGGTGGCAGGTGGGGGCTTGCTCTGCCTCTGTGGTGTGGAGTAAGAGAAAAAAAAAAACAAAAAACATGTTCTTAGGGGAAAGGGACATCATGAGTCTTTCTTGCTGGCATGCGCAGGGCTGGAAGCTAGCAGGAAGTGTGTGCTGCAGGCCAACATCCTTCCCGCCACCTTTCTCCCTTTGATCATGTCTGGAGAGGTCCTGACGTCCTGGCTCTTGCCATGTTAGGTGTCTGATTTTCACTTAAATCGGGAAGACTTGAGCCTCTTAGTTATTTGAAGCAGGAAGACCCTGCACGAAGACTCGGCTGGCGGGGATATTTGTTTTATAATAGTTTATTTTAGGACTGCTTTGAAATCCAAGGAGCTCTATAGACTGTTCCAAGTGGTGCATATTCTAGAATTAGGTAGAATCTGGTGGCATCATGGAAATAACCATACAGCCTGAGAATATTGTGTGGTCAGTACATGCTCCATCCCCCAGGAGGACCACTCCCTGTGGCACCCTGGACTCCCTCCCCCGCCCCCCGCGAGATGATTGAAGGTCAGATGCATGATGAGAAGGTGGATCTCTGGAGCCTTGGTGTACTTTGCTATGAATTTTTAGTTGGGAAGCCTCCTTTTGAGGCAAACACATACCAAGAGACCTACAAAAGAATATCACGGGTTGGGCCGGGTGCAGTGGCTCATGCCTGTAATCCCAGCACTTTGGGAGGCCGAGGTGGTCGTATCACCTGAGGTCAGGAGTTCGAGACCAGCCTGATCAACATAGTGAAACCCCGTCTCTATTAAAAATACAAAAATTAGCTGGACATGGTGGCGTATGCCTGTAATCCCAACTACTCAGAAGGCTGAGACAGGAGAATCACTTGAACCTGGGAGGCAGAGGTTGCAGTGAGCCAAGACCATGCCATTGCACTCCAGCCTGGGTAACAAGAGTGAAAGAAACTCCATCTCAAAAAAAAAAATAAATAAAGTATCACAAGCTGAATTCACATTCCCTGACTGTATCAGAGGGACCCAGGGACCTCATTTCAAGACTGTTGAAGCACAATCCCAGCCAGAGGCCAATGCTCAGAGAAGTACTTGAACACCCCTGAATCACAGCAAATTCATCAAAACCATCAAATTCCCAAAACAAAGAATCAACTAGCAAACAGTCTTAGGAATCGTGCAGGGGGAGAGATCCTTGAGCCAGGGCTGCTATATAACCTGTCAGGAACATGCTACTGGAATTTATTTTACCATTGACTGCTGCCCTCAATCTACAGCGCTGTAAGAAATATTTGTTTTACTGAGCACCTGGCAGTGCCTCAACCTCCCTATTCAGAAAGCTCCACATCAATAAACATGACAATCTGAGGTGAAATTAGCCACAAGAATTGTGCTGCTTACACTGGTTCATAATCTGGAGGCAAGGTTCCACTGCAGCTGCCCCCTCAGCCTGTGCCAGGCATGGTGTCCTCCCAGGAGACAAATCCAGAGTCTGGCTGTGAGGAAAGTGACCACTTTGCCCTGACTCGATTGGTTAAGGAGCTCTGCAGTAACGTTCCAAGTACCTGAGTGAGTGTGTAACATACTGGGTTGGCCAAGCCTAATAAAGCTGTTGGAATGAGGATGTGATTCTTTTTAAGTGTGAAAATAAAGATTTTTGGCCGGGCATGATGGCTCACGCCTGTAATCCCAGCACTTTGGGAGGCTGAAGCCAGTGGATCATGAGGTCAGGAGATTGAGACCATCCTGGCTAACACGGTGAAACCCCGTCTCTACTAAAAATACAGAAATTAGCCAGGCATGGTGGTGGGCGCCTGTAATCCCAGCTACTTGGGAGGCTGAGGCAGGAGAATGGCGTGAACTCGGGAGGCGGATCTTGCAGTGAGCCGAGATAGTGCCACTGCGCTCCAGCCTGGGCAACAGAGCGAGACTCCATCTCAAAAAAAAAAAAAAAAAAAAAGATTTTTGTACAGATTTGTATTTTTTTCCTCTGGTGGCATTTTAGGAATGCTCTGTGTCTGTCCAGCACCCCGGCAGGCCTGGTTGGGTTTCTAGTCCTCCTTAACCACTTATCTCCCATATGAGAGTGTATAAAATAGGAACACATACTCTACCTCCATTTAGGGACTTGCAACGTCCACATCCCGGATTCAAGCGATTCTCCTGCCTCAGCCTCCTGAGTAGCTGGGATTATAGGTGCCCACCACCATGCCTGGCTTATTTTTTGTATTTTCAGTAGAGACGTTTCACCGTGTTGACCCAGGAGTTGGCTGGTCGCGAACTCCTGAACTCAGGTGATCCACCTGCCTTGGCCTCCCAAAGTGCTGGGATTACAGGCGTGAGCCACCACGAAGGGTTTATTTTTATTTTATTTTATTATTTATTTATGTATTTATTTTTTTGAGATTACAGGCATGGGCCGCCGCGCCCAGCCCAAAGGTCTTATTTTTTAAAAAACTTCAGAGTCATGGCATGTGTGTAAACTTTATGCAAATAAGTATGTCAAAAAAACAAAACGAAACTGAGCTGGATGTATCTTGAGGTCCACACATCATAGGTTCACGATGGAGGCGGGGATCCAATGGGACTTTTAAAACTCTAAGGCAGCTTAGCCACATTGGGGCCCTTCTCTTCACTTTGTAAGGGAGGACCCACAGTCTCTCTCAAGGTCACAGGGCACCAGGATGAGGACTAGGGCCCCTGGGTTCATGTAGGCTCTCTGCCACTACGGGGCAGGTGTGGCTGCTGCCTGGGTGGTGAAGTTTTTTTTAAAAAAAACTTAAAAAGTAATTTTTCTTGGCCAGGTGTGGTGGGGTGTACCTGTAGTCCCAGCTACTCGGGCGCCTGAGGCACAAAAATCACATTAAGTCCCGGAGGCGGAGTTTGCAGTGAGCCGAGATCGGGCTGCTGCACTCCAGCTAGGGCTACTGAGTGAGACTCTATCTCAAAATGAAAAAATAAAAATAAAAAATTTCCTCCTCCTTCAGCCAGATTATGATTCATAAATAGTTTAGATGATTAGTGATGACTAGTGGATAATTTAGATAGTGCAGGCTTTCTTCAGATGTTGTCTTATCTAGGGAAAGGTTTATTAACCACATTAGAAGGTTTCAGAAGATGAGGATGTTGAAAATCAGATCTTCAGCCTGTTGAATTCTAACTCCACATCAAGAAATGGAGACCCTGAGAAAGGAGTGACTTTGCCCAGGGTCACATGGCTAGTCAGGACCCAGGCAGAGCCAACACCCCGGGCCTCTTAACTCCGGGGAGAGCAGGAGAACACACCTTCCCAGGGCGTGTGGAGGGTGGGGTGCTTTTGGGGGTGGATGAGAGCGGTATCCTGGGGAAGATGTTAGATTGGTGTCTAAAACGAAAGTAATTGGAGTAAAGTCTTCCATGACTTTTTGGGAACTGGGGACTTTTCCAGGCCACTGTAGTTATTGTGCTGAGGGCCTCTGGGGTCATATCTGTGACCTGGAAAAGGCTGAGTTGGCACCTTGTTTGGTGGTGGGACTTGGGGCGTTCACAGAACTAATTGCTGATTCTTTCCTTCTTTTCCTGTCTCTGTAGTTATATCAACATGCCCCCTTTCCTGTTGCTGGAAACCATCTGTATTTTCCTGTTTTCCAGAGGTAAGATGTGTTTATTGGTGGTGGGGAAGTACTGAGGTGTCAGGTGGAGGGGTTTCTTCAAATCCTGTTGATTCTCAATTCTAAAGGTCTCTTGAATCCACCTGCATCTCCCCTCCGTGGCTACCTCCCTAGTCTAAGCCATGTCATCTCATGTTTGGATCACTGCAGAAGCCTCCTGCTGGTCTCCCTGGGTCCCCTGGTCCTCCTCCAAACCGTTCTCCATGCAGTGGCTATTTTCTTTTTTTATTTTTAAGTTCCAGGGTATATGTGCAGGATGTGCAGGTTCATTACATAGGTAAATGTGTGCTATGGTGTGTGCCATGATGGTTTGCTGCACCTCTCAACCCATCACTTAGGTGTTGAGCCCAGCATGCGTTAGCTATTTATCCTGATGTTCTCCCTTTCCCCACCCCACCCGACCCCTCAACAGGCCCCAGTGTGTGTGGTTTCCCTCCCCATGTCCATGTGTTCTCATTGTTCAGCTCCCACTTATTTTATTTATTTATTTATTTATTTATTTATTTATTTATTTATTTGAGATGCAGTCTCACTCTGTCACCAGGCTGGAGTGCAATGGCGTGATCTCAGCTCACTACAACTTCTGCCTCCCGGGTTCAAGCGATTCTCCTGCTTCAGCCTCAGCCTCAGCCTCAGCCTCCTGGGTAGCTGAGATTAGAGGCACGCACCACCACACCCGGCTAATTTTTATATTTTTATATTTTTAGTAGAGACGGGGTTTCACTATCTTGGTCAGGCTGGTCTTGAACTCCTGACCTCAGGTGATCTGGCTGCCTTGGCCTCCCAACGTGCTGGGATTACAGGCGTGAGTTGCCGCGCCTGGCCCTCAGCTCTTACTTACAAGTGAGAACATGCAGTGTTTGGTTTTCTGTTCCTGCATCAGTTTGCTGAGGAGAATGCCTTCTGGCCCCATCCATGTCCCTGCAAAGGACATGATCTCGTTCCTTTTTATGGCTGCATAGTATTCCATAGTGTATATGTACCACATGTTCTCTATCCAGTCTATCATTGATTGGGTTCATTCCATATCTTCACAGCGGCCATTTCAAAATGCAAATCGGATCATGTCTGGACTCCTCTTCACCCCCAACTAAAACTTTTCAGTGACTTTCTGTGGCTTTTTTCTGTTTTTTTTTTGTTTGTGTGTTTGTTTTTGAGACAGAGTCTCGCTCTGTCGCCCAGGCTGGAGTGCAGTGGTGCAATTTTGGCTCACTGCAAGCTCCGCCTCCCGGGTTCATGCCATTCTCCTGCCTCATCCTCCCGAGTAGCTGGGACTACAGGCGCCTGCCACCATGCCCGGTTAATTTTTTTATATTTTTAGTAGAGACAGGATTTCACCGTGTTAGCCAGGATGGTCTTGAACTCCTGACCTCGTGATCCACCCGCCTCGGCCTCCCAAAGTGCTGGGATTACAGGCGTGAGCCACCACTCCCGGCCAACTTTCTGTGGCTCTTAAGAGGCTTTGTCTCGTCTTACCCCTGGCCATCGTGAGTCCCTCTGTGCCCTTTGCACAACAGCCCACTCTCCTTCCAGTCCTGCCCTGCATCCTTGCTCCCCGCCACCAAAAAGGTTCTGAATTATGTTGCGCCTCTGCTTGGATCACCCCCTCGACCAAACACTGCCACCCTGGCAAACTCCTCCCCATCCTTCGGTCCCAGCACAATTCCCCTGGGACCTCTAGATCATGTCTCATCCCCTCGTCAAACCGCTTGTAGCCCCTGCTCTGTAGCACTTAACACAGATATGAGTTTTGTGTGCATTTTAAAATGACATCTTTTCCATAAGACGTAAGCTCCTCAAGGAAAGAGACTGCACATTCTTTAACATTCTTTATTCACCACTGTATTATTTCAGGCACAGTTTATGCTCCAGAAATAGATTAATGAATAAATAATGGAGCAAATTCACTTTCTTTTTACTTCCCACTTTGTCCCTTTCAAGTTCTAGCCTCTTTGAAATATGAGAAGGTAGGAAGGAATCAATGTGTCTGCAGATTGTTGTCTTACAAGTAAGAACAGGTGGACTGGGCGGCCAAGCTGTCCCAGCCTTGTGAGGCTCGGGATCCTCTTCTGTAAAGCCAAGGGGTTGCACAGTGGCCTCTGGGATTCTTTTTTGCAATTCCTCCCTGGTCTGTGTTTCCATGAGTAGATATTTGTTCTCTGCTGAATTGGCTAATGTTAACACCTGCCTGTTTCCTGGAACCTCGCGGGCATCAGAAAGGCTGGTGGCTCCAGCCTGGCTGCCCAGCCCACCTGTTTCCCTCTGTCTGTAAGCCAGGTGGAGTGGATGGAAAGTGTAACACAGCAGCTTCTTGGCCAAGGGGTTGGGGAGTGGTGAGATGTGTTTGGGGCCAGGACCTGAATGAAGTCTCTGCAGTCCCGGGCATAGTCCAGGTTCTGTTCCAACTTGTCATGGACCTTTGCCTTCTGTGGCCCCGTCCAGCCTCCCGATCGCGATCACATACGCTTGATCTGATCATCCTTGGGTTGTACAGATGAGGCAGGGGAGGCCCAGAGAGGCCCTGTGACCTGCCCAAGGTCACGCAGCTATGTAGCAAAGCTGGGACTAACACCCAGTTCTCCCTATTCCTGGGCTGGCCGTACCACTCGACTTCTCTGGAAAGATAAGAATGTACAAAAGTTCTCTCTAAGACTTGGCTGTCACTCTGTAAAGTGAAAGAATTTGACTAGATTAGTGATTCTCAACCCTGCCAGCTCAATAGTGTCACCCATCCTGCAGATTGAAGTTCCGGAGTCCAGGCAGCTGGTCTTCAAGGGGCTGCTGACTTGGTTGGAAAAAGCAGCAGCAATCACATGAAGCAGCCGCCTGTTCAGGGGGAGCCTCTGCAGTCCTGAGGACATTTCACAGGGAGCATGGGGGATGTCACCCGGGCTCAAGGTGGGCTCACCTGAAGCCTGCCACCTGCCATGACAGCTGAGCACAGGGCACAGAGACATAGTTAGCTGAGCGACATCTTTAGTGAGTGGTCTCTGCTCACAGAGCTCCCCTACCTTCCCATCCTGGGGAGATGGCTGGCCTGCCTTCAGCTGGAGAATTTGCTGGTAACATTTAAAAAGAAACTGTATTTTTCTGTTCTTTGTGGGGTCTTGAGGATTCCTCAGCTACTGGGCCCTTTGCCAGGAGAATAATTCGCGGACTCAGTTCAGGAAACCTTAGGGCCTGTGTGTTGTATGCAGAGGGCTGGATGAGGCTCTGTGGAGGACTGGGTGAAAATGTTCCTGCCCTCGGGTAGCTTCCAGGCAGTCAGGCGAGGGGCTCGTGGGAACAGCACCACATTATGGGGTGGGCTGCAGTGGGCCCAGGAGTTGGCATGGTCGTGATCACTGAATGCAGTGAGCAGAAAGCCTGTAATTTTTTTTTTTTTTTTTTGAGATGGAGTCTTGCTCTGTTACCCAGGCTGGAGTACAGTGGCATACTCTTGGCTCACTGCAACCTCCGCCTCCCGGGTTCAAGTGATTCAACTGCCTCAGCCTCCCGAGTAGCTGGGATTACAGGTGCCTGCCACCACACCCAGCTATTTTTTGTATTTTTAGTAGAGATGGGGTTTCACCCTGTTGGCCAGGCTGGTCTTGAACCCCTGACCTCAGGTGATCTACCTGCCTCGGCCTCCCAAAGTGCTGGGCCACCACGCCCAGCCTGTTTTTGTTTTTGATGCTGCCCCTGCCTCTGTCCCAATAGCTGCCATTTTTTTAATGCAGGTGGATTTTCTTTTCTTTAATTATGTCTACTGTCTTTCTTTCTAGTCTAAGTCTTGTTTCTGTCTCTGGTGGCAAAACAGCAGCAGCAGACTGTGCCAGATCTAATGAGAGAGATTTGTCCGTCAGCTTTTGGCTGTGGAGCTGACTGCTGGCTCAGCACATTGACTTAGAATCTCCATGAGTAGAGATTGAGGGGAGGAGGGAGTATTAGGTGAGCAGGAACTGTCTGCTCAAAGGTATGGTGTGGAGAAAGACTAGTTTAGTTTGCATGGTGGACTAGTGAATGGGAAGGAGCTGGGAAAGACAGAGCTGGAACCAGCGAAGAGGGTGCTGAATTAGCAGGTTGACCAATCACGTGGGTCATTGCTGTCACTCCCCCAGACTGAAACCCTCTTTTGGAGTCTCTCTTGTCATCACTTTCCTAGCAGTTACAAACTTTGAGACCAGGTGCCCTGTACTGTGTGATTCCTCCTGTCCTCCCTGCTGTTTCTCCTTCACCTCTCTTCACAGCAGCCCCCATACTCGTCTGCCACTCAGGTTGAAACAGTTCTCCTGCCTCAGCCTCCCGAGTAGATGGAACTATAGGTGCCTGCCAACACACCTGGCTAATTTTTATATTTTTAGTAGAGATGGGGTTTCACCATGTTGGCCAAGCTGGTCTTGAACTCCTGACCTCAGATGATGGGCCCACCTTGGCCTCCCAAAGTGCTGGGATTACAGGCGTGAGCCACCACACCTGGCCTGCTCGTGTTCCTTCATCTGCCCCATTTCCGTGACCTGGCCGCTCCTAGGCTCTGCCCCTCTAGCTTTGTTTCCTCTGTGTTTAGTTGCTGCACATGGACATTTACAAAGCATCTGAGTGTACTTCTCTTCTGCCACTAGACACCTACCAGCTGCAGTTGCGGAGAGGATTTTGGCTTTTCCAAACGTCCCTTCCGGGGACCCCTTATTGTCTTCGGGACTTCCATCATGGGTGGCTCACTGTTCAGCAATCCTGTGACCTCCTCCTCGGCGTCTTACCCCTGCCTTCCAATTTCTCCTCCCCCTCCCCTCTTTGTCACAGAGTCTCGCTGTGTTGCCTAGGCAGGAATGCAGTGGCGCAGTCTCCGCTCACTGCAACGTCTGCCTCCCAGGTTCAAGCAATTCTCCTCCCTCAGCCTCCAGAGAAGCTGGGACTACAGGCGCACACCACCATGCCCAGCTAATTTTTGTATTTTTATTTTTAAATTTATTTATTTATTTATTTTGAGACGGAGTCTCACTCTGTCACCCAGGCTGGAGTACAGTGGCGTGATCTCAGCTCACTGCAAGCTCCGCCTCCCAGGTTTACGCCATTCTCCTGCCTCCGCCTCCCGAGTAGCTGGGACTACAGGCGCCCGCCACCACGCCCGGCTAATTTTTTGTATTTTTAGTAGAGACGGGGTTTCACTGTGTTAGCCAGGATGATCTCGATCTTCTGACCTCGTGATCCACCCACCTTGGCCTCCAAAAGTGCTGGAATTACAGGCATGAGCCACCGCCCCTGGCCATGAAGATTAATCTTCAAGGCAGTGAGATGTATTTCCTGAGGGGCCTGGCAGGGGTAGTGAGGGAGCTTCCAAGGGTGTGCCTAGAGGTCGCGCAAGGAGCTGCACTCCCAGGAGACTGCGGTTATTACACCTGACCAGGGACAAAAGTTTTCAGAATCACAGGCTCTCTAGAGCCCCACTGTGTGTTATTTTTATTCTTTTCTCTTAAAACTACCCACATTTAAATACAAAGATACCTCACAGAAGTGAGGTAATTGGGGGGTTTCTTTATGTTATCCATCTGGTAATTTTTGAGATGCAAGAATCATCACTCCCCCACATTCTAGGTTTCTCTGCTGTTACCTGTTCAGTCCCGTCACTTAATGTGGAGATTGAGCCGCCCCCTCTCAGCATTTTAATGGTTGCTTCTGGTGTTTTCTCTCCTAGTGCCCCCATCTCTCCCTCTCCAGGAAGTCCATGTAAGCAGAGAAACCATCGGGAAGATTTCAGTTGCCAGCAAAAGTAAGCCCAGGTTCTTCTTAACCCTCTGGATGCCCACTCAGACCTCTGCATGAGGGACTGGAGGAGAACCGGGTTCTCCCAGAGAGTTTCTGCCCCTTTCCCATCTTTCTTTCATGCTGTGGCCAGAGTCATTTCCCCCAAACAGCGACCTGACCAAGTTACTTGGTTTAAAAACAAACAAAAGTGGGTGCCTGTAATCCCAGCTACTCGGGAGGCTGAGACAGGAGAGTTGCTTGAACCCACAAGGCGGAGGTTGCAGTGAACTGAGATTGTGCCATTGCATGCCAGCCTGGGCAACAAGAGGGAAACTCTATCTCAAAAACAAACAAAATAGCTCAGTAAACCTTTTTTTGTTTTGTTTTAAAGACAGGGTCTTGCTCTTGTTGCCCAGGATCTGCAGTGCAATGGCACAATCTCAGCTCACTGCAGGCTCGACCTCCTGGGCTGAAGCGATCCTCCTGCCTCAGCCTCCCAAGTAGCTGGGACCATAGGCATGCATCACGCCCAGCTAGTTTTTGTGTTTTTAGTAGAGACGGGGTTTCGTCATGTTACCAGGCTGATCTTGAACTCCTGAACTCAAGCAATCCGCCTGCCTTGGCCTCCCAAAGTACTGAGATTCCAGGTGTGAGCCACCATGCCCAGCCTTAGTAAATCTTTATTATTGAATTACTTGGCCTGTGCCTCAAGGTTTTGTGTTATCTGCTCAGCAGGTGATGGAGTGGCTACCTGCCATGCCCATCTCCCACCATATTCCTTCCTTTTCCACCTTAATCAGTATCCCTCCACATGACTGCTGTTACTGCTACTGAACTCTTGGGTAATATGGCCTCACATATCAGGGTGCCCGTGTCCACACTAGATTGTGGCCTTCCAAGGCCTGGGATCAGGCCTTTTCAGTGCTGCTCACTGGCCCAGTAGACCCCCTCATAGAGCTTAATTGGCATTGTTGAACTAGGTTCTTCCATTATTATAACACAAAGGCTTTCATGTAAGGGCCTATTTGTGGGCATCATACCCATGGTGCCTGTGCTTCCTGCTTCAGAGGAGGGCCGCCTTCTGCAGGTTAGTTCTCCCCTTTCATGCTAAGCGGGGCAGCAGCCTGGCCCACCACAAGGCTGTTATGCCTTCACTCTGCTTCGGAAGTGAGACCCACTTGCTACTGGTTGTCACCTGTCTGTCCCGCTCTCCCTAGTGATGTGGTGCTCCGCTGCAGTGGACATCCTGTTTCTGTTAGATGGGTCTAACAGCGTCGGGAAAGGGAGCTTTGAAAGGTCCAAGCACTTTGCCATTACAGTCTGTGACGCTCTGGACATCAGCACCGAGAGGGTGAGTGCAAGTCTTTGTAGATGTTTGTGTTAGGGCATCTTCTGAGATAAGGGACAGAAACCCGGTCTCAAGCAGAGGAGGCATCTACTGGCTTGTGGAGCTGGGAAGACCAGGGGGCTGAATCCTGGTTCCTGGCATGGTGGGATCCTAGGGCTGAGTTGAGGCTATAAGGCATCTTTCTCTCTCTCCTTTTTTTTTTTCCTTCTCTCAATTTTGTTTTCTTTTGGTTGACTTCCTTCCCAGACAGGTTTTCCTGACATAGCCAAGTTGTCCTGCATTGTTCCTCAAGCTAGTGACCCCAGTAAAAATTAAGGGGACATTTTTCTCTGTAGAGCTGGTCAGAGCCCCAGGGAGGGCTCTGATTGGGCAGGCCTAGGTCACATGATAATCCACTGACCAATCACAGCAGTCAGAGGGAAGAGAGGTTCTGGCCAGACCTCAGTCAAGAGCTCTGCCATGTTTTTGGGGTAGGGAGTGGATTTGACTTTCTTCTAGAAAGAGAGGTTGGGTTGTGTTTGCAGAACAATGGGAAGGGGAAAGCATGCTAAGCAGACTAAAGCTGTTACTACCTCAGCAGACTGAACATGAAGCACAGCTCCTACCCTCTCTTGCACTTGAGAGAAACTACTCCTGCTTGAGTGGATCCAGACAGTATCCTCATTTCTTGTTCTTCAAATAGTAGGTCTTAAATATAGCAGAGTGTGGTAGGTGTGGTGGCTCTTATTTCTAAAAGGGGCCTTTTTTTTTTTTTTTTTTTTTTTTAAAAAAAAAAAAAAACAATCCCACAGAAAAATGGGCAAGGAACACAGACAATTCCCAGAAAATGAAACACGCAAGGCCTTTAGGCATATGAAAAGAAACCCAACCTCACTCACTCAGAGGGTCAGCAAACCCTCTGCCTAACATACAGTTTTTCACTTACTGGGTTAGCAAAAGAAATCCTAAATTTGGTGACATGCTTCACTGGCAAATCTTGAAAGAAACTGGTGTTCTCCTACACTGCTGGTGGAGTGTGAAATGGTGCAGCCTCCGGGGGGCGTCGAATAGTATTCTTCCCAGTTACAAAGGCTTGGATCCTTTAACCCAGCAATTCAACATCAAGGAATTTATCCTACAATACACACGTCCATGCAAAATAGTACCCATACAGAGTTATTCATTGCAGCATTATGTGTGTAAACTGTAAAAGATTTCAGGTAATCCAGATGTACATTGAGGGGGACAGATAAATCCATTATGATGCATTCATATACTGAAACACTAGCCAGCTCCAGAGAGTGAGTGAGGAAGCTCTCTGATATGGAAAAACACCAGAACAAGCGAAGTGTCAAAGTAAGGTGCAAAGGGTGTGTATGTTACTTTCTATGTAAAAGATAAGGGGGGATGAATGAAAATCTATCTTTATATTTTCCTGTATCTGTATACACTGTGGATGGATTTGTAAGAGGCTGAGAACAGTGGTTTTCATTAAGGGGGAGATTGGGAAGTGAGTTGACAGAGCACAAGGCCAGAGGGAGACTCATCAATACAGACTTAAATATTTTCTGGATTTTGAGTCACGTGAACCTACTCAAAAGTCAGCTTAAAAATTAAGAGAGGCCGGGCACGGTGGGTCATGCCTGCAGCACTTTGGGAGGCTGAGGCAGATGGATCACAAGGTCAGGACATCGAGACCATCCTGGCTAACATGGTGAAACCCTGTCTCTACTAAAAATACAAAAAATTAGCTGGACATGGTGGCACGTGCCTGTAGTCCCAGCTACTTGAGAGGCTGAGGCAGGAAAATCGCTTGAACCCAGGAGGCAGAGCTTGCAGTGAGCTAAGATCGTACCACTGCACTCCAGCCTGGGTGACAGTGAAACTCCATCTCAAAAAAAAAAAAAAAAAAAGAGGATGTAGCCTGGAAAAGCTGTCATTACTTGGATGAGAGACCAGTTGCATACAGGTTGAGGAAGGAAGTGGTTTTCCAAGATAACATTCCTAGATTAATCCTAGTAAAACCTCTAGGATTTAGGAGAATACATGGCTTTTAATGAGGGCCAGATTTTCTGCAGAATGGTGTGTCGTTTTATTAGCTGGAGCATACTCCCTGGACCTTAGACCGTCTTGTGCCTGAGGACTCCATAGCAGCATCGTTCAATCTAGGCACAAGCAGCCCAGAAGTTTTCTAACCATGATGTTAAACCAGCATAGACCCTGAAAGGGCCGGGCCAAAAAGTGCCATTTCCCTACCATCCTCTGCACAGGACCCTGTTTTAAAAGAGTTCCTTATAAAGTGTCACTAGTTACTCATGGAGGAATAACATAAAGAGAAGTAGCATGAAGATTAAACATTATTGACCTTGGCATTGATGTAATGTCCTGAAATGAGTAGCCTGGAGACCCTGGGGTTGGCTAGTTGGGAATGTAGGGTCCTGTGGATTATTAGTGTGTGTTTCACAGATGAGGGAGCAGGCTCAGAGAGGCTAAGTGACTGTCGAGGGTCACACAGCAACCTCAGGAGAGAGCTAAGTGTGGAAGAGCTGGGGCTCTTGACTCTCAGCCCAGGACTTGCTCCATTAGGCCATTTGTCTTAGCCCTCAAAATTCACACCTTGCTATCACACAGCAAATGGCCAGCAGTGTGGCAGTCTCTCTGTGTGTGTGTGTGTGTGTGTGTGGGAGTGGTGTAAGAAAACCATGACAAGAAATTTCCTGGCTGATGCTATTGGGAGCAGATCCCAGAGTTCAAGAACTTAACCTGGGCGTTGCTGGACCACATCTAGAAAGTGTCATTGAGTTCTGGGGGCTGATTTCTTGGTTAGACATGAGCCGGTCAGTGCCCATGAGGGAGCCAGGACAGCCAGAGGCCTGGAAACCTCTGTGAATGAGGGAACCTGAGGATCATTTTCATGTGAGAGAGAGCAGACAATGGCTCTGTTTTTTAAGAGTAGAATCTGGGTGTTCAGGGAGTTAGATTCAGGCTTAACCTGAGAAAAGCTTTCTCGAAGCAAGACTTGAGAAGCAGAGGAATTGAGTGTTTACTTGGGTGAGTGAATTAGTGTCTTGACCCCCAAGGTCAGGTGGACCCCTTGGCATGCTGCAGAAGGGTTTTTGCATGAGGGCGATTTAAGATGGTTTAGTCTGACTTGTGACTTCAGGCTGTATGTTTTTGCTGCTGCATTTTTTTTTTTTTTTTTTTGGATTCTCTTTGTGTTATCTCCATGTACAAGGGATTTCATTTGTGCCGTGTTTTACTTGCTTTAACTTTAGTTTTCAAGAAGAAATGTCAAGTAGCTGTAAATTAAGACTTTTATGAATGCTCTGTTGTTAAGGTGGATTTAAGGTGTTTGAAGTCTTCCTCTTATCACTTAAAAGCTGAGAGGTTCACTTCCTGGCTCTAATGTAGTGACTGGGGCAGAGTGATTATGGCTGGTGAGATAGCTGGGCGGGCCTGTTTCTGAGCGTACAGTAAACTGAAGATAAAAGGCAACTATTTTGTTCCCAAACCACCAATTAAACAAAATGCTTTAACTACTGACTTAAGCTGCTTCCTTCTTGTTTTGAAGTTATATTTCTTCCTGTTTAACTCAAGTAAACACACCCAGCTGTTGGTCTCAGGGGAGGTTATTTTTTCAACTAAGTAATTCATTCACATGGGTTCAATAAAAAGATGTACAGTGAAAAGTCTCCCTTTCACCCACACATTTTCCATTTGGCCTGTCCCTCAACTTGTGTTCTTGAGTCTCTTCCAGAATCACTTTGTGCAAATACAGGCAATATGAATAAATATTCTTCTTTCTCCCTTATTACACAAAGGGTAGCCTACCACACACATTGTTCTCTCATGCCTTTTTTCTCCTCACATTTTCTTGGAAATCTTTGCATATCTGTATACAGGTATAATTTTTTTACAGGTCATTAAAATGTTTCATCATAAGGATTTATCAAGGTCTAATTAACCCCATTGATGGATATTTGCTCTTACAAATATACTGTGATCTTGTAAATAACATCATTTCACACGTACAAGTAGGATACATTTCCAGTAGCCCTATGCATTTTTTTAAATTTTTTTTTTTAATTTTCAATAAATATTAAAAAATTGCCCTCCATGGATGCTGTACCAATTTACATTTCTACAAGCAATGTTTGAGAATTCTCGTTTCACCCTGGAAACATCGTATATGGTTTTTTGCTAAATGGATGGGGAAAAATGCTATTTCATTATGGTGAGGCCAGGTATCTTTCCATTAAAGAGTTATTTGTATTTCTTGTTCTGTAATCTCTGTTCAAATCCTTTGCCCATTTTCTGTTGAATTGTTGGTCTTTTGTAGGTTGATTCTCATTTTTTTATATATTGAGGAAGCTAACCCTTTAACATGAATTGCACATAATTTTTCCATTTTGTCTTTATTTTTTTATTCCGTTAAGGTATGTTTCGTCCCGCAGAAGTTGTTTTTTTTTTTCATGCAGTCACATTTATCAATCTTTCCTTTATGGCTTCTGGATTTTAAGTAATAGCAAGTAAGGTCTTTTTACACATTGAAATTTTAGAAATTCTCCTGAGGTTTTCTAGAACTTTCATATTTAGATTTTTCACCCCAAAATCTTGAATTCATTTACAGTTTATCCTTTATTTTTGTAGATTGCTCTCCAGTTGTCCCAATATCATTGACTGACTAGATCATCTTTTCCCCCTGGTTTGAGATGCCCCTTTTTAATCACACACTAACTTCAAGGAAAACCTAGGAAGCTCTCCTTCCCAGAAGCTTCTTCCCAAGATCACCTACTGGTCTGTCTTCCTGTGTCCATCTCCCTCATGTGCCCACTGAAGACTGAGATTTCATTCTGCTTAAGGTGCCAAAGAGCTTCTTCCCAGAGCACCCTGCCTGCAAAAGAGAACCCCACCCAGCTGATCCAGAGCAGATGCAGCCGGCCTGGTGTGGCAGGGCGTTTCCATCATCTCCCAGGTCCCAGGCCTGTCGAGGGAACAGCAGTGAGGGAATTCAAGTGAGGAGCAGAGTGGCAGCATCATTCCTTAAACATGACTCACTTGGCCCATTTGCACTCTTGGCCAGAACTAGGGTTAGTTTTGAGAATAGTAACAGAGAATGTTTTTCTCCAGGGGTTTTGGAGAACCAATGATGAGGTGCAGGCCTTGGGCCCTCGGGAGGAAACCTGAATGTTTGTAGCCTTCTCTGCTTAAGACATGCTAGTGCTTTAAGGATCCAGAGAGCGACTTTACTCAGTTTCCTTTCTCTAGTTTTGCAAGGCATTGGATCTCCTATGGCCTCCTCAATTAGGACACAAAATCTATGTGGATTCACCAGTGTTCTCCTTCATTACAGAAGAACTTCAGCCCCAATGCTGGTCATCTCAGTTGTGGATGCTGATTGTCCCCCAGGTCTGACTGTGGTCTAGAGACCTGGACTTTCTCTAACTTGGCAGGAGCAGGTCTGGTGGGGCTGACCACCCAGTCAAGGACTGGGTTGTGGGGTGGCTGTGCTTAGTGATGAGTTATCAGTGATGGTGGCTGTGGTTAGCTTCGCAGCAGCCCCAGTTGGGTCAGTAAGTGTTTTGCTGCTGGCCTGTGCTGGCTGCTAAGAAGGCAGGAGTTGTAACTGGGTCTTAGGGAAGACCATAGGCACAAAGTCCAATGGCCTGGCTGCCTTTCTTATTAGTCCTGCGCAAGTAAGCATTTGCCTTGGGCCAGACGTATATATTCTCCACATTGGGATTTCTCCACCCATAATGTGGGTGTTAATAGTGACTCTGTGGATTAAATGAGATAGTGCATGAAACTGCTCAAGACAGCACTGGCAGCTGGGAGGCAGTTGGTAAAAGTGAGCGGAGACCCTGCCCTAAAGATTCACAAGCTCAGCCGAGAACACTGCCAGAATGTTCAGCTGCCTAGCAGAAGGTCAGGAAAGAAGATTGAATTGGGGTCGTCAGTGCAGAACACAAACAGATTTGGCTGGTTTTTTTTCCAGGTTCTCCAAATGGGTCTTTGGAACTTCCTCCCAGGGAGACAGGAGAAAGAAAGCTCTGGCATTGGTGTTTGTTGAGCGGGTGGGAGGCAGGGTTGTTAACCTTTCTTGCTCCTTCTTTCCTCTTAGGAATGTTTTTGACTTGACCCCAGTCTCGGGGCCCTGAGCCCACTGTCTCCTACTGCAGGTCAGAGTGGGAGCGTTCCAATTCAGTTCCACTCCTCATCTGGAATTCCCCTTGGATTCATTTTCAACCCAACAGGAAGTGAAGGCAAAAATCAAGAGGATGATTTTCAAGTATGTATGATCAGATACTGCTGTGGTTAGGGTGACACCAGCTGCTCTTAAAATTGCTCCATTGAAGGGTTTGGTCCTGCTCTGGGCTCACAGAGAGGACTGTGGGCTGCTTTCAGGGGCCCAGCTGGGCACAGTTGGTCACACGAATTCCATTCTCAAGGCTGCCCCTCCTTATTGCATGATAATGTCCCAGGTAGGAATTTAAGTGGAAGTAAAAAAATTTGCTGCTGTGATGTATAGTTGTCAATTACCTGGGAGAAAGTGCTATTGAAGGTCACGAATGGGGTTAAGAGCCTGGAGGAATAGGAGGAACACTGAGTCTTAATCCCATTTCTGTCTCTTGTGACCACTGCAGCTTGGACAGTTCACCGCACTTCTCTGAGCCTCATTTTTGTGGTCTAAAAAGAGTAAGTGCCCTCTGTTATTGAGAGTGCTTTAAAAATTGTGACTATCTGGTTATGTGCTCATACATATACACACCTTATGTGTTAGTCTGTTCTTGCATTGCTATAAAGAAATACCTAAGGTTGGGTAAATTATGAAGAAAACTTTTATTGGCTCATGGTTGTGCAGGCTGTATAGGAAGCATAATGCCAACATCTCCCGGTAAGGGCCTCGGGAAGCTTCTAATCATGGTGGAAGGCAAAGGGGGAGCAGGTGCATCACATGGAGGGAGCAGGAGCAAGAGAGAGGAGGAGGTGGCACATATTTTAAAACAACCCGATCTTATGTGAATTCACTCATCACCAAGGGGATGGTGCTAAGCCATTCATGAGGGATCCGCCCCCATGATCCAGACACCTTCTACCAGGCCCCACCTCCAACACTGCATTACAGTTCAACATGAGATTTGGAGGCAACAAACATCCAAACAATATCACCCTCTAAATATATATATATAGTCATATGTTTACTTTACTTACATTATAAGTTAGCTGATGTGTGCATCTGAATATGATATGTGTATATGCTCATATGTTTTTATACACATATTTTATGTATTTTACATATATATACATATAATCTATACGCATGTGATACATATATATGCATATATACATATGCACATATTTACACATACATGTGTACACATACACATATATAATGTTTTTCACAAGCCCTCACAGAATAATGACTTTGACTTGCCCCTTGCCATTCTGGTCTCTGGATCCACTCTGGGCTCCTGCTGCCCCTTGTACTAGTGTCCACTGAAGTCCCCCGAAGTCCATGGTCAGAGCCGTTTTTGGCTGTCTCCTCCCATTGCAAAGGCTCTGAGCTCTGAGGGCCTTTTTCCAGTTGCAAGCCTCTGTAGTTCTGTCGGTGCTCTCAGGAAACCTGAGGCCCTACAGTGGGTACATCAGGGACTCTGGGAGCCCTGCAGACCTCAAGAATGTCCGAGTAACCCTCACTGACTTTTATCTTGGACTATCTATCCCAGCCCTTTCCTCTGCCCTTGAACAGATTAAGGGGCAAGTCATCATGCAAGAAGGTACGAAAGGAAAGAGCTCATTAATACATGTTCAAAAAATACATTAGTGCACATTGGCCTTTTCTTCCCCTGGAGCCTTGTGCCCTTGGGGCCTCCAAGAATTGGCTTCTTACAGAGAATAGTCTCAGCCTTGCTCCGTATCTTTGACAAAGACACACAGTGCCAGGGCTTCCTCCCAGATTTGTGGAATCACTCTCTGCTCTTGGTATATTTAGGAATCCGCGCTTGGTTTTTGAAGCACAGTCTCACTCTGTTGCCTAGGCTGGAGTGCAGTGGCACTATATTGGCTCACTGCAACCTCCACCTCCCAGGCTCAAGCCATCCTCCCACCTCAGCCTCCCAAGTAGCTGGGACTGCAGGCATGCGCCACCACACTGGGCTAATTTTTCTATTTTTGTAGTGATGGGGTTTCGCCATGTTGCCCAGGCTGGTCTTGAACTGCTGAGCTCAAGCAATCCACCTGCCTTGCTCTCCCAAACTGCTGGGATTACAGGTGTGAGCCACTGTGTCCAGCCAGGAATCTGCACTTTTTTTTTTTTTTTTTTGAGATGAAGTCTTGCTCTGTTGCCCAGGCTGGAGTGCAGTGGCATGATCTTGGCTCACTGCAAGCTCCACCTCCCGGGTTCACACCGTTCTCCTGCCTCAGCCTCCCAAGTAGCTGGGACACAGGTGCCCGCACCACGCCCGGCTAATTTTTTGTATTTTTTAGTAGAGATGGGGTTTCACTGTGTTAGCCAGGATGGTCTTGATCTCCTGACCTCATGATCTGCCCGCCTCGGCTTCCCAAAGTGCTGGGATTACAGGTGTGAGCCACCACGCCCGGCCGAAACTGCACTTTTAAAAGACCTCTCCCCACCCTCCGCTGTGATTGTTATACACACTAATTTTTTAAAAACAGCTTTATGGAGATATATTTTATATGCCATAAAGTTAACACATTTAATGTGAAATATACTCAGTGGTTTTGAGTATATTTACAGAGTTAAGCAACTTTTACTCTAAGTTTTGAACATTTTTATCACCTCACAAAGAAACCTTGTAAGTAGACATTTTTCCAAAGAAGATAGACAAATGGCCAATAAGTACACAAAAAGATTGTCAACATCATTAACTATTAAGGAAATGCAGATCAGAACCTCAGTGAGCTACCATGTCGTAGCCACTACGATGGCTCAAAGACTGACAAAAACAAGTGTTGGTAAAGCTGTGGATAAAGCAGAGCCCTCATCCATTGCTTGTGGGTTTGTAAGTGGTGTGTGCTACACTGGAAAAAAGTTTGGCAGTTCTCAAAATGTTAAACGTAGATTTAGCGTATGACCCAGCAATTCCACTTCAGGAGAATTAAAAACATGGGCACACAAAAATAGTTGTATGCTAATGTTCATACCAGTGCTATTTATAGCAGCTCCAAAATGGAAACAATAAAAAATCCTCAACTAATGCATGTATAAACAAAATGTGGTATATCCAAATAATGGAATACTACTCAACTGTAAGAATGAATGAAGTACTGATTCATGGTATAGCATGGAGGAATCTTGAAAACATTAGGTTAAGTGAAAGAAGCCAGGCATAATAGGTCACATACTATATGATTCCACCTTTTTTGTTTTTTTGAGATGGCATCTCATTCTATCACCCTGGCAGGAGTGCGGTGGCGTGATCTCAGCTCACTGCAACCTCCGCCTCCTGGGTTCGAGCGATTCTCCTACTTTAGCCTCTTGAGTAGCTGGGACTATAGGCACCTGCCACCATGCCTGGCAAATTTTTGTATTTTTAGTAGAGACGGGGTTTTGCCATGTTGGCCAGGCTGGTCTCGAAGTCCTGACCTCAGGTGATTCACCTGCCTCAGCCTCCCAAAGTGCTAGGATTAGAGGCGTGAGCCACCATGCCTGGCCATGATTCTACTTTTTATGAAGCGTCTAGAATAGGCAAATCCATGAAGATAAGAAGTGGACTGGTCATTGCCAGGGGCTGACGGGAATGAGGAATGGCTGCTAATGGGTATAGGGCTTCTTTTGGGGGTAAAAAATATGTTTTGGACTTAGATAGTGGTGATGATTGCACAGCTTTGTGAATATACTAAATATCACTGAATTGTACACTTTAAAAGTGTGAATTTTATGTTATGCAAGTTATATCAATAAAGTCGTTACAGAAATTTACCCATTATATGCAATATGCATTTTCAGAGGAAAAAGGCTGTTGGTATAAGTTTAAGGCTAAAAGTCAAAGACCATTTGAGTGACTTTGACTCGAAGAATTCAGCTCTGCTCTTGTCTGAAAAACTAATCAGATCTCAAAGAATCGGTACAAAAGGAGCAAGGAGAATTGAGATCATCTAGTATGTTTTCCATCCCTTATTTTACAGAGGAGGATATTGAGGCCGAGGAGAAACAGGTGCCCTGGCCAGGATCAGTGGGTTACACTGCCAATCCAGTAGGCCCCACCCAGCTGTCCTTTCCCACCTCTTATCATGCTCCCTCTCCCATACCCCCCAGATGATTAGTTGAGCTGCTTTTCAGCTGTGTTGAGGTCATAACCAAGGACATGAGAGCATTATTTATAACATGAAATGCAGAGACACACTAAGATTGAGGACATTGAGGGTGGAGAATGAAGACTTCTTATGTGTCTGAACAAGGTCAGCTCTTCTGGGGCTGTGTATGGTTAGCACTTATGTTTCCTAGGACAACTGTAAGTGACAACAAACAAGGAAAGGAGGCGCTGATTTTTGGCCCCAGTTGTGGGGTTACTGAGGACACTAAAAATGAAGACAGGCTGTTATGAATCAGAACGGAGGAACATGGGCCAAATGGGAGTGATGACCTTCCTGGGGCACTTTATTCTTTTTCTACAGTGAAGTTTTGTTTTTAAATTTTAAACTTCTGTAGCTACGTAGTAGGTGTATATACTTATGGGGTATATGATTTGTTTTGGTACAGGCATGCAATGAGTAATCATCACATCAGGGAGAATGGGGTATCCATCCCCTCGAGTGACAGTGAAATGTTAAATGCTTGACTGATTAGGACAGCTCGACCCAAACCCAGGACACTTGTCTTTCCAGACCAACGCAATCCCCCAAAAGTATGTTTTGAGGTAGCTAAGAAACCACTCTGACAACCACCTTACTGCTACTTTGCAAGAAGTTTAAAAAACATTGCAGTCAAACCTTCCAACATTGTATCCCACGATGACATAAAATCAAGATAAGACCTGGCTGCTGATTGGTTCCTGAATGCACAGAGCTTCTGGCCTGCTGGCTGCCCAGCCGTGCTCATTTCATTAATCTCATAGTAACACAACCCTGTGTTTACTGTGACTGAATTTTTTGGACTCCCTCCATAGCTTTGTCTCCACTTTACCTTAGCACAAAACTGTTGATGGCCTTCCCTGGCCTCTTTCAAACCACATTAACTTAATGTGGCTTTTAGGTTAGTTAGAATTACGAAGCATTTTGTCCTTTTTTTCCCTTAATATTATTTGGTATGTGCTATTACATAAAGCT